GGGGGGGGGGGGGGGGGGGGGGGGGGGGGGGAGTAAGAGGGAGGGTTAGATATGTATGATGATGAGGAACATTCCAATACTTCTCTCCATCATAGATAATTGGACGTGAGTGATGAAAGGAACTATCGAAACGTGGCAGCTGCTATATAGCAAAATTGGAAAACACATGAGATTGTGGCAACTCTTTCTTCTTTCTTTCTTTTTTTTTTCTTTTTTGCACAAAAATGACGAAAGCAGTCAAGTAAATTGACATTTACGACATTCGAAAAACAGTAAATATTCCTTTTTGTAATAAGGCTCTCCAGTCTCATCATGCACATACACACACACACGCGTACACGTACACGTACACAACTTGAAATGATCTAGCTGAACTATGAGTTTAATTGTTTTTATGCTTTTGCCCTCTTTATTTTCTTGTTTGAAAGCTCAGGTTAATAATGAGCATTCAGACGAATGCCAATTAATATGAGAAACATGAAGAAGAGAACGATGAGATATGCATATGTGCTGAGATCTTATGAGATGAGGAACATACAACCGTTCATTGAGATCTGTCTTCTCTTTCTGCTTCCCTCTCTCTTTCTCCTTCTCTTTCTGCCTTCCGTCAGACATATAATGATACAAAGCTTTCACGCGCTTCTCACGTAACATGGTATATGCTAATTAATTGGTTTCTTGGAATGAAACAAGATGAGACGAAAGAGAAAAGACAAAAAGCCCATAAATGGTAATAGGGCTTTGTTTGAGTTGAAATGATTAGAAAGCAAAACAATTGAATTATCTCTCTTCATATACTAACGAAGATAATTGCAGTTGATAAAATGATGATGAGAGGATGAAGGTTTTTGCAACAAGTTGTATGCATCTGTATACGCCTGTGTGTCTGTGTGTGTATGTGGGTCTGTGTGTGTGTATCTGGTGCAGACTGATAAGTGAAGCTTCAGATATGATGACATTCAATCAGCATAACTGTTTTTTTAAAAAAAAAAATTAAAAAAAACAAAAGTTGTAATGAGAAAATGACGCCATCAGAATATGTTAATTGACGGAGAACATAATCAAACAACAACAACGAAAACATGAAAAGGAGCGAAAAGAAAACGTTTCTCTTCCTTCTTCTACTTATAGATGTGAGGTACAGGGGGATAGAAACAGAGAGAGAGAGTTAGAAAGTCAGATACAGATGAAGAGATAGAGATAGAGATAGAAAGAGAGAGAGAAAGGAAAGGAACAACAGACTGAGATTGACATAGAGAGAGAGAGAGATAGAAAAAAAAAATTTCATAATTTCCAAAAAATGTAAGTAATGAGATGTTTGAGAAATTTAATAAATTTTAAAATTAAAATGTGACCAACAACGTTGCTGCTCAACAAAAAAGCTGAAAACTGCTTTGATTTTGATGAAATTGGTCATGGAAAATGGATGGCAGGAGCAGACCCCTGGTTGGGGCGGTTCATGTTTAAAGTGAAGAAGCACATGTGGCCATTTTGAAAGCTTTTTTTAAGCTTTTAAACACGTGTTATGGTCACATTTAAGTAATGAATACTCAATCACAGAAAAAGTATATGGACGTGAAGCTTTATCAATAAGCCTCTTTAACACATGTCAAGTATATGGAATGAACTTTTCGAATGTTTTAATTAGTTGTGTTGAATAATAACCGACATGATGATGTGAGGCAAGGGAAGAGCTATAGGGTAATTGAACTAAAGAAGCAAAAATAACAAAAAGTTTTGAAGAAGACGACGAAGATGAAGACGAAGATGTGGAACATGCAGAAGGAGGAAGAAGAAGTAAAAGTTAACGAATGAAAAGATGGAAAAGACACAAGGAGGGAGTGGAAAGGAAGCTATACCTTCACTCATCAATAGAAAAATATTTTGAGAAGAAAAAGAAGAAGAAGAGTTTTTTGTTGAAACAAAACTTGAATTGAACTGAAGAAATAGGAGGGGAATTGCCGTATAATAGCCTTATGCTGAAATTGGAGATGATGGTTTAAGAGGGAAAAAAGGGAGGAGAAAGAGAAAGAGAGAGAGATAGAAAGAGAGAGAGAGAGTTAAGTGCAGGCAGTTGGCTTTGAACGGGAAGAATAAAAAAAAAGCTGAATGAAACATGCATGCATCTGTCCTCAAACTTACCGGAGGCTTTATATGGTTTAACCGATGGGCGGGCAGAACGATAAGATTTCTGCTCATTATGATTATTTCAATGTAATAATATGAGGACAAATGAGCTCAAGAAGAGCTCAGGATTATCCGTTTTCCAACGAAAAGCTTGCTTGACGAAGAATTGTCGTCAGTTTTGACGTTCATTTAATGTGCAATTGAATGAAGAAGAAAAAAAAAAGATAAATGAAGATTAAAGGATGATAAGCGAATTCCGTTAACAGCATTGGATCAATGTCAATTATATTATAAAAGGATTGACGTCTTTGCCATCAGAAGCTTGTTGAGTTGTCGGCCAATTTCCTTTTTTTGCCACTCGTGCAGCCGAGATGAGCTTCCTTCTAGCAAATTGAAGAAAAATCACTCTTGAAATGGCACGAGAAAATTTTTTTTTTTCATTAAAGTTTACAAACATGATTGTTGTGATTGGAAATGAGAAAGTCAGCTGATTAATTGAATTAGTTACGGGTAAAGTTGAGATGAGATTTCAATGAATTTCCGCGTTTTTTTTTTGCAATTGATTTGAGGAGAAGCCATGAGGAACGCCATGGAGATAAGCTGCATAGGCTTCCGTTTTCAGTTGTAAACTTCGATTATCTGCTGAATTTCATAGTGATACTTGACGTCAAACAATTAATTATGAACATTGTGACGAAGAAGAAAAAATATTCTGAAGTTTCCATTTTTGTCCCAAACCTTCAATGGAATATTTTTAAGAAACAAAATTTTTTATTCAAATAACCGAAAACTCCCGGGAGGCTGCATTTTCAGAAATAAAAAAAAATAAAAAAAAGTTAGAAAATCAGGTATTTGAAGAATATATTTTCTTTTTTTTTCTCATCCACCCTCTTTTATTTCTTCTCACCATAGAATTCTCTCTCGTACTTACTCTCTCACACATTAAACTACTCTCTCTCTATCTCTCTCTCTAACTAACGATCTACCTCCTTTATTTTTTTCTTTGTTTTTAAATGTTCTTCAATCAAACTTCAGAACAAAAGATTAAAAGAAAATGAAATTAGAAGACCAATATTCGTTTTTAAACTTAAAAAGGGCTTGTGTTCAACCGTTGTTTAACTGTTTATGTGTATATGTATGGAATGTGTTGTAAACAACTCACGTGAAACGTGGATTAGCCACGTGAGGGAGGAGGAATTGGAATTTCACACACAATTCAAAGAAAACAGCCCACTAAATTGTAGTTTTTTTTTTCTGTTTCAAAATGAAATAAAAAAGAAAACAAAATATTCGATGACTTTTGTAGTTTTTCTACAAACAGTGGAAGCCAAATTGCAAAAAGCTCGTGAAAGTTGAAAGTACAAATGAAAATGAGAGAAAAATGAATGAAATAGTAAGTATTTGGCTACTTTGAGCTTTAATAAAAATTTTTGAAATATTGCCAGGGGGAAGATGCAGTTTGAGTTGCTGAAAGATGAGAATGAAAAAGAAAACGAAAAAAGAAGTTGTAGAAGTTAGTTAACGTTGGAACGTTGAAAGAAAGAAAGAAGGTAAGTAGTGCATGGGAAGTGCAAATGATTAACGAGTTCCCAGAAAAATCTCACGCTTCCCATACTATTTTTTTGGCCTTTACAAACTTTGTTAATTATTGCACAATGGCAAAGATGAAGGTGTCAATGCTGCAGATGAGGAGCTATGCTTTAGAAGTTAGTTTTTAAGCTTTAAATGGGATGCGAGTAAGAGCTAGCTTTTGGATTATGCTTAAGAGAAAGAAGGAGAGAGAAAGTCAAACGGAGAGGTGAAGAAAGAAAAATGGCAATTGCATGACGATGTCAACTAGAGCCACGACAACGTTGTCGATGAAAAGGTTGCTGAGCTGACGTCACTGGACGTCATAAGTGCCAGGTTTTTTCGTTTAAGCTTAAAGAGAAAGAGTGAGGATGAAGGGGCGAAAAAGAGGAAGCTGGAAGGTTGAAGGAGGAAACAACAACAACGACCATAAACAGTTGAAGTTTCTAAAAAAAAAAAAAAAGAATAAAAATGTTTCGACGAGCGCTGTCAGTTAGAAAACGTTTGGAAAGCTTATAAGAATAGATTTGTGTGAACATCAAGTAATTCAGAAGGCAAACTTGACGCCATTTGATACTCGTGAAAGTTTTTGGGAGAGAAATAGCGCGTGAGAGGGAAGGGCTAGGCTGGAAAAGAAGAAAAAAAACGTTTTGGTTAAGCGAAAGTTGTGAGCGTCATTAAATAATTCAGAATATTGAAGATATTTGACGTGTTGGGAAACAGCAGAATAAGTTGAAGGAAATAATATAAATGAGAATTCTTGCATGAAACTTAAGAAATACATTTGTTAAGTTCATCCAAGAACAGTTGGGAGAGAGGCAAAACAGGAGGAATGGAGGGAGGGAGTGAGGGAGGGAGGGAGGGAGGAAGGGAGGGAATGGGTGAGAGGGGGTATTGAAAGAAGAGGAGAACTAAAACTTAATTTTTTGCTGCAAATGTCAGTTGAACTAACTGAAAATGGAAAAAAAGGAGATTCTCACCGCCTTTTCTTATGAATATTTCTTTCTTTCTCTTTTCTCCTTCCCATATGTGATTGAAGACTAAAAGCTTGACACCAAAGACTACAAGACTAAGGAAAGACGAGTTTGAAAGTACTTGTTAAAGATCTTTTTTCTTTTTCCTTCTTTTTTTTTCCTTTTTTCCAGAAAGGTTTATGTATAAGTAATTGAGCTTTTGTTAGCTCCATTAGAGAAGATTTCTTTATTGTGTTTCTATATATACACGTATAAGGAAATACGAAAATAGCTTATACAAAGATAGAGGGGAGAGAGGTAATGTCTTTTATGTGAAACCTTTTGAGCGTCCAATGCTCCTGTTTCATTTTCTTATTTCTCCTTTCGTCGTCTTCTCTTCGCAACATTAAGAATAACTGGAAGAAAAAGATACGAGTAGGAGGATAAGAATTCTTCTACCAACCCACTACTCGCTTTTGCTTCATCAACCAACTGATGGAAGGATCATAAATCTGATTGGGGGAGTATGTAAACATTAGGAATCTTTTACTTCGAAAACCTTTATTTCATTCATCATCAGCATATAAGGAGGGAGGGAGAGAGGGGGGGGGGAGTGTTGAAGAAGCTGAACCAAAAATGAAACGACCTTTGTTACCCTTTAAGCTTTCAATTTATTCAATTATTTATTTAAACAATTATTTTCATAATTAGCTAAAGTTAACAGAGGGGCGAAGAGAGAGAGGAAGAAAGGGTGGAAGGGAGAGGTAAGGTAGAGAGAGATAGATAGAGAGATTGCGATACAAGAAGCAAGGTAAAGAGATAGTTAAAGATGTTATGGAAACTACAAAGAGAATGAGACATTGAGAGAAAGAGATTGTGAGAGAGAAAAAAACAAAAAAACATTATCCACCCACCATCATGCAGTCTTCTTATTTTTGTGAGAGAACTTTTAATACATTTGACCACCTGTCGCCCATGCAAGTCTCAAAGCTCGCTGAGATTGTGGTGTCTATGGAAAGAAAGCAAATCTTTTTTGTGTCTTTCAAATAGAAGGAAAAACAAAGAGAGTGTCCAGTCAAATCGTTGATCAGCTAGAAAAATGAGTGTTCTCTTTAGCGGTTTAACACTTTTTCATTTTGTTTGATCACCCAAGTCACAAATGACAAAGTAGAAGGGGGAGAATTGAGAAACATCAGGATAATCAAGTTAATAGAAAATAATAACAAAATTATAATAAAATATTATATTTAATTTACTATTTAAATATAGGTTGCCAATTTTGAGACGTCAACGTTGAAATACACATACGCACATGCACACACATGCACCACTAACACACATGCCATACATACACGTCGTCATGAAAGACGTTTGGCTCTTTCTACTCCATTACCCCATTTTCCACCATAATCATCTAATCAATTAGATTAGTTAAGTATGTGTATATATTATATTTATTCATATCAAAATCTGTTCACTATTCTAGTTGTGTTGACGAGGAGAATAATGTGAACGTGCAGCATGAGCAAACGACAATGATTACTTGGATTGACGGCGTCAAGATGATCAAGTTTCTGTTAAAAAATTGTTGGTTTGAGATAGTTTAAAGTTAATCAACTACATACACACAATAACATGAATCTTTAGTAGCTGAAGCAATCACCTCTTTGCACCCGAATAATGAAGTTCTTTCCAATTTCCATGCTTGCTTTACTAAAATCCGATTGTTCCATCTCGAAAGCATCCTAAGTAAGGAAAGAAAGCTGACAGTTCGTTCATGCATTATTCATCTGTAAGTTCACATTTATTCATCTTTATGTTGTTATTTCGAATTTCCAGGTGTTTTGCCGGAAGCAAACTGTTCGCTAGTGTAGCACTCATCTTTGGTTATGACAGAAGTTCTCTTCCTGTGTCCTGAAGTTTGTGAGTTCTTCTATCTTCACTTCTATTCTTGCATCTACGTCAAACTTTCTAACTTATGGGGTTTTCTTTTATTGCTCAACTCACTTATTGTGTTTTATGAGGGAAGAGAGACAAGAAAAAAAAATTTGAAACAGAGGATTGGAATACCAATCAGTCGCATCTGACATAGCCATTGCATGCTAATAAAGCTCGTCTAACAGAACGGTTGAATTCTGATTAGCTGGTTCATAGAACTGTTGAATTACTATTAAACAAATCAATCTCATGAGATTGGTTTGCTTTCTAACCATTGAACCTTCGTCGAAGAACGGCTGTATAGTCGAACGCTTAGAAGCTTCACCTTGTCTTGCGGTTACTCTCTTCTTTTCTGAAACGTAGTCCTTAGAGCACTGCTTCAAGTCATTCTTCGTGTTGATCCTCCAAGATCTTTGGTTGGCTCTACAAGTGTACTTTCTTTCATTTTATATTATGAATCTTTAGTATTTCATTATTGTCCTTCTCGAATTACCATATAAGTAGAATATATGAACTTAAGATGAACCTATGAAGTCAAAAGAACGTTTGTAAAATGAAAAAAAAATCGTTATGCAGCAGCTTACAAATATGGAAGAATAAGGGCTTTAAGTGTGCGTTGGAAGCAATTTGAGCGATGTGGAATCAGTAAAAAGAAAAAAAAGACATAAATGACTAAAGAGGAAATGTTTAAAAGTGGCATAGAAGATGGAAAAACTAAATGAGACATAGTGTGGCTCTTAGGTGACGCACTGAGGTGATGCGTAGAGAAGCTTATCGAACCCCTTCAAGCATGTATTGAAAGTGCGACAAATTGGCATTTTTTTTCTTCTTTTCTGTTTCACCCAATATTTCAACACTTAATTCTGTATATATTATTGAATAATATGCTTTAGCTAACTTCATTTTCAAATTCATAATACTTCATTCGGTTACCATTCATTAAGTATTAAGATGGAAGAAGCCGATACTTCGGCATTCGACAAAGTCACAACACAATTCCTTCTCTCTTTTTTTTTCGCTATTTTTAGCTTTGTAACTTCATAACAACCACAATGCAAGTTTGTTACTATTGTGAGGGATCAGACAAGCATCGTTAACATTGCTGTTGGTATTTCCATGTATAGGAGACATACACTCAAAGCAAATCTTCACTTATCGTCACTTTCCTCTTTTCGTTTTCATTTTTTCAATCTTTTTTTTCCAAATAATGACTGAAGAGCTAATAATGAAAAGCTTTTTTGACTCTGACGACACGTAAAAAAGAAAAAAAAAGAGATACAACTTGAAGAAAAACAATGAAAAGCACTTTGTACATTTTTCCAGAGAAAGCATTTGTGCTTGTGCTCGTGTCATTTTCGAACTAACGAATTAAGCTCAAACTAAATGCATATTTGGGCGTCAAACTTGAATTTCCTTTTCGCTTTTTTTTTTTGAATTTTTTGTTCCTGCTCATTCATTCTCTCTCTATATCTATTTCACTCTCATAACGTTTCTTTGCCATCAGCATTTCCTCCCTTGAGGCTAAAGCTATCATTCTTTCAAATATCGTTTTAAGACCGCGAACCTTTTTTTCAGCAGACAAAGAAAGCATCAAAACGACTTTGTGTCAGTCAGACATTTCCAATTTCGTTCGGATTTCACTTAATTTTCAACTTTGTCATTTTATAAACTTCAACACACATACATACACTCACACTCACACACACACATACATACATACAATGTGTTGTGCTTTTAATCGCTTTTTCTTTTTCAAACTGAAAGCGGAGACAAAAAGAAAGAAGGAAAATAAATTTTTCGCTTTATTCTTTCGTTTTTTTTTTGTCACAAAGCAATCTGAAATATAGTTGTCATTATTATTTTTTTTGGATTCATTCCCTCTCATGTGTGCTCCAATATGTTATTCAAATGAAATGTTATGTGCATTTACTTGAAGCATGCACATATTTATGTTTGCAGGTTGAACAGTTCCTCAAGCTACACTCCTTCATTATGTCAGCTGGTAGACTTTCGTGGAATTTAGAAGATGAAACGCTGTGTGACAAACGAAAAGCAGCTTCTCGTAGCGTTGCAAGTGCTGGATGCAGTCCTGCTATGGGCAAAAAGCTAAGTGAGTTAAAGCTTTGAATAGATATATAAATACAATTGCTTTCAATGATAGAAAATAATAGAAAAATATGTTTTTTATTCTCATATCATCCGCTCCAAAATGAATAATGATGTGTCGAACGATAAGCTCATTCGCTAATTATAAGCAGCTTAACTGCAACTCTTCTCGTTACTTCATTTTCTTTTGCTGCATTCTCTTTCTCTCTGTTTTCAATGTGATATCACCGTTTCTCGTTTTTTCCCGGTTGTTTAGTTAAATTACCATTTTTTTCACAAAAATAAGAGGTTTCTGCTTTAGAAGAAGCCTCCCTTGTGTTTCCAAACTACTTTTTTCTTTCCTTCACATCAAGATCTCTCTGCTCCTGTTCAGTATTTTTTATATTTTTTTCTTCCTTTTTCTTACTCTTTCCTTTTTTGGGTTGAGAAAAGAAATATTTGCTCAATTGATTATTATTGCTAAGTTTCAAATGACACTCCTCAAAAAAAGCTTCTTTATTTTAGTTCGTCTTGGCTGTGCAGGACCATCTACAGATTCGTCGTCTTATGAATTAGCTCATAGTGTTGATCACATTCAAGATATAGGTATGAGTTATGCTAATTCCATATCATTTTAAACTGTTTTGCGCGTAATGATCGGTTGCTCTTTGTCATTCTCCGCCAATTTCGAATATAATCGATTATGTTTTGAGAAATTTTGTTGATTTTTTTTTCTTCTTCCTATGTTTGTATGTATTTTACATGGGATTGAAAGCTTGTTTTTGCCTCCTAAAAAAACGAGGCGAACGAAAGAAACAAAAATGATCATCGATAGCTGCAAAACCAATCAGCCGAATTGAAAAATTTTCTTTTTTTCTTCATTTTATTCTAATTTTTTTGTCCATAGTCTCTTCGCACATACTTCATCTCGCTCTTGCGTTCAGTCCTTTGACATCGATTTCCATTTATTTTAATTATTGGCTTGTTAGTTTGAAATTATGAAACGTTCAGCTATTCTTCGATAATTGGAGAATGCTTCAGTAGATGATAATGACGAGAAAAAATGTGAAGAAGAAATGTAAAAAAAGAAAGAAAATATTTATAAAGAATGTCTATTATTGCTCTCTTGTTCTCACTCTTACTGGCTTAGCTATGGTTTTTTATTTTTTCAGTGCAAATGTCACCTCACTCAAGACGACACCGTCTCTGGAAATTGTTTGCGACAATAACTCCAATCAGGTGCAAATGTTTTTTTCATTAATATTTTATTAATTGTTGTAATGTAGACGAGCGAAAGTTCTGAAATCATTCGAGAGCGATGATGGAAAAGAATTTCATGCAGATGCATTGGATTTCCAAAAGGTAAGAGCAATGTTGCTTCAAATTGAAATATATACAAAAATCGATAAATACCGTAGAAATTGAATGTGAGAAGCATCATGTGAACTTTCATATTTGATTGTCCGGATATTCTATGATTTCTTTTTTTTTCGAAATAACTTTGGTTCTCATACTACACTCAGCTGAAGTGTAATGAAGCATGTTCACTGGGGTATCAATCCTTAAGCGGCTTGTCTATCGAGTCTCACCTACCACCGAAGAAATGCCAACCGTTTTGAATGTGAGCTTTAACCTTACTAATCATCTTCTTGTGTTTGTGTCTCTACACCAAAACTAGTTTTGAAAAAGATTTGCATATTGATATCACTCCATTCCACGAGAATAGGAAAACTTTTTTTTTCTTGTCCAAATTTCGATATGAGTGAACGCTTTCGCTCATTAATCAAAAAAATCTCGTTTGAAAAAGATGAAGACACGGTATCGTTCGAGCCCTTTCACTGCTCTTCTATTCAACTTTTTTCTTTTTTTCAGGCTGTTGCCGATGTCAATGCAAGCACCGATTTGAACTATGTGACTTTGTTATTGAAAATCCGTTTGAAAGAGGGAATAGGATTAGCGATACGTGATGCATCTGGTAAGAGATATTTTTTTTGTAAAAATCTGTGTTTATCTTTATCAGGAAGTTCCGATCCCTATGTGAAATTTCGTTACAAAGACAAAGTTGTTTATAAAAGTCTGACAGTTTTCAAATGTTTGAACCCTATGTGGGAAGAAGAATTTCAAATGCTTGTCGATGACATGACGACGAACATTCGTTTAGAGGTACATACGTTTTCGCTCAAATTGCTTTAACCTTTTTCCAGGTCTATGATTATGATCGTTTCTGCACGGATGATTTCATGGGTGGAGCATCGATTGATATTTCTCGCGTGAAATGGTTTACGTAAGCTGGTTTCATCATCGCCCACGAAGATTGGATTTAGGCCTTATGAAACAACTCTAACCTTACAAGATGATAACAATCCTTCCGAAAACTTGGGCATGATTTCGCTTTCTGTCACAATCACGCCTTTAACGGCTCAAGAGCAAGAGAATGTGAGAATTCTCCAGAGCTTCCTCTTCATTTTTGTTTTTTTCAGTTTCTTCAAAAATCGAATAGAGGAATTCTAACTGAAACACAGAAGAAAAAAGAAAAACGTATGTCGCAGTTTGTCTTCCAGAAGAACATAGGCATTGTAGTTGTTCAAATGTGGTCTTCGGTGGTAAATATTGTGCTTGTAGAAGGAAAGGGGTTATCCATAAATTATAATATGACGCAACCACCAGATCCTTGTTGCAAATTCAAACTAGGTTGTGAAAAATATAAAAGCAAGGTAAACACAACAAGCATTTTTCTTATTAATACCTGTTTAGGCTTGTAACCGAACATGCGATCCCAAGTGGATCGAGCAATTTGATTTACATATTTATGAACATGGTAGTGACAAACTTGAAGTTATGTGTCACGATAAGAAAACCAATTCCGCCATTGGAAGGTGGGTTTTGAGAAACAAACATCCTCGCCTAAGGCTCTGTTGTTCAGAACTTGTGTTGATTTATCACAGCTCCCTCGCGACCAAACTGTTCAGAAATGGTACGATCTGGAAGAAATGGCTGGTAGCATACTATTACTTATAACTGTTTCTGGGAGTCAATCAAATGACTCTGTCGTAGATTTGACCGAATTTAGTCAGAACGATGTTAGGAACGCAATTATAGGCAAATATGTGAGAAACAGTGAATTCTCAGATCAGCTTCATCACTATTGGTTTCAGAATTTAACATCAGCTTTCAACAACTTGAAAGATATAGGAACGTTAACTGTCAAAGGTGAGTGTACTTATGCTAATTCCCCCCCCCCCCCCCACGCGTACGTATCTAATTAGCATATTATAACAAAACACTGAGCTTTGCTCAGTTTTTCACAAATTGTTCTTGTGGACGGTTGCAAAAGCATGAACTCCTTTCTCTATTCAATTTTGTGTTACAGTTTTTCGTGCCGAAAACCTCCAATCAAAAGACCTCGGAGGCAAAAGTGACCCTTTTGCTGTGCTAGAACTGGTAAATGCCCGACTCCAAACACATACAGAATACAAAACTTTGCATCCGCAATGGAACAAACTTTTTACTTTGTAAGTTCTGTTTTAATCTGTTGTTCTTACAATTTCTTTAGCAATGTGAAGGATATTCACACTTGTCTGGAAGTTACAATTTACGATGAAGATCCGAACAACAAGTTTGAGTTTCTGGGCAAAGTATCTATTCCATTAATGTCCGTGAGTACTATCACTATGCTATGAATATCAAGCGGAAACGATTCTGTTTGTAGATTCGTAACTGTGAAAGACGATGGTTTGCTCTCAAAGATAAGAAATTGCAACAACGAGTGAAAGGAGAAGTACTGTTAGAGCTTGATGTTATATGGAACCCTGTTAGTTTGAATTCCATTTTGATTTTTGATGTTCTAATTTAACCAGATAAGAGCGGCTGTGCGTACTTTCAATCCGAGGGAAAAGAAATACATTGAACAAGAGCCAAAATTTAAAGTAAATGATTGAATTTATGATTAATTATACTATGGACTACTTTCAGGCAAGTATTTTCCGCAGCACTGTAATGGAATTGAAAGAATTCGCTTTGAGTATAATTGAAATGAAAGATTATCTGCAGAGTTGTTTTGATTGGGAATCAACACCCAGATCACTCATTGCGTTTCTGGTGAGATTAAAAGTAATTGAATGAATAACAGCAATCGGTTCCAGATTTTCATGTTTTTCACTTACTACGTCCAGTTATATCATTTGCCAATTCTTTTGCTTCTTTTATTTGCCAGATGTTTACTTTATAGAAACGTTTCTAATCATATATCAAGATCGATTTCCCTCAATAAAGTAGAAGAAATTGCTGAAGATTCCAAAGTGAGAAAACAACACCCGCTTCAATAAATTCAGTTTCAGACAACAACATCTCTTCGGGATACTTTATCTTCAGTACAAGAAACTCTAAGTGTTGTTCAGAATTTATTAGTTTTCATATCAACTCTGCTACAGAGAATCAAAAAGTATGTTGAGCAAGATATTGTTGTTGCTTTATACAATGACAACTGTTTTAGTACTTTCAACTTTACCAACTCTTGGCTTTCATGGCTGGCTGTGATTGTTTTGTCTTTTGCAACATTGCTTTTATACTTCATTCCACTTCGAACATTAGTTATGATTTGGGGTAAACTTTTGAATTTTAAAGTGAAAAAGCAAGTTTACACTTTCCCGTTTTCAGGAGTCAACAAATTCTCCAAAAAGCTCATAAATCCTCATTACATTGATAACAACGAATTGCTCGATTTTCTATCTCGCATTCCCTCCGATTCAGATTTAGTAATTTTTGTTTTCGCAGAGAATAAATGTAATTTGAGCATTTCAGAATGACTGGAGAGACATATTGGTTGAACGTTCGGATGCGTTAAGAGACAGAAAGAGTAGACAATCAAGTTGAAGTCTTTTCAAAAAACGGAAACGAGAAACAGAGGTGATCATGTAATATACTTGTATGTAACGTTTTATTTATTTTTTTTGACCAAATTGACAGGGTTTTTTCCATATTAATATGCTAACTCAACTCATTTAATAAACATTATTTATTTGAGCTATTATGTACAGAAGAGAAGTTACCTGTTACTCCTCGAATAGTAATAACAGAAAGATTATGAAATCTTGTGATATTTTCTATTTTTTATCCTCCAAATCTTATTTTGGTTGAAGGATGTTGAAAGTAATGAGTACAATCCTAATTATTCAGCCATAATACCCGTAATGAGTAGACGAATTTTGAAATCACGAATATAAGCAAAGGAAGCAAATGAACAGACTTCGAATGCATACATAGTTAGTGGATGAATGACTTGTAAATATATGTCAGGGCTTAATACTATTTTGTTTCTGCTAGCTCTTATTTTTTAAAAAGCTGAGAAGAAGGCATGTCTGGGACTGTTCGAATAAATGCTAAACAGACTATTCCTTGGTTTTCGAGACGGAGCCGGACTGAATAAAGAGTAAGACGTCATGGCCAGAGGTGAAGCAGCTGGAGATGTAGATCTTCGAGTTGTGGTTAATGATGAGGGTGTTGAGGATAATGATGGTCTCAAACTACTGTAACAGAAAAAAGAAGATTTGAAAAGTGGGAGTAATTCAAATACCTCGCAGAAAATCCTCTCCGTTTTGTTGTGCTGCTTGGAGATGACACGTAAGAGCGTGGGCTATAGCTGATCGGTGGTCCACGAAGCAAGCTTGGTGATGAATTAAGGCAAAGCCTTTTCAGATCCTCGCAATATAGATCAGGTATTGGCAAATCGCATTGAGGAGTCTGCACCATGCTTACAGATGTGGTTCCTGCAAACACGTGGGATTGTTTGACTGATGATGAATGTCAGATGTGAGTTTACCTCTTACTTTCCTTTCGTAATCGACCATTTGCTTCCAAAACCCGACGTTTGGTCTAATGACAGGTCGTGCTGACTTGACGTAATGATAGGCTTGTCGAAGAGACATCTTCTCGTGTTTAACCAAGTACACCATAACAAGTGAAGCTGATCTGGACACTCCAGCCATGCAATGAACGAGAGTTTTCCCCCCGCGCTCCTAGAAGTTCAAGAGTTGTTATAGATTTCTTTGTTTGCTCAAGTACTTTGATATTTTTAATTTTGTCAGCAACTTGGTCAAAGTAGTCTCCTAAGCGGGCTGAAGGATGATCATCAACACGGATTTTCAAATAATCCACACCTAAAGTCATGCAAATTCTGCTGTTTTTTTCATCGGAGAAGACTAGAAAAGAATGAAAAAAAACCTTGTATGTAAGCATTTGGTTCTTCGGTTGTTGCATTGACGACAAACGTTATTTTCTTCATACGAATTTTTTCCGGTTTAAGCACTCCGGCTCCTGATAGAAACAGATGGTCATTTATCTCGGAGATTTGTCCAAACACACCAACTCGATTCATTCGCTTAAAATCAAAATTTAAATAAGATAAAAGCAGTTGAGAGAGAGGGAGAGATAAAGAGAGAGATAGAGAGATAGAGACATAAGAGAATGAAGGGTGAAGTTTCAGCACAACCGCTCTCGCTCCCAACAAAATTGAAATGATGACCGAGAATCACGTGAAAGTTGTGTGGACGACGTGGAGAATTCAAAAACAAGCAAAACGAGAAATGAGAGTTATAGAAAGAGAGAAGGAAAAGTTAAAAAACAGTATTGAAGCGACGAAGGGAGAAAGTCGGCTGAGCATAATAGGGGCCACGTATTTCAATAGGTTCAACTATTGATGAAAACGACAGTTCTTTATTTATCTTTTTTTTTATGTTTTCTAGAGAGTTTTTGGAAGAGGAGAGATGTACGAAGACGAATAGAGAGCGAGGAAGAGTAAAACGGAGAAAGGCATAATTGAAACTTGAAAGCATTGATGATCATGTGATTGTAAGATCTTTGAACAAGCCAATAAATGTAAAAGAATAGTAAAAATAGTTCGCTCAAGGTGGAATTTGCTTCAAAAAATCGTCAGCTGTCACACTTTTGATACTTTTTGTGGCTGGGAGAGAGACAGAGGAGTAGCAAAGGGAGGATGACAATAATTAAAATAAAAACAAAAACAAGAAATAGAAGAAATTAATCCTCAACTATCGTTTCTTTTTAGTTTCTCGTATATGAATGTTTTGAGTCATTTGTTGAATGAAGCATTTGCTTCCTCAAGTATTTCTCTCTCTCTCTTCTCTCTCTCTCTCTGTGAATATTTTATTAAAAAAACATTCGGAGATGAGTCAATGTTGAGAGAAAAGGAAATTTTTATAAAAGTAAACTTGTTTTCCTTAATAATTTGGCAAGAAAGATAGCAAACAAGCAAAACCAGGAGAGCTAATTTCATCAGACAACGACGACAACGACGACGAGGCAGAACCGTCGTTGATCAGGGGCATTAAGTCATTGGCGAAAAAGTGAAAGTTGTCAAAAGTTTTCTTGATTCGAAAAATTAAAAATAAAAGACGTTTGGATATAAAAAAAGAGAGAAAGAACAAAGAAAAGCATTGATTGGCAATCACATGGTGAAAAACAGAGAACGACGTTGGAAAAGGTGTGGGAGGTGCAAGCAGAAAACAGATGATAGGCCTGAGGACATGACGAGATGGAAGCCAATTGGATGAGGAACTAGAACGTTGAGAGGCAAAGATATGTGCGAATTCTTAGGTCAAACAAAGCGCAAGAAGGGAAAAGCTCACTAGAGCTTCGCTATTGCATAGCCATTTTCGTTCATTTTGTTTAATTCTAGCTGTTTCCTCCTACTTCTATTATTACACAAAAAGACATTTGTCCTCTGGCGTAATCGTCTTTCATCCTTTCGTATGATTCTCGAGAATAGACGAAAAAATGGAGGCTTTTCTCATTTTCTCCCTCTCACTTGCGAGCTCATACTCTCATCTATCTCTCTCGTAAATATGGACATGTAAGGATTAACTGAATGAAGACTACTTTCATTTGAAATCTTTCAATAGCTAAGTGATTCTTAACTATATGTAATAATAGATCTATGATAGAATAGTTATTTTATGAGACAAAAAAATAACATAATAATCGAACGAAAACCTGTCAACTACTATCGTGGCTCTCTACGGAAATTATTTCCGAAAATGAAAGTGTCTAGGGCTTCCGAATGTAATGATGTAGCAGTTGATGAGAGTTGCATAAGATTAAAAACCATTCTATTTATAAAATATATTGGTTAGACGTTTAAAAAACAGAAATTTTTCTGTAAATTCCAAGTCGTAAAAGAGTTTGGTCATTATGTGTGTTGGATGTGAAGGAAAATAACCAAATAAGAAAAGGAAAAGCCCTGCAAATTAAGAAGAAATGCGAGAATGAACGTTCTCTTTGTGTAGAGAGACAGAGAGGGAGGGAGGGAATGAAGGAGGAGAAAACGGCAGACAGAGAGAAGGAGAGACAAAAAAAAGGGGGAAAAGAGGTAGAGAGAGAGGGAGAGAGAGAGGGAGGAAGAGAAAGAGAGCAAGAGAGAGAGAGAAGAAGAAAAGTAGTTGGGATGGATGTGAATGAAGTCAAACTGTGAGTCATTATTGATCATAAACTTTTTGAATAATAAATAAGAGAATTGATGAAAGATTCATGAGGATCACTCTCATTTTCTTTGAAAAGCATCTCATTTCATTTATTTATCAATGGATTATAAGAAGAATTTTCATTTTGTCTTGCTATAATGAAGATTAGAGAATGCATGCTGATCGCATGGGTGAACACAAGAGAAGAAGCATTTGCTTCTTAAACCTTAAATAGTCAAGTCTATTTCCATTAAGAATGATGTTCTCGAGAAGAAGAGAATGAAAGGCTTTTTGAAAAAAAAAAATTCTTTTTGCCTCAAAAATTATATCAAACAGGGGGGGAGGGCAGAGGAAGAGGAGGGTTGGTGAAAAAGAAAAGGTTCGGAAGAAGAAGGAGAAAGGAAAGCTGATTGAAATCGGCAAACTGCTAATTGTCTAAAGTGATTTTGTCTTTTTATAAAACAGGAGATAACAAAGAGCGAGGCAGCACACGAGCTCACGATATTGATATGTTAAAAGTAACAAAAATAAGAGGAATAGAGCGAAGAATAGACTACACAAAATTTCATATAAATAATTGATGAGACTTGATTATTTAATAGAAAAAAGAAACTATTTGTGCGAGCAGCTCTAAGCGATTGCTGCTTTTTCTCTTTATTTTCTTTCAAAAGTAAATTGTGTGAAATCAATACATCATCAGATGAAATATTTGATTAGGAAATACTCGAGGCATAACGAGACCGAAGAGTTACTGCCGAAACGTTTTTGTTTAGCAACCATCGCCGCTCATTTATTTTTCGAGCTTTTTTCATACACACATTGATTTCGAATTCAGGGCAACAGGAAGCATGTCAACCACCCCAGATGTAATCATTTGCTTAACTAATTGTTCACGTCACTTGCACGTGAAAGTAAACAAGACATGTTAAATTTCATTTTTTCGCAGTTACTCGATTGAGAACGGTTGTTCATCAAAATATTTCTAATTACCAATTATTAATTTCTTTTATTTATTACCATTCACATCATTTGCCTAATAGTTTGGGAAACTAAAGATTGGTTATTGGGAAAGGCTGCTCCAAAGATATTTTGTGTGTCGGTTTAGGCGCGGTTGTCGATTTGAATGGCAACGCCCGAGTCTCTCTTTCTGATTCAAACTTCCTTTTATATTAATTTTTATGTTGTAGTATACATAAATATATGAATTTGTGAAAGGTTTTCCTGTTAACACGTGCCATAACTGTTTATTTTACGTAGTAGAAACTTTAAAGCATTTTCCCACACAGCGACCTCTTCTAGTGTAGAGAAATTTATTTTACGCACTGGTCTTCTCTTTCTTCTCAAATTCTTCTCGATGTTGCTGGCCAGCTGTGCAACGATTAGTGACTTGCTAATGGTTATATGAGAGAACACTATGATGAATCACTCGTATTTTTTTTATATTATTTTGCAGTTTATGGATGGTTTCGCCCGAGCGAAGCAAATCCTTTTGATCGCCTTTTTGGTTCACAAATCTAATTCTTATATGACCCTCAGAAGGTCAGCGTACCGACGTTTCCCAACATTGTTTTCCGATCTCATAATAAAGTATTATCCCACTAGCTCATTCTTGAGTGTATTAGAGCGACCTAAAGTGGTATGAAGATGTTTAATTGCCACTATAGAGACTGTTGTCTTCACTGATTGCAAGTTGAAGATAAAACCTCATTCCTTTCTATTTGGCAAAGTCTTAACGGCGTCACTTGGTACGTTATCGTTGTATTCTATTGGTTCCCCGCGAAATATGCGCATATGTGAATTTTTCTATTTTGAAACTTTTCCTCCGACCTGCCCGACGTCAATCATTGTGTGGACGGAGGGACAGAGGACGCCATTGAATTGTTTCCATGAAACCTTTCGTTTACATATTGGCCTTGAACATGTTGTGAGTGTAAAAGTTGTTCAATACAACAAATAGTTTCTGCCTTGTACGCAGAATGTTGACATTTCCGTTTTAGTACTTTCTTTCCCTTCTCCCAATCATTGTAGTTTTTTTCTGAAAAGTTCAGCCAATGTGTGGTCATGAGTTATGATGCATGTCCATATATTCTTACTGCGCATTTCAACGTTAGTGCTGGCAATCAAAGAACATCGAGTCTTCGTGTTTCATTCCCACTCGAAACTAATAGTAGAAGAGGATTACTCTTTCATTGGCGCAAGAGAACTTATTTTTCGTACACAAACACATGTCATGATTATCCAACGAAATATTTATATTTTGTTCGAATTTGATTTGCGAATCAGATTATAAGCCAAGTGTGGTATTTGCTTATCAAAATGCCAGTATGTGTGTTTGTTGCTTCTCATTACTATCTGTTTGCTTTTTTTTAAACTGCGAAAAGTTTCAAATTTCGCAAGATGCAACATGTTCTGAAAACTTGTGCGCTCTATGGGTAATTGTAGACGCGACGCGAGGTCATTGCGATGAGGTTTCGATGAAAAGGGAAATTTCTCAGTCGTGAGTGTTTCACTGATGAGTGAGCATATAATATTTTTTTAATTTGCTAATGATTAATTAAGCTTTCAAGATATTTGCATCTCATTTCTACTTGTTTATTAATATCACTTTGTATTCTTCATTCACGCTGTCTTCTTTGTTTCTCTGTTTCTACCTCTTTTCATTCCCATTCATGTATCTTTACTCCGGCCCCATCGATTGCTCCTTCTCATGCCGTTGTTTATCCATTCTGCTTTCCTATTTTAGTCGAGCTTTCGTATCTATAGATTTTCTTTCAGCAATGTCAACCAAGAAGGCAAAGTCTGTCCGTACCTCAATTAGAAGCGAAACTATCATTCCCGCTTCTCCAAATGACTCAGCAAGGTATGATGTTCGAATTGTTTTGTTTTCTATTGTTTATTCTTAGTTCCTCTTTTTCTTTCAACGGATCCATTCTGGAGACATCCCGTGCCCAAGAGAAAGAGCAACTCACTGGTTTGAATAGTCGTTTGGCTATGTACATTGAGGTAACTTTCTATCGTTATATTGACTATCTTATTTGTTTTTTTTTCTCAGAAAGTTCGTCAACTTGAACAAGAAAATAACCGCCTCACTGTTCAAATCCGTGATGTCGAAATTGTTGAGAAAAGAGAGAGAAGCAGCATCGTTAATAACTTTGATGCTGAAAAGGTTTTTAATATATTTCGAATGTTTGGTAAATTCTTATTTTGTTAGAAAAGACTCCGAGGTATCATCGATGATCTAGAGAAAAGAGAAGCTAGAGCCGTCATTGAGCGTGACACCGCCGTTGCTGAGCATGATCGTCTTTTAGCTAAGGCTAACAAGCTTGAAAGAGATCTTGCTAAGGAAAACGAGACTAAGATTTATGCCCAATCTCTTGCCGACGATGCTACTGCTAAGTTGAAGAACTTGCAGAACCGATTGGAAAAGATCGAGGCCGACAATAATGTAATTTTTTTCAATAACAAGATGTATAAATAACTTTTATCTCCACAGGAATTAAACCGCGAAAACACTCGCGTGAATACCCAACTCAGTAGCATTCAAAAGGCTCTTGAGGATGAATGTTTACAACGCACTGTGGCTCAAAACGAGCTTGCCAGAGCAACTGAAGACCTTGCCTTCCAAAAGAGGCAACATGATGCCGTACGTTATGAAATTTCTAATATCTTCATGTTTGTTCCTTTTTTAGGCTTTAGATGAAGTCTCACGCAAACGTCAAGTCGAAATGACCACATACCAGAAGCAGGTAATATAAAGCTGCTGATGACAAACTATTTTCTTCGAGGTTTAGGTTTCACAAGAGTTCCAGTCTAAACTTCAAGAGTCTTTATCCGAAATGAGACAGCAGTTACAAGACCAATTGAATAACTCTCACGGCTTACTCGAGGATCAGTACAAGACCAAGGTAAGCTAGCTTGTTTGATTATTTTAACTGTTTTTTTCTCAGCTCTCTGAAGCCCAACAATCCAGAGATGATGCTCTAGAGGAGGCATCCTCTTTGCGTTATCGTTTGAAGGAAGAAGGTGGACATAGTGCTCTCATCGCGAGTCTCCGCAACCAATTGGTTGAACTCGAGCAGCAGATGCAAGATCGTTTGAGCGCTAAGGTTTGGCCCAAAAAAGGTTTCAATAATACATTTGTATATTGAAGGATCTTCGCATTGCTGATCTTAATAAAGAAATCAGTCGTCTTTTGACTGAGTTCCATAATCTTTTGGATAACAAAATCCAATTGGATGCTGAGTTGAACGCATACAGAGTCTTGTTGGAGGTAGAGAGATACTTTATCGTTAATATCATTAAGTATTTTTGATAGGCTGAAGAAGAAAGACTGAACATTAGCTCACAAAACGCTAACACTTCTATGACCAGAACTAGCCTTCTCAGTGCATGTATGTTTTCTTTCGCTTTAGCGTTCCTCATTAGAATCAATTTAGCAAAATCTGGACAGCCCGGAAGAAAGCGTGCCAGAATTGAAGTTGACGGAGAAGACAATTTCTCTGTGCACGCCACAAAGGAAAGAGTATGTGATGTGAGGTTAATTTATTTCTATTGTGTGAGTTTCAGCTCGTCAAGGAAACCGTTGGACCCATTGGTATCGATGAGGTTGATCCTGAAGGAGCTTGGGTCAGAATTGAAAACTACTCTGAAGATGAAGTCACCATTGCCAAATGGACAATCGAAGTTCGCGCTTCTGACAGAGAGGTGAGCTGACTCATGTTTCCAAATATGAATGTTATGTTCAGGTCTCTTATCGCTTCAATAATAAGATGAAATTGGCTGGAGGAGCCAGCTGTACTGTCTACTCTGCTACTACAGGACACAAGAGCCATTTGCCAGATACAATCACAATGAAATCCGAGAGTGTAAGTTGTTTCATCTTCTTGATCCTTCTCATAAATCCATTCTAGTGGCCAGTCGGAGAGAATCCTTCAGCAAGACTTCTGGATGGTGAAGGAGATCTCGTCTCTTCTATGTCTTTGTTAGAGGGCGAGTACACAGATTCTTCCAACCCTGGAGACAGATGCTCCATCATGTAAACCAGCTGTATGGCAATTGTTTTCCTTTCTTAAACTTAATATATTATAAGACTAAACTCCAGTTACATTGTTCAACATTTCAATAATATTTTAGTAAGAAGATCATCAATTTACCTTAAACCTTTATAGGTATATATTGTTATAATCCAAGATGATTCTCGATTGTTATCTTTCTTTTCCCTCAAATAATATTACATTGAACAACTTTAAGAAATGTCTACCTTAGAATCCTTTGAGTATCTCATTGTTCGTTGATCCTTTGCAACCAGAGACTGCATTTCACACTTTTGTATAAGCAGTGCTATCTAGCCGGTTGTATTTTAATGAAATAAAGGTTAGCGTGCCAAGTGTTCAGATCTTCATTGTTCACATTCTCTTTATGGCTGAGTTCTCGACAATTATCTTTACCTTACAAGGTTTTATTGCTAGCAACTTGAAAAATTTATTGGAGTGCAAAAGTAACGCCGTCATACAGTAAGCCATTTCTGGCATTTTCAGGTTGACGTCTTTTTTCGAATTCGAGGACAAAGTTGTAAATTTTGCTGTGAAATGTGGTTTGGTTGGATGAAAATTGAATTTTTTTAAAAAGTAAGTTGGCTAACATACTCTTCAAGGTTTCTTTTCAGAAGTTTCGTTTAACAACAAAAAGAACGATTGACTACGTTAGTTCACGTGATCCCAATGCTTCCATCGCCTAAACTCAAATAAAAGCTGCGCCATGTCTATGAAAGGATCTATCGGTAGGAAGCTTCCAAGAATATTCTTCATCAATGTTTTTTTTAGGTAAGGGAGACGTAATATGGGTTCCTTATCGGAGGAATCCTTGGCCAGCTTTGGTTGAGTTAGCTGCACCCCACTTAAGTAACGCACCACTTTCAGGTTCAAAATGTTTATCCAAAAAAAGTCACTTATGTTTTCTTCCCTTTACCCGAAGAAAACGGAAAAAAATGGGTCAGTTTTAGTTGTAATCCCAAGGTAAGCTTTGTAGAAAAGTTATAGCTTTCATGTTTCTTTCAGGCTGTTTATGCGCTAACCATTCACGATACCCTTCCCGAACATTCTCCTTCCGATTTGAGGGAGGCCTTTTCATTCGCTGTTGAATATTTGACTGAAAGAGGCTTAGATTCAGTTTGTTTTGATGTCAACTTATTTTAAATTACCATAATCAACTTTTCAGGGTTCTGACATTCAGAGGTTGCCGGATCAAGAGGTGCGCTTTTCATTACTATCCCTCTATAACAAATCAATTTTTTCAGGAGCCTTCATCAGCAGAAAGTGAAAAAGTAGAATCTACAGAATTCCCTTTATATCCTAAGTCTCTTGAAGATGATAATGAATCTTTGGAATCCACTTCAACACATACGATGCCCAAAAATAGTAAGAACTGTTTGTAATGTTCAGTGTCAAACGCCATTTTTCAGAGAGCTCAACTTCTCCACCCCCTTCTCTGGTCATTCCTGAACGAGAGTTCAATCCCTCAAACGTGATACATTTAGGACCTTTAAGAGCATTAGTCAGTCATCACAAATTAGTTTATTGTCTAGTTCTTTCAGGTTTTTGAAAATTTGGAGAGTGTTTTGAATAAAATTTGGTCGTCTTCGTTGGTGGAAAGTTATGTAGTGCCACAAAGAAATAAACTAAGTATATCATTCCGGGCTGCTAGGTTTCTCTCAGGTTTGTTGTTAGGGTAGAAGCAGTTCGTCATCGTTTGTTTTAGATACAGACGCAGACGCTCTTTTCGAAACAATTGTAAATTATGTGAAAGCCCGAGAAAAACGATCTCGATTGTTACCAGTAATACACTTGACTTCGGAAGTTTTATTTCCAGAAGTAATAGTTCATAATATTCAAGAGGTTTGTTCGTTTAGAAAAATACGTTGAGCTTTCTCTTCAGATTAGACAAATTTCGTATGAAGAAGCAAGTTCGCTTGTATATGGTGATATGAGGAATTCTGTTATGGGTAGCTGATTCTTTTAACTCTTCGAAACAGAGGTTTTTATTTTGCAACTTCACAAAGCATATTAATAAGTATTGTTAATAATTTCGTTCCTTTTTGTCTTCTGTAAGATAATGCTTTATATGTACGGGAATCATTTGGGTATCGGTTCTCCTGATGGAGCTTCTTCCGTACTGTTAATCAAGAACTGCATACTCAGATACTATAGTGGCATTTATTATGTAAAACAGCATTTTAAAATACAATCTTTGACATTCCTTACCGTCTTAATAAGTTAAAAAGTTATGCTTTCAAATAGATATGATGATGGTTACAACTCCGATAACAACCAAAGTGGAAATGTACAAACCCAGATATTTTTGGAGAAACAACGAGATGTAATACTTAAGGCTCTGATTAACAACTTTCTAATTTCTCTCAAATAAACAACTAATGTAAGTTCTAATATTATTCCAGAAGCTTATGCCGATCCTCCCTTGGATACAGATTATCGTATACTACATATTAAAGAAAAATAATTACTGCACAATGTTCTCGTTAGACTACGGATACGAACTTAATCTGCCAGCGCACCGGATGGGGAGAGATTGGGCATACTGTCGAAGAAGCATTTTATTCCTTATTCAGTTCGTCGCTTTCTTCATAAAACGTTAATAATAGGGGAACTATCATAAACATTATTACGACTCCGGCAAGCAAAGCCCACACAGAGCATCCGGAATCCGGAGGCCGGGCATCGATGAAATGGAACGTACCCGGAATTCCATCTTCAGGTAAAGTTTCTCGTGCTTGTGCTGAAAGCTTTCTCATCCAGTGAAAATTGGCTTTACGCTCAAACCTATCACGGAATCGGCTTGCCTGAAGATCTCTTCCACACTTGCATCTCTCGACCTATCAAGTAATAGATGCGCGCGTTCATCTACATCTTCAAAAGAACAAAGGATTTCATTTGCTACGTCAGACTTTACCGATGATGTGTTCGTCTTCATCAGATGACCCATTTACACCTAAAGCATGGCGCATCCGAGTGATTGGTATTTTTATAGAAGTTAAAGCACCAAAATCTACATCACTTACAAGATTATTTACCCGTTTTATATCAGCCGCCTAAAGATAGTATAACATAAACAGTCGAAAAAAATATGTTCAAACTCACATGAACTGCGTATTGGATGGCTAGCCTGTTCAACGTGTCGCCAGGTTTAATTTTTCTTTCAATTAGGACTACATCTCTTCAATTAAATGCCGATAGTAAACCTTCAAGAGTTTCAATTACCTGTAACTCGGTATATCAGTTTTCCTGTCGGAATCTGAAGATGTTCTGGCTACTCGCGACCTCATCTCAAACGTTGTTTGCGTTTCAGTAGTCATTTTTCAAATAAACTCGATAAAATTAGCTAGGATATAAATACAGTGAAGATATGCTTACGTACACACGAATTACAAGCTTGTGGATCGTGGAAACGTGAATAGGGGGCGGGGTATAGTTTATCCGTGTTAGGACCATTAAAGACTACCGTCCTTCATCTGATCTTGTCATGTAAGATATTGTCGTCCTCAGGCTAAAATGCTATTTTGTTCTGTTAAATTTGTTGTTCATCTGTTCGATGGGTTTTTGAGTTATTGTCACGAGCTCACTCTGAATTCTTGCTGTAGTTTCTCGTCTTCTGGAAGCCATATAATATCATAGTACTTAAAGCTTCTATGATATATACTGTCTTATCATAAGAGTCAGGGAAATCACTTCAAAGCCTATCTATATTCACTATCCGTTATATTAAATCTCAATGTTCTAATAGTAAAAAATCTTCGTATACGATTCGTGCTGCTTAAATATAATTAACTGTGTGTGAAGAATTCCTTCCTTATTGAATTAGAACCAATCGAGTTTGATAAAGCAGGTTCTGCTCATATCTACTTATTAACTTTTATGGTAACAGCGGGCATTTGAAAAACATTAGAGTTGAAGTCTTCCTTCTTGTAGTTCATTCTGTTTACATTGAAGAAACATTTTTGTGCTTGAAGCGCCAACTATTCTGGAGTTTCCTCAACAGAATAGAAAAAAAAGCACAGCCGGATGAAATTAAGATCATGACTACTTTTGTAAACAAAGTTGCCAAAGTTGCCTTCTCAAAAAAACTCAAAGAAAAAGTTTGTGGCATTGGAAGCTTTGGAACTATAGGAAACGTGCAAGAAGCCCACTGCGGGAGGTCATTCTGATAACTGGATGACTTTCGCAGAGATTGAATGAACATGGGATAACAATGAATGGAATATCTGAAAGAAGTTTTGTGTAATGGAACGATGTTTTATTTGATGTTTCTTTTTGAGTTTCGCGCTGATATTTTAAGAATATCAATATTGTTTTAGAGTTAAACCTATTGCCTTGCTGCTTGCGATTTTTTGACTACGCGCCACCAACCTGACGACTATGTGTAAAGCGCAATCGTGAACAGAGAATCCACGATCCAATCTTTGAAGATCAATATCTTATAATATATATTTTTAATTGTTTTTATAGTTTGATTCCATTTTATAAGGTCGTAAGAATAGAAGTGTTAACTGTCTATTTATTTTGATTGGCGTCTCTATAAGCAAATCAATAACTCTATTGACCTTTGTGCACTCTCCGAACTGCTTTTACGAGCATAAACCTGTTTCTTTTTAATTTTTTAATTTTATTGTTATATTCAATACTTAATTCCCGTTCAAGGTAAAAATGATCGGCAAATGTCTCAGTAAAGTCTCTACAGTTGGACAAATTGTGTCTAATAGAGGATTTTCTTCCGAGGTATCATTGATGTTCAATCTCGTTTTATTGAATCATGATTTAGATTCGCAGAGTCACTCTTATTCCTGGGGATGGAATCGGTCCTGAAATTTCCAAAGCTGTACAAGAGATTTTCGAGGTTAATAATTAGATTCTTTCGTTTATTAATGTTGCATCCAGGCTGCCAAAACTCCTATCGAATGGGATCCAGTCGATGTGACTCCAGTCAAGGGACGTGATGGTGTTTTCCGTATTCCTAGCCGTTGTATCGAGTTGATGCACCAAAACAAAGTAGGATTGAAAGGACCTCTTGAAACTCCAATCGGAAAGGGACACAGATCACTCAACTTGGCAGTTAGAAAGTCAGATAGCTTATATTACTGTTTTTAACTTTTCTATTTTCCAGAGAATTCAACCTGTACGCTAACGTACGTCCATGCAGATCTCTTGAAGGACACAAAACTCTCTATGACAATGTAGATGTTGTTACTATCAGAGAGAACACCGAAGGAGAATACTCTGGTATCGAGCACGAGGTATTTTTTCTTCCAGTTTATTTCATTCTTTCTTACGTTGTTTTCTAGGTTTCCCCAGGAATTGTTCAATCTATCAAATTGATCACTGAGCAAGCTTCCCGCAGAGTAGCCAAGTATGCCTTTGACTATGCTCGTTCCAATGGACGTCAGGTTGTCACTGCTGTACACAAAGGTAATCCTAATGCGCCTACTTTGTTTCATAATCATACTCACAGCTAACATCATGAGAATGTCTGATGGACTTTTCTTGAATATGTGCCGCGAACAAGCAGCTCTCTATCCCGATATCAAGTTCAAGGTGAACAGAATATTTTGTCATGCTTACATTATTTCTGTTTAGGAGGCTTACCTCGACACAGTTTGCTTGAATATGGTTCAAGATCCTGGACAGTATGATGTTCTTGTCATGCCTAACCTTTACGGAGATATCTTATCCGATTTATGCGCTGGTCTTGTCGGAGGTCTTGGAGTCACCCCCTCTGGAAACATTGGAGAAGACGCCGCTGTATTCGAGTAAGTTATTTATTTTTCGGAATATTTGATAACTAATAAAATTCAGATCTGTTCACGGTACCGCCCCTGATATCGCCGGACAAGATAAGGCTAACCCAACCGCCCTCCTCTTGTCTGCTGTAATGATGTTGCGTTACATGAATCTTAACCCTTATGCTGACAAGATTGAGAAGGCAGTTTTCACTGCCATCGCTGATGGAACAGCCAAGACCGGAGATTTGGGAGGTACGTAACTAAGAATCCAATTAAAATCATATGTTCTACTTGCAGGTTCTGGAACTTGTTCCTCATTTACTGCCGATGTTTGTGCTCGTATCCGCAATATGGATTAATTACTAGTTAGCGTATAGAAATCACAACTCTTCATAATTTCCTTGTTTTCGTTTATACTTTAGTTCGAAGTAGTTCTGTTAGTTGACGTTGCGGCTCCCTATACTCTACCATAATTACTTGTTCTCAATAGTTTAATCTGGTCCGACTTCATTGGCAGTAGCTTTTTTTGCTTTATGATGAACTTTGGGAGTTTTAAAAATAAAAGAATTCTTTTCTTCTATATTTACATTATCCAATTTAAGTTTTCTTTTTTTGTTTCAAAGTGTGAGCGGTTTTGTCCTAGTGAGAAGATGGATCCCGTATTTGTAATTAATGTATAGGTGTTACAGTATTACACAAACCGCATACGGGATACGGAACTCTGCGTGTGCGTCAGAAATCATTTCTTACAGACGCCCGTTATAACCCTGAAAATAAATTAAACATTAAAAATAGTCGAATTTTTTAATAGAAAGGCAATTTATACAAGTCTTATATGACTATATTCTATAATTTCTGAAGAAAATTAATAGATTACGATAATACGAATGTAAAAGGTTCGAATTCACCTGTTAAGAACAAAAAAAAGAGATATATGAAGGAAGAGAGCGTAAAAGTGAGTTGAGAGAAGAAAAAAGTGGCGCAGGATTATGAACCACCGTGACTGTACAATTTGAGTGAGAGAAAATACAAAGACGGTCAAAAACATCTAATTAACATAAAACACCTAATTTGGCAATTATTATTACATATTATTAAACCAGGATATTCCATCAATAATCCGATATGGAACAAACATAAGCTCTATTTTCATAAACAACCGAGATAAGTGACAATTCAGAGCATTCAGAAGGTAAGATGATGGCAGGAGTAAAGGCACTTGTAGAGCAGAAATGCAAAGAAAGATTCCGGGAATGAAGATACTACATATTCCTTAACACATACGTGTTCACTTCTTGCGTTTGGGCTCGCTCTTAACCGTCAGGCTTTTCAACAGAGGCGAGAGCTCTTGGATGGGTCTGTAATACATAATCTTGAAAAACTTTATGAGACGTTCGAAGCTTCCGGCGAATTAGAGGTGCAAAGCGATTATTAAAGCTATTACACGATATCAAAACGAACCCTACACTGATTCAAAAGAGTTTCTGAAGAAGTTCGAATTACAGCATATGAAGGAAAATAGGCAGGGAAGGTTAGTGAGAAACTTACGGTGTTTTTGGTTCCTTTTCATAGGGGATTCTCGTAGGCGTACTAACAGGCAGACGACCAGCTCGAGACTCTACATCTCTTAACTTGGTCCATTTCTCAGCAATCTCTGATTCTCTTCGATAGAGATCAGCCTTAACAATAATGTTTTAAATGTCAATCAGGTCCGACTTACCTTCTCTTTCGAAACTTGCTCTTCCCATTCAGATTTAATCTTATTGAACTCATCTTGAGCAATCAAAAGATCCTGTTTCTGATCCTCGATCTCACTTCGTCTTCGAGCATCATCTTCTCGTACTGCCTTTTCTTTTTTACGAAGAGCCTCCATTGTTTCCCCTGGAGCTGTGACGGTAGGGCTAAAAATGGGACGAACTTTCTCCAAAGTCACGACACGTATTTTTTCACTGAAAAAAGAATAACTGTTATTGAAGAACATTGTAAAAGTTTCTTACAGAGCAAGTTCGTTCTTCAACAAGATATTCTCTGTTTTCAGTCTCTCGCAGTCCTTAATTAGTCTCGAACATCCACGACGAGTTGACAGTGGCTGAGAAAGCTTCAATACAACGAATGAACACCGTAATATGTAATAGTACTAACCGGCATCTGATGAATTTGCTCGTCGATCTCGTCCTTCTCCCTTCTGATCTCAAGAGAATTTCTAGTTGCAGGAACCCCATTTTCACTGCTTTCGCTCATACGAGGAACTGTGGTGTGTCTACGAAGTTGGAGTTCTAGACACAACAATAATATTATTTCTGTTCTGTACTGATGAACTCACTTCCTTTGCTAGAAGCATCTGTAGCTCCGTTGAACGTTTTGATTCTTCTTGGACGAACCCCTTTTCCAGTGGAACTATCAGAGTTTGAACTATCCGAATCATTCCCGTCCACGAACTCATCATTAAAGAAATTAAGCAATTCCAGCTCTTTCGCTCGCGACATATCTTCGACTACTGGAAATTATATTATTACAGAATGAAATTTTCTACCGATCTCACATTTGTTTAATGGTACAGTTCGCGAATTGCGTAAATCTCTGAATTTTACTTTTATAGCATCTCGTACTCTTTCTTGGAGATCCGTTCTCCCGGACCAACTCAGTGAGTACACATGAGCTTTCAATTCTTCGAGAAACCTTCTTCGGGAAGCCAAATAATCAGCTAACATCTTTTCCTGGTCGCAACGTTCAGCTGTAGAGTTTATTTTAATTAAACGGAAATTAAATGAGAGCACAAACCAAAGAGCTTGTTTAACTTTCTGAACCACATTTCTTCCTCTTCTTTGATCTTCCTCTCTTCTTGCATGACGATCTTGTCTTCATTATTATATGACAGACGAACTGTAAATGTTAGAATAGATCGAGCGGTCATAAGTCAGGTGTCTCACTTGGAATTCGAGTCACGTTTATGCAGTTGTCAAGAACAGTGGACCATTTTGCCATATCAGATTTTGTGTGGAATTCAAATTCTAGTAAGGTTGGTTTCACGGCTGAAGCAAGCATGATCGATTGTCCTTTGCCGGAAGTTCGGAGAATAAGGTTGGAGACAGGCAATACGGCTTGATCCTATAAACATTCAGAGGTCAATATCAACGAGGTTTATAGCTCACATTGCTGGCGAAAGCCATTTTTGTATTTTTCTTGACTAACAAAACCAGAATGTCGTCAAAGAGAACCATTGTGACTGAAATATCAAACAGTCCGAAAATCAAACGAGATGATAGTAACCTGGGTTGAGTTTAGCAGAACCACCTGAGTGGACCTTCCACCAAACATCTCCCAAACACATCAGCCTTCTCCCATTTTCATTAATCTCTGAGCAAATGTCGTACAGCTGAAAACAACAAGCTTTGGGTACTCAATTATCCTAACTAATTGATTATAGAGGGAAGATACTGACCGTCCACTTCAAGCATACAGACCCTCCTTGGGAATCAGGAATGTAGATACAAGTATAACTGTTCATATCGAAATGGCTTCGAACTTTCTCCCAATGTCTTGCCAACTGAGCAACCATTAAGTTCTGGTCGATTCTAAGTGCGAATCGTTTAGCAGCCTAGAACAAGGACAATGTTCAAAACATATCAGAGCTCAGATTACCTGGTTAGCTGCTGAAGTATATTCTGAGAATTTAGAAAATTGGTTCAGTTCATTTCTAGCAATTGTCTCCAACAGAAGACAGTACTTCGTGGGCCTACCAATAATCTTCGCCATTATTGATTTATACTCATAACGTCGATACAGTTTATCCATTTCACAGTTCTGAGAAAAATGTTGAACCATTATCTTTCAGCGAAGCACACCTTGAGAAATTCCGTGAATTTGGAATTTTTTGCTTTCAGGTTTGAGAATGTTTGTTCAGCTTTCTGCTTCGCAGTTCCGAATGTTGTATAGGCATTAATGCAAACGGCCGTATGACTCCCTTCATCAGACAGCTGAAATCGGAAAACAATGTTGAAATTTCATTAAAAATTCAGAGCAAACGCACTTCTCGGGCCAAAATGTCAGATATAGTTTCGACCTCGTCAGAGCTTTTCTGTCTCTCTATGAGCTGTTCCAATAAATTGCAATGAAATAGCAATAAAGCATCAATCACATCGGGTATTAAAGCATTAACTTCGGCTTGAGAGAGAACATTCTCTTCCAACAGTCTCATACGATAACCCTACATTGAAAGTATAACCAAGTCCATAAACCAGCAGAAACTAACTTGTTGCAGAAAGACGAGATTAGCACAATGCTGACGTTCTATCATTATTAGTTCTGAAATAAGATGATAAGAGATGATCTGCTCTTCGAACCAACCATATATAGCATCTTGCTTTTTGATTAATTTTTCACTTAGTTTATCATGCCGATATTTCTCATGCCAAGTTTGGTATTCCATGTCAGTAAATAAGCCTAAGCGAGACCATTTTGGATTTTCGCTGAAAAATATACAGAATCGATCACAAATCTTTAAGGTACACTTACAGCAGTTGGCTGTGGAGATCTGTTCTCTCTGGTTCTCCGCCTTCATCGAGGTCTGTAGGTGAGAATACGCGGGATATGTTGTCAGGTAAGCCTAGAAAAATATAATGAGGAAGAGTTATTAAGCAAGAATTTATGATGTGCACCATCTTCTTCGTCCGAATCTCTTATTCTCCATTTGAACAAATTACTAGTCATAACATCAGGGAGTGTTAGTTTTCGATTTGAGAGTGTTCTAGCCAGAGAGTTTAAAATCAAAGCAGAGACGCGCCGGCTTCGAGGATAAGTTGATGCGCGAAGAGGAGGAAAGATGTCATCCTCATCATCTCCCTCATCCTCATCATCTTTCAAATCATTGATAGTAGTGTGGCGTTTACGTGAAACAAAACCATTCTCATCGTCGTCTTCCCCATCCTCCCCATATGTATTTTTCCTTCTAGAAGCACTTCTAGAGGGAGTGGTTAGGGAAGTGGAAGAACCAAGTCTACTGAGAAACGCCCCAGTTAAATAACATTGGTCATCATCTAAAACAACTCCATCCGGTACACAGACCGTTTCTGAACATACAATTTCCGTATTAATCACAAGGGAAATTCAAAGAACGAACCGTTGTATTCGTTTGAGAAAAGACCGTAACGCTCAATGACGTCGTCGTAATACTCAGAATTCGGTTCATCGGTGGAACGAATATCACCTTCGGAGAATGATCGTGTCATACCATATATGACAGAATCATCTTGGAATTTTGAATCACCTCGTAAAAGCACTCGCAATTCATCAAGATACATATTCGGTCCAAAATCGCTTCTTTTTGGGGAGGAAGCTCTAGTATACGCTCCTCTCCTTTTAGACGAAGTAGGGTCCGACTCATCAGACCTATTACTCGAACGTCTGAAGCTGTTTTTTCTACAACGAAACGATGGTCCACGAATAAATTTAGAAATTCGGTTTAGAAATGATTTGGATGATAGCGTTGACGGAAAATCCATTTTCACGTCAGGAATAAAGCTGGCACTTGGCATCGAGCAACGACGTCGTTCACGAATAGGGGGTGGAGCTATCATCATCATTATTGCTTTCGATGGAATTTCAAAGGACGGAGCTTAAACACAGATGCCCACAGCCACGAACAGGAAGATTTCTATGATCGTTGATGTCAATTATACCAAAATTCAACGACAAACAAAGAAATAATCAAATATAGATCGTAAGTAACAAAAATGAAAATGAAAAGGAGAAAGAGAATGACAAGATCCATTTGATAGATATGGAAACAAGAGGGCAAGACGGTTCGAATTCGTTCAAAACATATTTCATGTTCAAAAACTTAAGAATGTAGAAGTACAAGTATTTGAAATTCAAACTATGCTTGGCAACGCTGATTTCAAATCATATTCAAACAGAGCAAGCATAGGCGATGACTTATGGTGATGATATACAACAAAAGCTGTGATCATTTCAAACCTCAGACACTAAAAACAAAAGAGTGGTGCGAATATGCATTTGGCTGCAATGACTTAGATGAGATGACGAAGTTCAATCTTGCAGGAAAAATATAAAACCGAAGGAACAGCCCATGATAAAGAGTTTTGTGACTGTTTCACGAGGAACACAGCGGAATACAACAGTTCATAAATCGAACACTACAGAGTTACTTAATGCGCTTTCTATTTTTTTCATCACCATTCATTTGTATGCAGTAATGAGTGCGCCAAAATAACATCGACAACCATAACAGGCAAAAACATGTATTGAGTCATTGCGTGTACATTCTTAGATCATATATCAGTATTCCTGTTTTAGAGTCTATAGCTGGCAGTACCTCTTTAATGCCTCCCAGTCAAAAGGGGAAATTTTCAATAAACAGGCACATAAAATGTGTCGAAAAGATCTCAAGAGTATCATGCTTCCCAAATAATCGAAAACGCCCTTACACTTCCCAAAAAAATGTATCGATAATAAATCTGAACTCACCTTCAGCAAAAGCAGGGATTCCTGGTCTGTGCGAATCTCCAGGCCGTCTCTGAAACAATCATTGAAGATATATTTAATTATGATGAACAATTACCAAAGGAAATGAAGCAGATTGTGGTAGATTACGACTAGATGCATTAGAAAATATACTATCCACACTTGGTCTCTCCTTACTCTGAACATTGTCAATGTCAAGACTTCAAAAATTATGCAATTTACTTTTTTAGCTCGACCGCGGGTACCCAGTAAGCTGAAGAAAAAGGGTTCCGAAGATCCCTTCTCCTTTTTCTTTTCAATACGCGATCGGTCCGACCTTCAAAATAAAAGCTATAAAAACAAACAACTAAAAACTATTAGACAGTTAGCATTTGCCCATTAGGAACTTGTGTGACAGCTTGTTAGCTATTCTGATACATTTCACGGAACCTTAGGAACTTATGATGATGTTAAAAGAGAATTAGTATATGGTGTATGATTAAGAACAAGGAACTGGTACAGGAGTTACTGAAGAACTTGATGCAGACACAAGGTTTAATATATTTGACACTACAAGGTTCCGAAGCTCAAACAAACATGCTCTCGAAATAAGACAAACCTAGAAGGAGAAGACGAATCACTCCTAAAATCATGCGAATTACAACATATACTAACAAGTGCAGAGTTTAAGGGCACGTGCACACAGGGCAGAAACCGAAAAATTGGTCCAAACACTTCTTTAAAGTACAATTGAATTCATATTCAGTGTCCTTTCGAAGCGTTATTGCCAATAGCAACATTGAAGGGTTCATTTGCATAGTGACACATGCCCTTATCCAACAGAAAAGAGACTGATACGCTGCCTACAATCATATCCCACCTAGCTTTTCTTCGACTCGATTTCCTATGTGGTGCAGTGGCTCTTCTACGTAGTGTTGGAAATTCATCTTGGATGATAGTCGTGCTGGACGGAGAAACGGACGAAAGCAAATCATAGTCAAGACTTCGTGGGGATCCACTGGCACGAGAGCCAACGTTCGACAAAAAGCGCAGGCTACGTCGCATAAAAGAAGTTGCTGAACCGTTGCCGGAAGTAGCATCAACATGCCGGGATAATGACGACACACTAAAACGTTGGAAAACTAGATCACTCAAGCAATATCAAGCAGATCACTTTCACATATAAGGAAAAATCAGTAATTTGAACGGAAGCCTAAACGTGCACACTCGAAACACTCTTAGGGAACATCTTCAAATGAGCATCAAGAACAAATCAAAGAAAACTAAATAAAACAGAGGATTTCTGAACAAACATATTAGCACCACACTATTCCCATTACACCACAGAAAAATAAGCAAAATCTCAAAATCCCAAAATAGAAAAGTAAGAACAAACTAACTTGAGATTATCAACTGATGATTCAGTGCGCTTGATAGTCCGCGTGGGGATACTTGCTGTTGATGGAATAATAACCTGAAAGCAGGAAATCGTTATGTTTACAAGAGCTTCTGTCTTACATTATGCGGATTCGCTCCACCTGACGGTAAGAATCGTTGCCATGAGCTGGCTTGTGCTGTTGAATTTTTCCTCGAAATAACAACAGGAGGGGGGACTGTTGGAACATCGGGAGCTTCTAAACCTATCTATAAATATTCAATTGTTTTATTTCAATACCATTTTCATCTTTTTCAACATTTAAAGCAGAATCAGAACTACTGAGGTTTCGTTCAACTTTAGCTCCTTCTAGCTCTTCGGCTTTATTTAACATGACTTGACTTTTACATCGACTAGATACTGTACCCGTACGAGTTGAATGTTCCCGAGGACGAACCTGAAAATCTCTATAAACGGAAAAATACAAAACAAAAATAACCTCTACTTTCATTTCAAAATCGTTGTTATTTCCATATAAAATATGATTATCGCTGACTACTCTCCTGAAAAAAACAGATTGCAAACAAAACGAAAACAAAGAAACCTATGTATTGGAATTGGTGGACTATTAACAGGGCTGATAGACAAATCATCTTTTTGTGAGAACGTCGTTGGTGAACAAACGTCTGGATCATACATACCAATCAGCTCTGTGAGCTCAATAGAACGCGGAATAGCATCCTGAAAAGAATAGGATGGTAAGCGCGATAACACCAGGCAAAAGAAAACCTGTTCGCATTCTTCACTTATAGCTGGTAAGTCAACATGGTTTCTTGGTCTATTATCAGGAAAATCAAATATCCTAGTTGGAGACAATTGGTCATCAACCCAAGGAGAATCTGGTAGAGGTTCAACAGATGAGTTGAGTACTTCCATATTTGGTGATCCAGCTGACAATTTGACAAGTTCAAAATAAACATAAGTCTTCTCACCAGAAGAATAAACTGCAGCATCATTCGCTCTGGGTATCTCCTCAGTTTCGGGAGAGGAGAATGGTAAACTATTATTCAAATTAGTACTGTCTTGTTTTGTCATAGAGTCCTGAAAATGCAACTTTTCGTTTTCAAAAATGACATCTCAGAAATATTTCTCCTGTCCATACAACACACGCAATACTGGGAACAAGCTTTTTAAAATTTAAAATCTAATACCTTCTTAACAAAAAAAATCATCTCTCTTGCTGCTCTATCATACCATCCGGTATCAACTCCGCCTACAAAACCGTGCGCGGTACGGTTACATTGCGTACACTTTTTCAAAGAGAGATACGATTCATATATTACAGTAATAGAAAACCTAGGTTATGATTGAATTTCCTTGTACGGAGACGGTTCAATCTACATTTCTCCTACATTATTTGCTCAATTTATGAGGCCCCTCTCACAAGATTTTCACCAATTAGAACCAATTTATTATCTGATTAGCAAGAAAGCGCTTTCACCACTTGTAAATTAAGTTGCGAACCTCGGTACGATCATGGATAATTAGGAAAATGATGAGTTAGATACATGAGAAACATGAGAAAGAGAATCCAGAGGAAATTATTTGAAAAATAAAAAACTCTAAAAAATGGACAATCGATTCGACTGTTATCAATCCTCATCTCATCTCAATTCACTTCATCTTCATATTCAATGACCGAACAAGCGAAGTTATATCGTTTAAAACGAATTTTCAAATTTTTGAACAAAACCGTTCGATATCTAGACATAAGACAAGCATCTGGACATCTCCAGTTCTTCAACAGCTATTGTTTCATAGCGATTGACTTTAATTTAAAAGTAAGAATAAAAGTATCTCCTACGAAATCAATTCAAACAATGTGTGTTGTGAAGAAAGAGAGACCGAGTGAAGTTAAGAAGAATTGTGTTCAGTTCACAACACACCGTTCTCACAGAATAAAGTTTAACTTCGCACAAACAATTGGTAAGTAAACCAAAATCGAAATAAGAATTTTTTTGGTACTAAAACCAGGGTTCTCGAGAGTAATGAGTGGATGAATGGTAACCAAGATACCCGTGAAAAGCAAATGTATCAAACCTGAGATTTGGCTCGACTGTGAAAGACGTTTTCTATGTTAGGATCTGGTTGCTCTTCACTTGTGCCTGGCACAACATCAGCTGAGAATGATCTCTTGTGAGCATAACTTAAGCCACACAGAGAACCTAAAGAACAATTTCCAGATTAGATCCCATAAGCGGATAACCTGTAGAAGATGATACTTCATCGTGTGGAATGTCGGAGCAATGTTGATGCATCAAGGATGAATTTGACCGTTCATCTGCCAATTTCAATGTGAGAATTATGGAAATGACCTTCTTACTTTCTTGTAAAGATTCTAGCGAACCATCAACGAAAAAAGAGCGTTCGCTCTCCCGTTTTACAGGAATTAAAGCTTCGGAACTAATCATACTACTCTTTGTGTCATTACGAAAAACGTCTGGAACATTGGACATAGTCAAGACAGTAACCAATAATAACAAACCACTACTAGATCCTTTGCTACCAGTCAACTCTGCCGCACTAGCTACTAGACGAATAGCGTTAGACTGATTTGAAGTTTCAAAGTCACAGGAGTGAACAGTTCTGAAAGATAAACAAATCTAAGAAAACATGTCGAAGAAACTGAGAACCTTGGACTTAAAAGAGAAGAAGAAGAGCCTACGGTTGGTACTCTTAACGAATGAGGTGGCGATACTTCGAGTTTCTCTTCGTTATCGTCCGGAGTAGAGCTACAAAATAAAAAAGAATGAGCACTCATATCATCATAATATTCACACAGGTAAAGGTCACAAAAACACATTTGAAATTCAAATCTCGCACAAAAAATATATGGACGCAAAACAGGACGGACAAAAATCATCAAGATCTCAAAGATTGTTTTAATCACATCGGCGTTGTAATATTAATACTGTTTTATAAGAATTGTAAAATTCAATTTGAACCTGCCGATCTTCGGAAGAAAGACAAAGAAGAAAACTGTAGAGAAGGGTAGGTAAGCACCTAAGCAAACCAGTTAAGACGGAGTATGAAATTCTATTACGTAACAATCGCATGAACACAAGAAGCTCGAAGTTCACATTAATGAACTAATGAATTTGCTCCAATAATCTAGATGGTTGCTGTCATTAGATCCGGAATTGTATTAAACAAATTTTTCAAATATTATATTGGGTCAGTCATTTTCGCAATGGGTCAGACCACATGCAGGTTGCCGCGCGAAGTTCGTTGCCGACAGGTGGTTCGGATGTTCAGACGTAAATGAAAACGATGACGATGTCATCACTAACAACGGACAGTGTCGGAAGTTTGTAAGAAAGAATTAAACGACGTTAAGGTCAGTAATTCCTCAACTTGGGCAATAAGGTAAATGAATGGAATGAAAACTAAGAGATTTGTAGCTGATTATTTTGAGGAAAGGCAAATATCAAAGCAAATGCAAATAAATCATGTAAAATTAAAAAGAAATAGAAGAAAGACGAACAAACCTAAGATGAAAGAGAAGAAATAAGCTTCAAGATAAGCTAGCTTCATCTTCACCAATTCACATTCAATTATCATCTTATTCTTAATTAATACGTTTTCTGTCTCTTGCAAACTTTGAAACTGCAGAGCTCGGAAACTTTGCCCTTTTTTTGAAACTTCTCACGGAGCCTCTCGGAAGCAACCGGTACATACGTCACTATCGCATAAAGTGAATTTCACGTTTGTCACGTGAAATTTGCGCCACAATTTAAATTTTACAGAATGCTATATAGAAATCGTAATGAGAGGGGACAATGACTGTTTTTGAGCTACGTAAAGTCGGACAAAAAAAGAAAGTAAAGTCGAAAAGGAAGGTAACTGGATATAGTAGCCAAAAGGAAATAAATGTTCGTCCTTGGAGAGAAATGGTCTTCTTGAAGTAATTGGTTAAGACTTCAGCTGCTCAAACTATTGTAAATAGAAGAAAAAAAATCAGAATATCGATTATCGCTAACACATTGATTGACTGATTGATTGGAAGAAAGAAAGGAAAATTAATTAAAAACAAAAATAATAATAAATTAAGCTGAACCAAGTTTATTAATAGCTTTCCGGCTTTTGCAGGAAATTCTGTCATGAAAGAAACTGAGAGGAGCCTGATAGATATGACTGGATAACGATAGACAGATAGACGACGGTTGAACGTTGAAGACTACGACGTCAACGATTGTCGAAGATGTTGAGCATAGGAAATTCGTCATCGTTTTTTTCGTCACTTTTTGCTGCTCATCTGTTATTTCTTCGCGGTTGATATTTTTTTCTCGTCTTCTTCATCATCAATCGCTGTTGATTTTTACAGACAAAGAGAAAAAGTATTTTTTGGAAAGAAAAATACAAGAAAGGAGGACGTTGAAGCAGATGTTTTAGTTACGAACAGATTGAATGAAGAACATGAAAAGTAATGATAATACGGATAGATCTAATGGAAGAAAAGAGAAAAGGGACTGATATCAAGAAACTGGAAAGAAGGCCAAATGATAGCCAACTGCCTGGACCGAAGTATTGCTTCCTTAAAGACGAGATGGAAACAAAAATTGAAAAAAAACATGTCTAAAAGTTTATAAAAGTATCATCATTGATTGATCGATTATGTTGAACTTTTGGGTCAACAGAGAAAAAGGGGTAATCGAACAAATGGGGCTCCTACACGTAAATCAGCTTAAAAAAAGCTTTCACTATCATCTCCTTCTTCCCAATCAAGTGAGACAGCTTATATAGAGGTTTGAGATACTGACAGCAAGATCAAAGAAACTAAAGAGGTGATAGGTTATAATATAGTTAGATATATATGAGGATGATCCCGACAAATGGCAAATGAAGAGGTCAAAAAACAGATGACATGACAGGATGAGAAGAAAGGGAGGTCGAAATGTTGCAAAATAAGTGATAGCAGATAATTGGTAAGAAAGAATGAAGAAACAAAGCCGGAATATGAAGACGAGATTATAGACTGGATCCATCTCTTTCCCTATTCATCCTCTTTTATACGAATGACAACAATTAGCAAATTCCTAATTATCAAAACCAAATAAATTATACGTATAGTTAATAGAGCGACCATATCATCTCATTTATCAAATTTCAAATTATTGAAATTATTCACAGCGATCTCGAATGAATCATTGTCAGACATCACTGTCATTCGCACATTTCTCCACTTGTCACACTAAACCCGAAGATCAAGAAAGATTCGAGAACAGCAAAACTTTCGTCCGGATTGCTCCATTCTCGTAAAAACCCTCGAGAAAACGAAAAAACCGGGCATTAGACGGCATTTAGATAGAAAAAGCAACTGTTGTGCATGTTTGCATATAAAGGAAATGAATTTGAATCACGTGGAATTTCACGTGAAAAACCCACGTGGCAACAAGATGATTCAAAGTTTTAGTAAGAAAATCGTAAGAATTGCATTTGAAAACGAGGTGTGTGTACGAACTACTTCAACCGATAAAGGAGATTTGGGCATTGAACGAGGAAAAAGAATCTGAAACGTTTATGACAACAAGGACATGGACAATTCACTTTTTTGTCTTCATAAAAAGGAAAGGAAACGAAAAGATAATGTTACTGACTGTAATTGTAAATGTTCAGATGGTGAGAGAGAGAGGGAGAGAAAAAGAGTTATATAATACTGGCGGACTAGATGCCTCCTGACTGGTCGTTGTCATTACAGTCATTGTCGGCTATATCAATTTCCTTTTTAAGATTATCTCTCTTTCTCTCTTTCTGGATGCTATAAGTGAAAGCAGAAAGAGAAAGAGAAAAAAAAGTTCAACACAATGCCAAAAGTGATTACAAAAGGAAACAGAATTAGAATTTGCGAAGAATATCAGCATCAGATGGCATTTCCAAATTATAATTGGAATAAACATGATGACGATGACAAAAAAAAGGATGAAAAGTTAAAAAAGGAGAGGTTTCATGTTTCAATCAACACAGTGAACGATACGAATCTCTGAAGACATATGAAGCTTCTAATAAAGAAAATAAAAAGAGAATAGCAATAACTCTAAACGTGCTTAATGATAAGAAATGCGCACAAATAAAATGAGAAATCATTTTGAAGGAAATTGATCGATTTACTTCGAAACCCGCAAGTACAGTCGGAAACTTCGCATTTCCCGCTCTTTCTTTTTTTATGTTAACTCTCTGTTTCTCTCTATACAACATGCATTCTAATGATTATCATGGAAGAAACAGCGGTGAGAATGACTGTTGATTCTCTTTTTGTTTGAAAGTTCATATGAAAGTTCATAAAGAAGTTTATGAGTTTGTGTAGAGGCACATTCACTTGTAAGCACTAGAAGCAGGTGTAGCATAAAGGAGACAATTAAATAAACGATTGAATTCAATGGCAAATAAGTTTTACCTTCTTCTAGCATTTTGATATAATGCTGTTAAATATTCTGAATTCAAAATTTTATTAGAAAGAGGGGGGTTTGAGTAATAGTTTGGAAGTGAATCAGCTGATGAAGGTTTAGGTAAAGCTGGGATTGCCTCAGACGAACGAAATGACGTCATCTCATCGTCAGCCGAGGAGTCATCATCCGAAGGGATGTTTGTCGACAGAATATTAGTAGCATGTTCCATTGATACAGTTCGACGCATGATTTCTCATTTACTGAAAAATTTAAAAAAATATATAATTAATATAAATGAAAAGAAAAACGAAAAGAAGATGTTGAATGAGAAAATCAAAGAAATGACAATTGGGAAGTTTTCGTTCTTGAGTCATTGCATATGCAAACACTTGAAAAGAGTTATAATCGTTTTTATAATCACTCAAATCTTTCTCTCGGAAGACGATCATGTTCCAAATCGATTCCTTATTTGGTCTTTTTTAACACTCAAATCATTCATATCATTTAGAATGACTAATGTGAGCTCGAACATGATGCAATCTGCTACAATCCACTCATTTGCAAAGATGAAATATTCATCTAATTATCTTAATTTTTGTCATAAAACTATGAACAAAAGATTAAGTAATAATAAAGAAAATTTTCTATTTAAACATATACTTGAGTAAATAAATACAAAATATCAATTCATAACAATCAAATCAATAAAAATATTATTTGTTTATTTAGAACAAAAAAAAAAAGAAGTGAAATGCACCTTCAACCCACGGTTTATGCTAATGACGTACTCACGTGAACAGCTATGTTACTATGCTGATGAGCTTAAACCTTTATTTACAAAATGATGTCCGAACGGAACGGTTGGTTTTATGAAGGAGAGAAAAAAAAAGAGGAATGTGTACGTATATAGTCAGATACCTTTCCCATTTTCGGGCTGAGGAATAGAGAAGATGTTTTTACTGTGACGAATGACGACGAAAGAGAAAGTATCAGAGATTTGAAAGTGAATTTGAAAAGTTGAAGAAAATACTTTATTTGTAAATAAAAAGAAAAATTTATGAAAATGAAAGTCAACGAGAAAAAAAAAGTAAACAAATCTCAAGCTTTTCCTCAACAGTCTCAGAACAAAACGAACTGTTGTATATCAGTGATTAAGCAGCAGAGGGAGAGAAAGAGAAGTATTGAGAAGAAACTTAGATAATTGCTTTTACCCTCAACAAAAATAAATTCATTGTTATTGAGAGAGAAAAATTAAAGAACATTCACTGAGATAAGGACACATCTATTTCAAGGAAAATATGAGCTATCACTCAAGTGATAAGACTCCTCATCTTCAAGCTAACATGAGAAATTAAATGAAAATTATCAAATTACCTATTTCCTGAGTAAACAAATTAGAAGTTCAAATAAAACATTTTTGCATCTGTGACACACCCAAACTTCGAAAATAAAAAAAAAAGCGCCAAAAAGAATGGGAATTGGAGGACAACGAGACTGTAGAATTCCTTAATAATCACAGATGATGAAAGCTGGAAGAAGGTGATAAAAAGATTAAAAAAACGTTTAGACGAAGTGTAAATGAATTTTTAGAGGAACAACTCGTAGACCAGAATCTAAACGTCCAATGGATTTACGGTTAGATTATGTGTTTGCGAGAAACGAAAACTGCTTTCTGAACAGATAATCTGTTGTAAAAGAAGAACAAACAGACCAGTCTTCTTCACGTGTGAGGAAACACGTAAAAACGTGAAAATTATACGAAAAAGTAGCCTTGATATAACTATACAAATTATAAATTAAGCGAGAAACAAGAGAGACATTTCAGTTGACAATTGGATGACAATCAGATAATGAATTTGGTCTCAAGGTTTGCAGACCATATTAAGAAATGTTTTTACTCTAGAATATGATCTATTCAACAGAAAACTGCACACAGAATTATCATTATATCAGTTCCAATTTACAAACAGAGAAAGAGAGAAAAGAGCAAGTTGATTGGACACACCTGACACATGGGGGGCTAACTCATCAGAAACCAAGGCTTTTATCAATGAATTAAAAGATGGCCGCCATCAAGAAAAAATCAAATTGTAACCTATTGAAAAACTTTTCATTAGTCTCGAAAAATCAAGATGCTTCCCGATCGTTTGCTCGGACATACTCACTCACAAGATGGTCGGAACCGAGCGAACTTATAAATTACAGAATGAAATTGTGGAGAAACGGAGCAATTCAGAGATGAAATGGTACACACCCGCAAAAAGTATCCGAAGAAGCATACATGCTAATAGAAAAACTGTTTGATAACGTATCGATTATTCTTTATCAAATTTCGAAATGAAAATTTTAAACCCTTCTCAATGATTTTACTATTGCAAAATGAAAACCTCCGAGCAGTTATAGCCAAAAAGATAAACAATATAAACATATAATCTAAACTATATCGAGTTTCGTTCCAAAGAGCTGAGGTTAGACATATGTTCGCTGAAAAGAAGTTCTCGTAACCACCTTCCTACTATTGTGCTTGTTGCGAAACTTTTTATTTTACTGTCCTTGTAGGTAGGATTGAAACGCGCTCCAAAGTTACAGTATACCCATGATGCCAGAGATTCAAAAATGTCTTTCTTTTAATTTCATCGCTGATTAAACCGGTTGCTTTTTCGTTTACTTAAAATCAACTATTCATTTTCATTTTTAAGGTGCTAACATGCCTGTTAACGAGAATGATTTCAATGATCCTGAGAAGTATATCAACGACGAATCAATCGAGTTAGCTTGGGCCATCAAGGTTTGACTTAGTTTTTTAACAAAACTTGATTGAAAAATAATTCCAGGCTGCTGAAAGGGCAAACATTCATATAAATTTGTTAATGGGATGTGATACCAAATCTTTAAAGTTGAACAGACATCAACCCGATATTGACAAAGCCTTCAGAGAAGCGTTTCCAGATATGAATGTTCGAATGGTATGTAAGAGGTCTTCCTTTTTTTAGTTTTTTTCTATTCCTAAAGGTTGGTGAAACAGAGCTTAAAAGTGGGGATATGAAGGAAAAATGGAGAGTTTTCTGCGAGCTATTCAAGGAGGTTGATATCTTTAATATTTTCGTGATAACTTATTTTTTTAAGTCGATCGATGACTACTCGATGGGAACTCTTATGCGGATTGAAGCCCAAAAGGCATATTCTGATGCCAACACTATTATCGTGCCAAAGGTGTTTATTTAATATAGTCTTGATTTATGAATCTTTTTTCAGATTATTTTCCTTGCTGTCGAAGGCGCAAGAAATACAGAGGGTATCAATGAAGATTTGAAGCAATGCTATACATTGGATCACCAGTTAAATACTGCTCCTTTATAACTCTAGTTATTTTCACTGTTTTTGTTATGCTTTTTTACACGAATTGTTTTGTTTGCTCCAGTTTTTACTGGAATATGATGGAAATATATATTTTTTTTAATAATTTTCTTTCTTTAATTTGTTAGACCTGGGGTTCAAGTCCACTCAATTTTTACTGCTGCATTCTCATCACACAAACCATTTTACGAAAATTTCATTATAGATGAGCTTTTCCTTCAATCGTAATACCAACTCATGTAAGTTAGTCGTTCAAATAATTTAACCTTTATCTGTTTAGCTTCTCTGTTTGGTGGTGGGGCTCCAACTACTGGGCTATTCGGGTCTGCAGCACCTCCCACGACTACTGCAGCTCCCAAGCTTGGTGGGACAACTTTTGGTGCAACAACTTCCACTGCATCTTTTGGTCTTTTTGGTTCAACAGCAACAACGACTGCTCCAAAAGTTTTCGGAGGCAGTTTTGGATCAAACACGACAGCGGCTCCCTCTTTTGGCTCGACCACGTCTACCGCTAATGTCTTTGGGTCTACAACTTCTACCCCGAATGTCTTCGGCGCTGCAGCATCTACAGCTAATGTTTTTGGTTCTACCACATCCACAGCTAATGTCTTTGGCAATACCACCTCCACTGCCCCATCTCTAGGATTATTCGGATCCAACGCATCCAATGCCAGTACAGCATCTACAGGATTATTTGGCTCAGCAACAAACACAACTTCCGCAGCTGCACCTTCAAGTGGGGGTCTTTTCGGTTCCACCACTGCTGCTACGGGCGCTCCAGCAGCAGCACCAGCAACCGGGCTTTTTGGAGGTTCCCTCGCTCCTACCTCAGCTCCTTCGGTTGGGCTATTCGGATCTACTCCGGCCGCTGCTCCTGCTCCAGCTAGTAACTCTTCTTCTCTTTTTGGAGCTCCAGCTACTGCCGCTCCTGCTGCAGCCCCTGCAGTTGGACTCTTCGGTGCAACACAACCCTCTGCTCCAGTCTCCGCTAGTTCTACTACCAAATCTTCTCTTTTTGGTGCACCTGCTGCAGCTCCTACATTAGGGCTTTTTGGAGGAACATCATCTCTTGCTTCTGCTCCTGCTGCAACCACTCCTTCTCTTTTCGGTGGTTCGACTGCTGCTCCTGCGGCAGCTCCCGCTGGTGGACTTTTTGGATCTACTTCTGCAGCTGCACCAACTCCAGCTAGTAATACATCTTCTCTTTTTGGAGCTCCCGCTGCTACCACGGCCGCTCCTGCAGCAGCCCCAGCTGTTGGACTTTTTGGAGCAACCCCAGCTCCCACTGCAGCTTCAACTGCAGCACCCACTTTCCCTACTACTAATGCTACTCTTTTCGGTGCTCCCGCAACAACAACCACTGCCCCAGCAACAGGTTTATTTGGGGCTGCTGCGCCTACTACTTCATCAGCTTTGCCTGCAGGTGGACTATTTGGTGCACCCGCGACTACTACGTCGGCCGGTCCTACCATAGCAACTGGGTCTCTATTTGGAGCAGCTCCTACTTCAACTGCTGCTCCAACTTTAGCTTCATCTGGAACAACAACTGCTACTGTTGCTCCTCTGTTCGGTGCTCCCGCCCCAGCTGTGACAACGACCGCGCCTGGATCACTTTTTGGTGCTACAACTTCTGCTTCAGCAACACCAGCAGCTAGTGCTACTACCACTGCTACCACAGCACCACTGTTCGGATCAACAGCTACATCTACTGCTGGTACTATAGGAACTCTTTTTGGTGCCGCAACTTCAACTGCAAGCACATCAAAACCAAGCTTGTTCGGGTCAACTACTACGACTAGTACAACGAGTGCACCATCCCTGTTTGGAAGCACTACTACAACCACGACCACAGGAGGTTTATTCGGAGATAAAACTACAGGTAATTTTCAAATCATGCTGCAAAAATTTTCTTGCCAAATCACGACGAAATATCTCATCATGACTTTTTTCAGATGCTTCCAAATCGTCTGTAGGCTTAGGAGGAACTTCACAGACTACAGGAACAACTTCGAGTGCTGGAACTACCACTCTTGGTGCTAATGTAACTGAGAAAGAGAACGTGAAAGATGGAGAAGTGCCTGCTGAAATCACACATTTAGTTACTTCCGTCAGGTAAGTGACTTATATTTATTCTGATTTTTCTTTTCTTGCAGGAATAGAATCAAAGAGAATCGTACTCTTTCGGAAAACTTCACTGCGGGATCCAGCGATTCTGCTCTGAAAATCAGAGACAAGATTAAAGATGTAATTTGGTTTCATGATATTTATGTATGTATAATATTTCCTTTTAAGGTCAAACAAGAAATTGAACAAGCAGTAAGCCGTTCTGCCGCTCGAGATGAATCGTGTGCTCAACTCTTCAATAGAACATCTAGGGATTTACAATTAGGAAAAGAAGCCGCCACAATTCAAGAACAACTTTCAAGGAACCCAAATCATGTTGCTCAGCAACATACCGTCCAGTATGAGTACTGTTGTTAACCTCTTCTATTATCTGCTTTCAGACATATGGTGTCTCTCATTAGAGAGTATGATGAACAAGTTTGCCACTATCAAGAGTCTTTGGAACAATTGACCGTTAAAATACGCGACATCTTAGAAGGAAAAGTTCGTCTATTCAAACAGAAAATCAATAGAAGTTTTTTTTATTACAGAATCAGTTATCTACCAGTGATCTCAAAGAATATTTGACTCGATTTGACGTGATCTTCAGTAATGTAGCTCAGAAACTATTCGAAGGAAATAGCAAAGTTGAGGTTCGTCTTGTACTGTCATATCGTGATAATCTGTTCAATCAGGAACTTCGTACCCAATTCGCTGCCGATTCAACCATATTCTCCGCCAGTGCTGCTTCTGCCGAAGATGGCTCAGTTTGGGCACAATTACGGGGAGCTTCTTCGTTCCCATCTCAAGCTACTCTTTTATCTCTGGGCGCTCTATTGAAACCTGCTCAAGCAGCTCCAGCACAAACTACTGGAGGCATGTTATATCATGTAAAATATTTATAATCCTACTGATTTAAGGTCTCTTCGGTTCTTCATTCGCAGCCCAGCCAACAAAGTCTTTATTCGGAAGTACTACTTCTACTGCTAGTCTGTTCCCCTCTTTGTCAACCACGACTACAACAGCCGCAGCCACTTCCCTCTTTTCATCAATATCGACATCGAAGCCCGCTACCACCTTTGGATCAACCCTAAGTACCAATACTACAGGACTTCTTTTTACATCTAAAAAATAATAGAATTTAAAATCATCCCTCTAATTATGGGTCATTTGAGCATGCATCTCAACTGTTTCATATTAATGCAAGGTATCCTAACATTATTTTGTAAAACAGCAAATATGGCTATAAAAAATTTTCTCTAAATAAAGTTGTATACAATACTAGTCTAGTAATCTATATCTTTCACAATTTCTACTCATACATTCATTTTTTCGGAGCATATCTCAATCAATAGCAATCACATATTCAAATTTTTTATTTTCTCCAAGTGTATTCCGAAAAGGAAGATATCAAATATGCATTTACAATAACCGGTGAGTCGTTCATATTAGTAAAAAATGAGTAAATCTACAAAAAGTGAAATATAGTGATATAATAACATGACTAGATTATTCAGATCCGATTGAATGACGGATCCACCCCGCTAATTCGTTCGCCTTTATGAGACCCTCTTTATTCTCCGCGATATCCATCACGGCCTCAGCATTCGCGAGCAGATCATTTGAGCTAATTGAATTCACATACGGTCCACAACAATCACAGAGCTTTGACAAGTAATCTCGGCGAATCTGAAACATTAAGATACATACAGTTAATTTTGAATCTGGAATTACTCCTTTGCATTTATCGCAAGAATGATCTTGTAACAAGTAGGCAGTTAGCATCTGATTGAGTCTCTCGGTCACAGCGTTATCAACTACACTTGCACTATGAGACTAAAATGGAAAATTTTATACTAATAGTTTACGCGAACGTACCTTATCACATCCAGTACATGTCCAAGCTATGGAATCACCGATATCTACATCACTTGATTGACCACAACTACTACAGAACAAATTAGCAACAAAGATTGTAGGAGGCAGGCTTAATGGAGGCTGTCCTTCCAACAATCTTTTACATGTCTCTTTGAGTACATCAATGGCATCCTCACAACCTTCATCACATTTTAAGGCTGCACAAATCTGTTTGAAACTGTTTTACAAACAAGACGACTGAACTACTTACTCTATCAACTAAAGTCGTTGCTGCAACCAACCCGTCTTTTTTCTGAGTTGAAAGATTGTTTATCAATCGCACTAGCCTATGGCCGATGTGCTTAACTATTAGATCACTACGGAAAAGAACCCCAGACTCCTCGTCGAATTCCTGTATGATATTACTTTAGGTGGAGTATTATGTGTATATTCAAACCATCTCTTTCTGCTTTTGAACAAAAAGCAACACATAACCAGAAACTATTTTGGCGAACTCATCTTTGACAGCACCATCGGTCGGTAGATTATCCGCTATTCTCCAACGGGTCTACAATGAATTTGCGATCAGCATGAATAAAAATAAAACAAACATGAGTGACAGGTTGTGTTGTTACAATCTCTAGCTCATTACCATCTTCATCAGCTTCTAGTTTACAAACTGATTTCTCACCGATTCCTGAACTTCCTGAATATTAACAAATCCGAAATCACTCTTGTTTACCCGTATAGTTGTAACCATCTCTCCACAAAAGAGCATCCCAACAGTTGATTGTTCTGATGGATAGGGCAGCGAAAAGAGGGTTGTTGCCCAGAGACCTTATCAGCATTTCGGCAAAGTCTAAGGCTTTCTCACAGCTATCCCTGTTGGTACACAAGACAAGTTTGGTTTGAGTGGCATGAACAACCTGAAACATTTCAAAGTCAGAACTCCTTATGTATAAATGTAGATGAGCAGTACCTTTCCTCCTAATCTTTCAATCTCTGCTGCTAACAGAAGAACTAGTTTCATTTCTAATACAGCAATACTTCTGGTGATAGCAGGATCGTAGAGGAGATTTGAAGGTGTATGTAACCATCTTCAAGAAATCATAATAAGGCGCTCTCTTGTCTCCAAAACACAAACCGATTGAGAGAGACAGCCATCTCATCAGCCTGCTTGCTAGCTCCATGCGTAATTTGTCGAACACAATCTGCCATTAACTGTTTGAGAATTTTTATAGCGCCATCAACTGAAGCTCCTTCATCATAAGAAGATAGAGCATTTCTGAAACAGTTTACTGTTTCTTACAAAAGAATGTTCAGTTTTATACTTGGCCCCCAATACAGAATCAACAGCTACTACAGCGGTGGTATCAAAAGTGACATTGTCGTCAGCACCTTCGGCTTCCAACAATCTTCCGCGCTGAACCAAGGATGTAACCTGAAAAAAAGGGCTGAATTTTCAACAACCAAAATGATATACAGCTGCTGCTCCTATTTCCAATTCTACACACGCCTTTGGGACAAAGCAAGGCTTGTTAAGTAGAACAGACTGATCCCGGTCTAGAGGCTTCCAATCAATCGATAACCTTAGATCATCAAGTTCCTAAACATGGTTGACTAAAATGTGCATATGCGAGAACCAACTTTTCCTCCTAGATCAGGTCTATTTGTTGGAGAAGCCCATAGTACATGCCCTGCATTATTGAGCTGACGAGCGAAAAACAAGTCTATTCCCATCATCGCAGGGTCCACAGGAACGTTTCCAATAGGAATGTGTAGATGTCGACTCCATAGCGCATAATCCTTAAAAATTGATTTACCTTATTAGCTGAATTCAGACTTACATCAAGATAGTAAAATGAGTGGAAATAATGTTTGATAATACGAGATGCCATGACTTTCTGCCAGTCCAGCTGGCCTAGAAGGTTCGACGGTTCGTTGATATGCAACTTAATATGAGGGAAGAGGGATAAATTAGGAACTTTTTTAGTCTGGAACAGAAACGCTAAGTCTGAATAGGGTAATATTTTACCAAAAGGTGTGGTTCTTCATCAACAATCATAATAAGAATAGAAGGCTTTGTGGTTGCTTCTCTATATGATCGCAGACAACGTCCAATATCCTTTTCACAATCCTTGACACTGCCAAAAATTTTCGATGAAAATTTGATTTCTTCTCGAATTTCTGACAAACGGATGACATCGAGCTCAGTTCTACAATACATATATTAACTTTTCAGTATTTCATGATGATAATACTTCTTTTCTTCCCACATCTTTGTGTAAATCTTATCCAAATTAGGTATCGCTAGTTCTCCGCGTGATACTATATAGAATATTCCTTCTTTTGAAGCAGCATCGATTATACACCAAATCTGGCGGGTATCCTCAAAGCGATACGTTTAAACAAATGATACACTCAAAGTTCAGAAACCTGTGAAAACTTGTAAAAGAAAACTGAACGCATTTGTGATTGTTGTAGATAGTCAGTTTGCGATGTTGCAAGCGAGAGCATTTTGAGACTTTCTAATGAATAGGATCCAGCTACAGGTGGCATTGTAGGGCGACACACACATCCCAGGCTAACTAATACTCGGAAGAGCAACGGTGTTTGAGATTCATATATTCCTTCTATTTCAGCACTACACAACTCCGCATTAGCTTGATTCAGTTGCTTTTGGAAATCAGCTTCGTCTGTTTTATACTCATAGAGGAAATGCGCTTCTCGACGATGAGGCAAAGTTTTTCGGATAGTGTTTTTGCCAGGTCTTGGATTCTGAGTGTTCAATTAGAAAACGGCTAAATGGAAGGTTCTACCTTTGCATTCACGTAAAGAGAACGTTCAACTCTCAACGAGTATTTGTTCATTTGTCCATCGACAGTTACCCAAATATTGAAGTATCCGGGACTCTTATAATTCTCTTCGATCGACAGAATCTAGAACTATCTTTTAAAAATCATATCGAAAACGCTGGAAATACCTGCCAAGTTCTTTCTTTGATCCTCTCACGATTACTTGTTATCATTCTATCTACCGCAGAACATCCTATGTACAGTTTAGTAATGATAAACAAATGGAAATTCACCTTTCTCTGCAGCTCTAGCAGCTCTTTGTTTTCGTTGCAACTTCCATTTTTTCTTCAGGAACGATAACCATTCCTCGAAACCGTGCTCAGCGATCGTCTTCTTCTCAATGATCTCAGGCTCCGGTTCCTAATATTGTTGAATCATAAGGCAGAATATGGTTGAAGAAACCTTAGGTACATTCTTAGAGCGTTTTGGTTCATTTTCCTTGTTACTATCATCTACCAAAACGTCTTCATCATTACCATCACTATTCGCCAACGTTCTCTTTCCATGAGTGTTCAAATCAGTCACAGGCTTCGCAACTTTTGAGAACAAGTCAGTTATCCTAGGCTGACGAATAGAGTCGAATCTAAAGACAGATTAAGTGCAAAAAAAATTTTTTCCAACCTATTCTTAATTTTATTGTCCAGCCAATCTGGATGTGCTATTCGGGGGACAGGATTTGCTACTCCTTGTAAGGCTGCAGGAATAGTAATAATCTTCTGGACACAACTACCAAGACGTTCAACATAGTAATCCCAATCAAGTAGCTTGAATACAAAAATGATATATCTAGGGAATCGTCTATCTTACATCGCGGATGTCTATATTATCTGGTGTGATACTGCTCTGTTTGGTCCACAAACGTAAGTAATGAGCTGTTGTTTTCGAATCAGCCTATAGATATGGTAATATTTGAACGGGCTCTGTTCGCCAAACCTGGAATATAGCAACAGGTACAGCACGGTCGGTAACAGGTGAGCCAATCGGATGTTTTGAGATAACAAATTTACAAGCTAAACCAGCATCCTAAATATAGATAGCTACATCGATATCTACAGAGAAAAACAGACTTTAACCATGTCTTCTCCCAAAAACTCAGCTAAACGCTTAGCAGTTCTTATACTAGTACTTTTCTGTGCTCCATAATCGTCTAACTTTCGAGACATTGATCGATTTTCAGAAATTAAATCAAAAAGTTCAGCATCATGAAGATCCACACCACGTGAAAAGAGAACGTCCAACCAGTAATCTGCTTCTCTGGCTACACTTTCATAACACTAAAGAATGGAGTACGAAAAAATAGAAATAAATAAGATACTTCTGGTAAAGAGTCGCCTCGTAAGAAAGCTTTGAACACAGAAGATTGAAAGTGTTTGATGATATTCAACTCTCCTCTACGCTTCACTTCGAAGCCTTTCAGTTCAGCCAAACTTCCATCGAAATTGAAAACAGCATATCTATTATATTCATAAATGTATATATAAAAGAACAAAACTAAACTAACCTTTTCTTTAACTTTTTTCCTTCTTCTTTAGAAGCAGGTAAAACCATACACTGATATGGACCATCAACTTCGAAAAAGATAGAGTTTTCTGAGGAGATCCTATAACTTCCATCTTGTTCTAATGTATGGTACTGATCATTAGTAAAAGTCAAATTGACCAAAGCATTAAGCATAGCAGCTGGATAGGAAACTGTGATCTACAAGAATTGTTTAGTTTAGCAAAGTATGATATTGTAATCCTACTGAATTTTTCTTATGATTTTTGAGCTTGAACGTGATATTCTCAGGGAAGGTACCAGGCAATAAACACCAGATACCTGTAACATAAAAGCTATGATTAACATCTAGGAGATGAAGGAATGCAACCGTCTGTGTCCAACTCCAAAGGTTTTCCGATCTGCTCAACCAATTTCCTAGCTTCTCTGATAATATTTGCTCCGGTATGACAAACGATTCCTGCCATTTCCATTGAAAACCTGGATATTAATGTACCATTGATTACATGTTACTTCAACATACCATCTACTTCCTTTTCTCATTACATATCCATAGAAAGAATTCAAAATACATTTGTGAGCAAGTTGAAGAGACTCATACAGAACAACACGACCTTGTGCTGCTTTGATAGAACCTACATCATCTTTCGGAATCTCATCCAGAGCGTTCTTGGCTTTTTTGAGGAGTTCCTTGTAGTCATATCTTAATGATAGCTTAATGAGCTCTACTCAAGCACGAAATACCGTCTGTCTCGGAAGTTTCTGACTGTATCGACGTAAAAAGCATTCTCTCTTTGACATATAGTAGTATCCCGCATCTCTAACCGTGTAAGATGAGTTTTTCCATAGACACGCCTACTGTAGTCTTAACGTAACGAAAATATTATTGGAGGTTGCACAGCTGTCAGTACCTTGTATGCGTTTTTTCTCAATCATATTTCTTTCTTCTCGCGGTAACTGATGGAAAGCTTTCGGAGGTTTACCAAAAGTTTCTCCTTCGAGCTGTTGCATAATCTGCTGGTATTCTCCTCTGGTAGCCGGAGCTGGAAAACAAATAGAAATTTTAAAGGAATGTTTTCCCTTACTCAGTTCTCCACGCCATTCCCATGCCATGCTCCGTTTGCATTCTGCGTTAGGTTTGTTATAAACACAAGCCATACAAGTCTCCTCGTCAACCATAGCACAAGGCTAGCAAAAATAATAATGATAGTGATCCTCTCAAAACCAACCTGCAGGCGATTAGTTAAAATGATGTTCGGGTACATAGCTCCAACGTCTAAATGGTAAATACGAGGTTTTTCCAAGCGCGAAGGAATGTTTATCATATCGGTGAACATTTCTTGTACTTCAGCACACTAAAATAATGAATAGAACTAATAAACAAGAAAGACACAATTACTCTTTCTTCGAAGTCGACAACATTTTCTAAAGGAATACCGAACTCTCGAATCAACTCCTTCTCTATAGTTTTTGGAACATCATCTCTCAGTGTTTCAAGGGCAGACGCAACCAATCGGAACCTGTGGCAACGTTTGATGAACTCTAAACAGAACAATACCTGCATGGAATATCAGCTCGGAAAACTCCCGCTTCTAATGCTTCTACGTGGCCTCCAACATAAGTCTCACTTTCGATTCTGAACAAGAAAGAAAAAATTCGGAATCAATGCGAACTTTCCAATACCTGTGTCCATCTTTTGTCATTTGAGTTTCTTCGTTTCCTGTATACTTATTCGGGAAGACGATGTTATTGTGGAAAGCTTCAACCATCAATAAAGCTTCGCAAAGAGTACCAGAACCTTTGCGCAAAACCTGGGCAAAATGAATAATAGAAATAAAATAAGAACTTACGTCGTCAGGCCCCAAAGGAATGATTGTACAGAGAGCGAACACGAATGGATGCACGTATTTCATGTAAAGATAATATGTAGCCACTGCATCAGAAACAGAATAGTTCGAGAGATTCTGCACAAAAACTGATTTCAAATATATCTAATTATCAACCTGTGGGTCTTCTCGGGCCATTCTACACATTTCCTCAGGATCAACTTCCACGGGATCATAACGAAGTTTAGCTTTAGCTACAGCCTTTAGATTTTGACTTCCAACAGGCAGATACGAATCACGTTTTACCCAACTGAGTTATGAGTCGTTTATACTAGAATATTTAAAGCTAACGAACCGGAAAGCATCCATATGAATACAGTTTCTACACTTGAATTCATCCTGGTTATCTTTGGCGAAGCCGATCTCATCTTCCATATCAATTCCTCGGATTCGTGCTCGTGTTTCGACAAATGGCCAATCGAAGAAGTCTCCGTTATAAGTGACGATTACATTTGGTTGAACTTCAAGGATATGATCAAAAAACCTGCAAGTTGCATAGTAAGTATATGAAAACTGAATGGCTATACTTTCGAAGAGTGGCTGCTTCGTCAGATTCATTCCACACTGTGAATTCTCCCTTATATTCTTCTTTCGGTGTATATTCAAAATTTTCGATATCAGCCGATACAATTTCACGGTTAATAATGAGAAATCCCTTTCCATCAATCATATACGATATCATCATAATCTCATCAGTCTGAGCATCCGGGAACTTCAACGGTAACTTCGTTGTTTCAATATCGAACGCTAGTACTACTGGGTCTACTGGATCAATAAGAGTAGGGTGACTAAAATATAAAAAGTATCCAAAAAATTAGAAACAACAACTTTAAGATTGAAGGTATCCTTTGAGCCGTTAAGCCCTTAACGGCGTACCATTTTCCAACAAATATTTTTTTGTCAATAGCAACTCTCATATGAAAAGGGAGATCGTGTTCCCTATAATGATTGAAGTAAATGATCATCCTGGAGCTTAGATTTGCCTGATATCAAGGATGTCCGATAAAATATCGTTTTCTCGATGTTTGTAGTTCTCCCCACCCATATTTCTAGAATAAAAACATAATTTTAGATAATATAGTGCAACAGTAACCTAGCCAAGAAACTGACGTATTGAGATTCCTTTTTAACTCTATCCTTGTTCTTACGAATTGTCGGCATCAGATCTTTCTTTACTCGATTCAACTCATTAAGAGATGGGAATGATAGCTTAATGTACAATTTTTGTAAACCTGATAAGTGATTTTTCTGAAAACTAATCATGAAGAGTTACAGGGGAGGTAAATTCAAACCAAATCTAAATCTTCTTTCTCGACATGTTCGACGATTATAAAACTGTTATATTTCTTGGTGAGATATGAAGCTACTTGATATTCGGAGTCGTTCACAGTGGAAATGTAAAAATAAGGTCGGAAAGGGTAGGAAATCTGAGATGAGGAGCAAAAGTATACTCAACAATTTAAGAGGACAAACCTTGAATCTTTGGCCACTTTCTTCGATAAAATAAAAGTCCACAGCTGACACAATCATTTTGGTTTGTTCATCGACGATTTCCGACTAAACATTCTAGATGAGGTACAGTTCCATCCAAACTCACAGGTTGAATATTTACAAGCCAAGCATTCCTTTCGGCAGGAGCAGTATAACGGTTAAAACCATATTTCGAGTCAATTATATCCTGGGACTTAATCTTACTTACTCTCTCCTCGTAATTAGCATCACTGCAAACATATTCTTCATGAAGCAAAGATAAATTATTTACTTTTCCACTGCTTGTGCAAGAAGATCGTCCTTGTCATCAGACATTGTTGCCTACAATGGTTTACTACTCACCCCCAGAAGTGGCAACTATAATATAATATGATTTCAACTGCATAAAGCATAATTTCATTTTACAATATTCAAATGATAATTAACAATTCAAAAATTGATATTAAGCTCTTAAACTTTCGAACATTTAATTTTACCGCAACTTCAAATACTTTTCGTGCTAAGACCAATTTTTATTCCTTTAGTGGTGACGTCAGTTGCTCCAGTAATGCTTTTCCTTCGTATATTGAAGCTATGCTAATTTCATGTTCATGTTATATTGTGTACTTTCAGATGGTTAGAGAAGTTAGGGATTTAACTGACTTCAATAACATTCTTCAAGAAACTAGTGGAGGAAAGATAGCAGTTGTTGACTTTTATGCAGATTGGTGTGGACCTTGTAAATATATAGCCCCAGTTTTTGAAGTTCTATCACAAAGATATACTAATGCTATATTTTGTAAAGTTAATGTAGATCTATCGAGAGGTAAGTCTCTTCTTCATCTCCCTAACCTTATGGTTTTTTTCAGATGCGGCAAGCATTTATAGAGTTCAGGCCATGCCAACGTTCATAATATTCAAGAACAAGGCTGAGGTTGAAAGAGTTGCCGGAGCAGACCCTAATAAGCTAGAGAATACTATAAAAACGTATAAATTTTTTCAACCTTAGTCAGTTTTATACGTTTTTTAAGGCATTACTCGGAGGCTCCTCCTGTTTCTGCCAATGCTGCGAATCCCCGGGAAAGAGCATTTTTGGAAAAATTCGCAAAATACAGTATGAAGGTGGGATTTCAACTTCTATATGTAAATAATAAAGAGAAATGTTTCAGATGCATCACTACACTGATATTGTTAACCAAACTTTGGCATTGAGCTTGGTTCCTGCTCACAAACTCAAAGAGGAAGCTACTGATGCGAACGGAGTGGTTAATAAATTTCTTTTAGCAAAAGGTATGTTATTGTGATCCATTCTCAATTTATGCAAATTTTTTTTGTAACTCTACGTGCACTTCACCACGTTAGAGCTAGTGCCTCATTTCATTTTGAATATGATTGATGCACAGTCACATCCTGTTCATTCTATTTCTCAAAGTATATAATCAATTTCTTTGTTTAAGCACTACTGGAATGGTTCAAAAACGACTTTTTCTCCTGGGTTGATACTCCTACATGCTCATTTTGCGGTAAGAAACCGGATCCAAAAAACCAACAGAAAGGTGAGGTTTCTTCATGATGATTGTTCCAATTTGATAATTTCAGTGGAGCCTAATGCTGAGGAAGCAGCGGACAATGCGAACTATACAGAAGTATATGTTTGTGAGTGTGGGAATGAAGTGAGATTTGCTCGCTATGACAATCCGACCGTACTACTCAGAACCAGGTTTAACCATTTTAAATAACTCGTTTCATCTATCATATCAGAGCTGGTCGTTGTGGAGAATGGACTAAATGCTTTGCTCTATTCGCTGCATCGTTGGAGTTTGATTTTAGGTACATAAGTGTTAGGAGTTTTGTTCAACATCATGGTTTTCAGAATAGCTTACGATATATCTGATCATCTCTGGACTGAGCTTTGGATTCCAGAGCTCGATAGGTGGGTTCATTGCGATTCTTGTGAGAATGTCATTGATTCCCCCTTGTTGTATGAGAAGGTGAGTTTTGATGTAGAGCCACACCTAATTATATATACCTATAGGGTTGGCAGAAAAAGTTGAGCTATGTGATTGCTGTAGGAACTGATCATATTCATGATGTTTCATGGAGATATGTTCTCAACAACCTTGAAGCGTTAAAAAGACGAGGAATCGTGCGTGAAGCAGTGCTAGCCAGATTTTTAAGCGTATGTCTGTTGTTTTAAAATGTCATGGAAGTTTTCGATCAGAAATTGAACGATAGGATGCAAGCCAATTCCGATGCAGCCAGAACAGAAGAACTGAAAAGAAGGAGGATAAGGGAAATCATTGAGTTCCTCGTGCCTGGAGAGAAGAAATGTGATGACCAGTATGGAGGACGTACTACAGGTATATCATAATGTTGGAAATATATTCACGATTTCAATTTCAGGATCAGAGGACTGGAGAGTGCAGAGAGGCGAAACTGGAGCTAGTCCTAAGAAACGACAGCAAATAGTTTTACGTCCCAATGACAAAGAATTAGCCACTGGTGAAATGAGGTTGGTTGTTGCATACTACTCTCTGATGATATTGTTCTTTCAAGAATTCGCTATAACTGTTCAACTGATGTATATACAAGAGGTGAAGACAAAATCAAAGGATGGGCATCATATATATATAAGTCAAAGAATGTTATGAGAAAGGTCGAGAACGACTGGAAAGTGACTTATCTCTGTAGAAAGGAGGGTAAAGAAGAGGGAGAAGTATGTTGTATAATGCGAACAGAAACGGTCTTCTCATGCGTTTCAGATCACTTGGGCTGTAGATTTGACAGGGGTTAAAGGAAAATCTGCTAGACTACGCATTTGTGGAGCTCAAACTTTTGAGAACGCAGATATATTCATTATGACATGTGCAGATGATGTAACCTAGATGAAATCTCATTAGACATTTTCTTTTTTTTTTAAGATATGCCTCGAAGTACCAGCGTCAGGAGAGCTCGTTATAAACGAATTACCATCATCACTACTGAAAATAACAGTGAGATCCAAATAATTTTCTTCATATGTTTTGATTTTCCAGGCAGTGATGAAGGGAGGGTCCGGCAATGGCGCCTTTCAGCATGCGCAACTCTTTCGGTGCAATCATGGAGAAACGGATGATCAACTAACTATAGAAATCGATTTCGATTGATACTAATATTCCTCAGTAATTTATGTCGTCTCCTCAGACGAACTGTGATATTTAGATAAAACTTTATTAATTCCATATATTTTTTAATTGGCAAGAATATGACTAGTTAAATCACTCTATATCACATTATTAAAATAAAATTAGAGAGTATTCAGTCCATTCGCAAAGAGCGGAATTTTACAGTATAACGACATGACAATTTCGAAAACAGAAAGGCTGATCCTCATGAGCTCATTCATCAACAGAGATACCGAAAGAAAAATGCATGGCTTTTAGATCAAGCAAAGAACAAAATCAAAAATTTAGAACTAAAAGTCTACTAACCCCTATTTCATCTTTTCTATCTACATTTGAGCTCACGTTCGGTTTTTCGCTTCTTCACGAACTCGTTCATCTGCATAATTGTACTGTTCAGCTCGTTTCCGTGACATTTCTTCTTGTAAGATCTTTTCCTTCTCCAACTCCTGTTAAAATTGATTATAAGTCCTCAAACAGAAAGAAATGAACCTCTTTTTCTCTTCGTATCCTCTCTTCTTCCAGATGCTTCTCTTTTCTGATTCTGTTCTCTTCATCACGTTTCCTTTTCTCCTCAGCTTGTTTCACACGCGAAACAATAGCTGCAATTAAGGCAGCACCTCGTCCACTACCATCTCCGGTTTGGATAACTTTGAACTGCAATAAAAAGATGAAATATTGAAAACTCAGAAAAAAAATACTTCTAAGCCTGGGTTAACCAGCTCTTTAATTTTTTCGGTAACCCAATGATCGAAGAAAGGATGATACTTGTATGTACTTCCATCTATAGCTACGGTCATTCTAGGCCTGTTGACTCGATTCAAAACGCAGGCGATAGCTGAAAAAAGTAAATGAAATGATGAAACATTGAAAAAACACTCACAAGCTGCAGCAAGGTTTGCGGATCGCCGGGAGACTACCATACAAACTTCTCGGAAGAGAAGCATGTCGGAGAAAGTGAAGCTATCAATGCCCAATTCATCCATAATTTGTCTAGTATTGGAATACGAACCGCAATCATCGCTGGAAAAGAAATCAAGTATACAATTGCTCAAAGAAATTGAAAAATTACTGTAAAATTTCAGAAATGTATTTTGTTGGGAAACTTCCAATAGTTCGTAACACTTTGGATCCATGACCATTGAACAGGACCTGATAACGAAGTATGATAAAAAAAGTTTCAAATAAATCATACCTTGCTATCACAGAGCTTAACCAAAACAAGACGCACAAGTTCACCCATACACATTCCGGCTACAAGCTTATCCAAACTACAAGAGTTGTCTAATAAAACGCAGCAGAGAGTAAAACTAACGAATTAACACCAGGATGATCCGATCTAGAATCAATGATTTTGTCATATTGGGTGAAAATGTAATCAGCTTCTCCACGATCACCAAAACCTCCCCATTCTGTGTCGATGATCATCTATTGGATACGAAAGTTGAGATACAAACAGAGGTAGGAAATAACTCACTGTATCATGATAATAGTCCTCAGTAGCATTTTTCAAACCTTCAACGATATTCTTAGTTTTCTCCATATAAGAAGCATTGGTTCCAGTTCCTTGAATTATACTTAAGCAAATTATGGCATCTAGAAGGTATTACCGATGATGACACCAATATCACAGTCCCCGTTAGCTTCATAGGCGGCGGCTACCATAGTTCCTACTGTGTCATTAATCAAAGCTACAATATCAACTCTCACACGCTGAAAGAAACAATAAATAACAAAAATAGGGATACAGCCTACCCCATCACGTTCAATAGCTTCTTCGAGAAGTTTCACAACATCTTTTCCTACACAACCTGTGGCAGTTACACCTTTTGTCCACCTGATGGTATAATTTAAAAAAAATCTTTTCTCATACCCACCTTAAGAGAGTTGCACTACGTAAGCCAGTTTGATTGCACGGATAAGAGAAGGTGAAGCCTACAGGTAAGTTTTCATTTTCAAGTTCTTTCTCGATCAAGAAATCAGCTAAGGCTTTAGCAATGTAATCAAACAACTACGAAAAGCATATAAATCAACGAAGAAAAAACAGAAAAACCTTAGGTCCCGTTCCATGCATAGCAGCATTAGGCATCCTTGTGTTGAACTGTTTTGTACGCATTGGCTCCCCAGGTTCGATCTCCATAAGCATGACTCTCAAGTTAGTTCCACCGAGATCCATAGCCACAAATTTTCCTCTCTCTCAAAATTTACAGATGTATTCACTGTCGGAAGGGATATTCTCACCTGCTCCGTTGGGAAGCTCAGGCACAAAAGAGGGCAACATGGCGATAGTGGAGCCTTTGAGTCCTTTAGCTAACCCCCGATCCATGTTGTCACTCATATGCGACATCATTCTCCGCAAAGTATTGTTGGATAGTTTGAACTCTGCCATGACGGATTCCAACTAAAACACTACTAAAAGTTTTTTCGTAGAGAAATGACTGACCGAAATAGATTCATTATCATCCAAGTTCGTTCCACCAGCAATTTTTTGGATATCTTTCCGAATTGATTGGTTCTCCTTATCATAACTCTCCCGCCATGACCTGAAGTAACAGTAACAACTTTAAATAAAGCACAACAAAACTGAGCAATACCTGTAGGAACAGGCAAGTTCCAGCATACCCAGCATCTTCGGATTTTGATTTTATACCAGTTTGTGACGCTTCCTCTTTAGTAGAGTAGAAAATAAAACAAAAAAATCTGTAAAGACAGGATAAGTGTGTGATAGACTTATGAAAACTACAAGGAGCATAAGAACCAACTTATAAATAGGAAAATATAAAGTATAATATGTAAGAATAAGCAAATAGAGAGTAGATAATTAAATATATAGAACGACCAGCGACATAAAGCATAGGAATATAAGAATCAATAAAAGCCGAAGTAGAAGCGAGCCTTAGAGTTGAGAAAGCAAATCGAGTAGTTGCCACCCGTTCAAAAAGAATAGAGAAGCAACTTGAAGAAATGCTGTCTCTTATTAAGCCGAAAAGAGCTCAAGGATCTCAGTATTTTATGAAAATCATTTCAGAACTGAATAAAACTCGAAAAAAAATTTAAAAACAAAAAATGAAAACACAGGTGCTCCAGGAGATAAATCAAAGATGGGCGCGAAATTCGAAATAAACATTTTATCAAACCTTCAGACTCAATATTCAGCATATTGACCAGAATCGGAATAGCTATGCTGTATCAAAAGGAGTTCTGCTGGGAAATATCGATCTTGCCACCCGTCCACTCAGCCGCTATTCCCATCTCTATAGCCCCAAGCAGCCAGCAGCAGCAGTGTGGCAACAGCAAGCAACAACAACATTGACATGTTCTTGACACTGCCACACAAAGCTCAAGTATCAGCTAATCAGAGAAAAAGAGAACGAAAAAGTCGCCAATATGCTTGGAAACGGACTGATAAAAGAGTCAAAACCACGTTATTGGGCTCCTCGTTTCAGAGAGTAAAGCATGAAAAGCAAGAGATTGGGAAAGCAAAAAAAGGCACGAATGGACAGAAGTTCTACATATGAACAGAAAGAACATCATGGTAAATAGAGAGCAAAAGCACCAACGTGTAGAAACAGTTTAGCTATTCAAAACAAATAAGTGGGGTTGCGGCTATTGGGAAAGCTGCAAGTCTACTGCTACTCATCAATCGTTCGACAATGAAAAGCCGAAAATATTATATTAGGTTATTTGATGCAATGCAAGTAGGCGCCGCAGTTAAAAACGAGATCTCGAGGGTGTAAAGATGCGTCTCGCAGAATAGCACTAGCATGAAGAGAGAAGCATTAATACCGGTGAATGTGCAACAAACACGCAAAAACTTAGGAGTGCAAATCATAATATCGTTATTATTGAGCGATTGGATAACAAGTAATGAACGATCGGGATAAAGACAAACGAATCCTTGTTATTTATCATTGACGCTCAGCAGCTACAAATTGTCCACTCACATTTCAATGAAAAAATTTCATGGGACATACAGCATATCGCTCGCTATGCTACTGTGATAATCGAAGAATTATCCGGAAGAAAAAAGCTTCTGATAAATTGGTGTGCGGAGCAATCGATATTCTGCCAGATTGAAGATGGGAAACGAATGTAACTTTGAGAAAGAATTAATTGTATAAACCACGTGCAGTATATTGAATCAAAAATCAGTTGAGGCCAAACTTGCGCAAAAAAATAAATGATAGGACGCTGTTAAGACATCAACGTCTGCAACAACGGAAACGAATAAGGAGAAGCTTTAGTGACGTCGGCGGGTAGGTTGAAACCTGTTCAGCCCAAGTCAATGCGCAAGCGTTGGAAGGAAATCACTGCTCTCTTGCTTCATCTTCCTTGTTGTCTGGTCACCTTATATTTTGTCTCTCCATCTCTTTCGCCCTTTTCTTTCAAACACAACTTCTCACATGACTCTGTAGTTTAGCACACAACGAATAAATTTCTGGGAATGAATAATAATAAAGTGATAAGCTGACCAGTTTGTCCTCTTCAGAAGATGATGCAACTAGTTAGGCTCAAATTGACAGCATGCGTAAGGTAGGATTTCGAAGACAAAAAGTCTGATTGAAAAGGAGAAAACAACGGAAGTGATATTACAACATGCTAAACTGATGTATTGATCAAATCAGCGTCATCAATTCTTACCCACAAAACGTCTGTTTAAATCCATTTAAAGTTAGAGCTTCTACTTAAATTGCATGAAGAACAAACTAGAGAATAAAACACTGACAAAGTTAAGTAGAAAACGACATACCATTATTTTCTTCGTCTTCAACTGTTTATTCTTCCATCATCTTATTCTATTCGGTCGAACGAGCAAATATAGAACACTGAAAATCTGCTGATATGGTTTTAATGTGTTTCGTTGATATACCGGGAAATTCTTTAAGAACAGTATCATTCCGGTGTAACCGTCTGTTGGCGAGCAGACGGATAACTTAAACAGAGACGGCATTTGTAATTGTTGGTCTAACACAGAAGAAGTTCAAACGAAATATAAATTAAAATGTGCAAAAAGAAAAAAAAAAGAGTTTGCATTCATGCTATTCCCATATAGAGATCGGAGTGAACCAGTCGTGCGTACATTTTTTTTTTATTTGTTTCACGCTTTTCCGTGGAAGCGGTCGGGTTCAGAAATCTAACATGAATGATCCAGGACAGAGACATAGCGATAAGGTAGTTCCTCAATAATATATCAATTTGATACATTACCAAACATTTAAGAAAAAAGATAAAAAGGAACAAGAGAAGAAACCTAAAAAGAAAAACTTCATAAAAAGGGTACGTGAATACGTACAGATTTTTGTTTCTTCCCTATGTTGATTATTTAGCATCGTTAGTATTTAAGGCTTTCCTGAGAGAGAAGGATGACGAAGTAGAAGATGTCACACATGGCGTCAAAAAAGACAGAGAACATGTTTTTAAAGTAATTCCATCAATTTTCGAATGAATTACATTATCTTACTCATACAGAGTTCTGATCAGAATCATAACTTTTTCAAAGATACTCCAGCCTATCGTTGGTCCATGAATATAATGACTAATAAGGTAGTGAATTTCCCTCATTTGTCTTTGAAATTTGAAAAATTGTTTCAATTGTGAAGGCATTGATTCCTCCACACAATTGTTTCCCTCTCCAGGAAGCATTCACCAAACAGTATTCACTTTGTTTGAATTAGAGTATATTGAAACACCTGTTCATTCATTCTTCATTCCATCTTAACCGCAAAAAAATATATATGAAACTATAGAATTCAGTATGTCTTTCAGACTGTTAAAGCTCTGTCAACTGAGTTTTCACAAAATAAGCGTGTTAAACCCCAGGAATACTCAACGAATGTTTATAGTAGAAATGAGACGAAGAATAGGTAAATTATAGCCTATCGCTTTCTATTTCATTCAATGATGACGTGTTAAATGCTTTGGAATTCCAGATATAACGATATCCTTTGTATGGACTCAACGAGAGTTGTTTTGAAAGGTCGTCCGCAAGATGAAGATTACATACATGCCAGCTGGATGACAATGCAAGATGGACAAAAATATATTTGTACACAGGTTTATTTGCTCCACAGTGTTATCAACATCATAGTTTTGAGGGTCCCATGTCTGAGACGTTAGAAGATTTTTGGCATATGGTATATACAGAGAAGAGTTGTGTTATTGTGATGCTATGTGGTCTGATAGAAGGTAGACTGATCAACCGTGTGTTTGGTCTAATGCTTGCTGATTCAGCTAATCTCGAGAAATGCGCCAGATATTTTCCCAAAGTTAAAGGAAAAGTTGAAGAGTTTGGTCAATATCGAGTTTCTATACGAGATGTTAGGACAGATCCCATTGACGGTGTGCGTCATCAAATTCTAGAATGTGAACTGAAGTAAGTTGGTCTCAGATTAATAGAATATATTATAATCGTTAATAGTGGACAAAGTTTGTTGGTTCATCATCTTATCCATCCCAGTTGGCCTGATCATGTTGTACCTGAAAACGCCAGTGTTACCGTTAATCTTTTCCTATTAGCTAGAAAGCTGGTGAGTGCTAATTGAAAAAATTAAAGTTAATCATATTGAACAGTCTGGAGGCAGACCAATTACTGTTCACTGTTCAGCAGGTATAGGTAGGACAGCAACTTTCGTAGGTATTCTGAACTACTTCAATGGTAATAATTTAAAAGAAACAAGTTTAAGGCTTGGATTATGCTTCCCAGAAAATAAGAAAAGATGAGAACTCCTCGATGGTAATGCCTGAGTATCCATAAGTAATAAACGCATTTAATTCAGGTGGAAGTATTACGCGAACTTCGAACTCAGCGTTTCCATGCTATCCAATCACCTTTACAATATATTTTTCTTCACGTTTGTATTATAGAGCTATTTGCTTTGGTCGGTTTATCAAATATATTTTTGATTCGCATTTTATGTTTCAGGAAGGTTTAGTGCCTAGAAAAGGAAAATTCCAGGAATACATGGACCACTATGACAATACAATGAAACGATATGCTGCACGCCAAGCTAAGAATGATCGAACGAGTGGTCAACCTGCTACGGCAGAAAACAAATAGTTTTTGATTGTAAAAAGTAATTAAAATCTAATTCATGTGAATGATTACTAATGATGATGCCGCGCACAAAAAAAAATTCAAAACGAATAAGGACTAGTCTTAGTCACTGCTAGTATGTGAAACCAATGATGCTGAAAACCATCGCAGAACTTTTGTACAGCTGCTTTAGGACAAATAATATCAAGCATGACAACAAATCACAATAATTTCATCAGCTAGCACCCCAATATCTCATGCATTTGCTCATCGAACGGGACGTATTGTTCGCATCTCTTATTGATTGACTGCTTCTATATATTCTTAATAAGTTAATAAAATGATTGCAACAAAGAACCTAGTGTTAGTAATCATTATTCTAATTGTGGAAAGACATCTGGTTGAGTCTCAGATCTCTCAACACATTGGAGGTAACCGGATCTCCTCTTCAAGTGCTTCCTTTTGGCCAACTAGGAGATTGAATTCTCAGTCAAACGGAGTGATGGGTTAGTTAATCAAACAGTATATACTAATTTCCCAAATTAAGGTAACAACAACAACGATCAGTCAAACAATCAGAAGCCAAATGAACAGTTGAAGATAAAGCAGAATGATCAAGAGATTCCACACATAACAGATTCACCTGAATCTACCCTGAATGGAGATGCTCCCCCTCAATCCAGCGGTTTCTGGCCAGATTCTAAGTTTGTTTTCAAGAGACGCAAGAATGATCCCACGAATGGTCAAAATGTCAATGATCCAACTCCCACCACTCAATCCTCAAACAATAATTGGCAAAACTGGAACGAACAATCGTCCGATGATACTGCTAATCAGGCCATATTCATTCATTATTCTGGAGCAGATAAGCACAAGTTTTCGGGAAAACAGACTGATCAAGAGGGGCCAAACAAAAACCCTGATATTGGTGTCCCTGTTGCTACACAGACTTCTACAGCAGCAAACGTTTGGCCAGAACAAACTACTGGCTTCGGAATATTACCAAGCAATCCATTGAATCCTAGTGTTTTCGGCATATCAGAGCAAGAGCTAGCTGATATTCAGCAGAAATTATCAAATGGATGGCTCGGAGTGCGAGGAATAGACCCTGTCATACTACGACTGTTACAAATATCTCCTGAAGATTTCGAAAAAGAGTTCGGAAGTAATGGTAATTTACCATTGCCCAGAGATAATGATTAACATTGTACTTTCTAAATAAACTGCATTGCTCATGCCTAATAATATTTTGTTTTTCCTTACATTTATTTTGTGAAATAATTTGATCATTAATCTGCTAGTCCCACCTGATCTATGTGAAGCTGTGTCCCACTGAAGTACAAAACGAAAACAACCATCTTGTTCTCTGAATCTTCAAATTTACGGCTACATCCAAAGCTCTAATTGACCCCTATAACTCCATTTTCCACCTTTTTTCTCAATTACCATATACTTCAAAGAATACCATTATTTATGATGGGGATCTTTTAATAGCCTTGACTTTTTTCAACCATGCTGCGAAAAAACTAATCTTGTACAAAGTATCTAGAAAAAAGGCAAAAGAGAAACTGGAAATTGCCAATCAACGATTCCTCACTATTAGAAACATCTGCCATCTAATTGTGTTCTCGCTGTTCCTTTTGCCATTGCCTTAACATGGCAGCACAAGCTTTAAATATATTTCGTAAACGTTCTGTTTCAAGCTAACTGGCATATATGATGAATACATATGGTTGGAAGAGACAGACGAGCAACTATAGATTTTTCGATTTGACAGCTACTGCAGGAGAATGAAAGTTAATTGATCTTCGAGCTGAAGTTTCAAGTTTTCCTTGGTAATCCTGAAAAACACTCACCATTCTTACTTCAGACGAAAAAACAAAGCTATTCCTAACACGATTCTATTAAGAGGTTTGGCAGAATTGTAATTAAAGACCTCTAATTCCTTTTCATTCTATTTTCTTTGCAGCTTGACTTGACCTTAAATCTTCCCGAAAAAAAATCAAACGAACTAAAAACAGTAAAAAATGAAAAGAATTCAACAAACAGCATTCATTTTCAGTCTTCCTCCCTCCATTTCCGTTCCCTCTTACTTTGTTCCCAACTATTGATACTCTATGTGATATTATAACATTTCATACGATACGAAAGTGAAAGAAACAAAGTCAGCATTTGGAATTCTTGTTTCAAATGCGTCATTATTATAAATACCATTACTGATAAAAGGTTCGCTCCCTCTATAGGATGATACAGTCTTTAATATTTTAGAAAACGCTGACGAAACAATATGAAAAAGAAAATATATTATAAACACAATGGGCATACCAAATGCAGAAATTATACTCATAACACAATCATTATGAGAAAGTGTTTATGAATCACTCTCTTCATTAAGCAATTTCATGCGATTCCCAATCATTCAATGGAACAACCATCATAGAGCATGACCCACCTTCACGTTTTTCAATAACAAAAAAATGCGTCTGTAATAAGCTTGCTCTCTCGCGTCTGCAATTAATCAAATGAGCTTCGTCTGTCGTCTGTCCGCGAAATTGCGTACAGTAGCAAAAAAAACAATTTCCAAATTAATTCATTGCATATGTGACCCTTTCAATTATTTAATAGAACCGTAATTTATATTGTCGCGGAAAACCGTAATAGCTACGGCACCTGCTCAATCTAGATTTGACCATCTGAATCGACTGGTTTAGCTGTCGTCGGTCTCATCATCTGGCTAATGCTTTCTGTTGACCATGTTCATCGTAGTATATCCTGAAACTTTCATTAAGAGCTTGTCATAGTTGAGATATGAAGAGAAGAATAATGACCTTCATAGTATTCCAATGAGTTAATACGGATCCAATAGAAAACTTTGTTCATTTCCATTGACCCAAGTACTGCACACATATTTCATATTTTTTGAGTTAATCTGGTTTCACTATGTATGCTACTAGGCTAGGATTATGTTTTTGAATCTCTTTAGCTTCCCTTGATTAGTTCCTAACTTATCCGGATTTGAGAGATGCTGTTTCTGTTCAAATTTAAAGTATTTCGTAACATATTGCTATTGGAAATTCAGAACGAGAGTCTTTTTTGCTGCATTCTCTTATCTTCATTATTCCAAACTGCCCCTCATGGGAAGTACTTTTTTGCAGTGTTCCACGATCATGAACGCGAAACAAAAGTCTGCGAAAAAAAGATGAATAAGTTTGGTGACGGTCCCTGCTCTGTTTCGTTTTCACAGAGTCAATGTCTATTTAGGAATACTGCAAATTCAGTATGCAGCAGACATTTTTCCGATTAAAAACGTAGAAGCTGGAAGTAATAGAGTATTAGCATCTTACATTTGGTTTATATTGGACTGGGAATACGTATATTAATTTGGATGCTTTTGCTTAAATTCACATCATATTGTGCTTTTCCATTAAAATCCATTATCCCCAGATGACTAATGAGTTTGAAGAAAACAATGACCCTTATTACTGTATATACATACCAGAAATTGTTAAAGGAAAGATCTAATGGATGGAGGCATCTTTATTTCTTTCGAACTAAATTGAGAGCTCAATGCAAAGACATACATTGCCGTCTGTTCCCGAAAATGGCGTGCAAGTCATCTGTAATTAAAATGGTAATGGATGCTAAAATATCCATCAAAAAGCTGCCCTCTCTTCCCGCATATACATTGGAAGAGAAAGTGAACGACCATAATGGTATTAAGCTCAATTTCCCTTCTCCATTCATATTTTTCTTATTAACTAGTTCCATAGATAGAAAATTACCCTGAATAATATATAGTCGTAAAATAATAGTTTACCGCTTGATTTTCTCTTTTATGATGTTTCAGACATCATAAGCAACAGTTGATTCCTCTCTTCATGGCATAAACTAATTCATGGCTTTTCAAAGTAATATACAATTTGAAAAAAAAGCGACAATAGAGATAAAGGTCAAACATACAAGCTTCCCCTTAGAGCTCATCTTCAGTATTATAAGTGCATTGTGAAAACTGTTTACAGCTATTCTCTATCAATTTTTGCTTCTTGAGGAGAGCATGTGCTTTCCAAAATTAGAATGCGCTTAGAGTATATACCAATGTAAACAGTTGAAATTCTTCATCCAATTAGCATACAGCGAATAGTTTACGTGGTAATCACGTGTCTCTAAGGTGCCATTCAGTTGTGTGCTAGAAGGCGTGCAGAGCGGTTGATTATCCATTGTCCACTTCCCCTTCAATTTTTTTGAGATGTGGTTTTTCTCAGCCTCACAGCTTTTGCACATTTAACCATTTCGTTACAAAAAAGCTGTTCTTTCAACGTTGGGTGCAGATGGCCCTCAGTTCATTTGTATGTCTGATGGAACCAGATTCATTTCCGTTCCGGCTGTGTGCAGCTTGTAATGAATGGAAAACAATATATACATGTCCCGGACTATATCCGTTGTGGACAATTGTCCTTTTCTTCTTTCTCTAACACTCTCGTCAACTATCGAAGAACCTCTACTGAGCTGAAAAACGTTTATGTCGAACAATACAGAAAGGTTTGCAAATACAGTTTTTGTAATAGCCCATTTAGCATTAGCTAACCATTCTGCTCTATATCTCAAACCTCCCACTCAATACACACACGTTCCATAATAATGAGTTAAGCAGCTACATGTTTTCCACACATATGGCCAAATGACCTCACATTATTTGTGACAATGTCCAACAAATGTCGAAGAGGCAATGATAATGGCATAAGCAGACGAAAAACGGAGAGCATATTGTTCTATTGAGTCGACCACAGATCTACGTGTGATGGATCAAAAGCTTACAACTAAACGTTGCATCACAGTAAGAACCATCTTTGTTGATCTATGAGAAGATAGAGATTTTTCTGAAAATTTTCTAGCACAAATGCTCTTAAGGTTTTTGGAATGTAAACTATTTCACATTTCTTTGACCGAAACAAAACCCTGGTAGTGAGATTCCAAAGGTCAAGAAGAAGAAGCCTAGTGATGATGCTGTGACAGACGACAATACCAAGACGCCTGCTACCCTCAAAAAGCGTAGAGAATAGATCGAGCCCTTAAAAAAAAGCCAATATGGCCGTCATCATGCCAACTTCGCATATACTTTGTTTACTGGTAGGTTAGATTAATACATGTGTGCTTGAACTCAGCCAACCTCAATAAGCAGGTTTAATTCTCCCCTCTCTGCTTCTATTCACTCTCGATATTTTCGTTGTTCCGATGATCAACAGGCTTCCCCTCTGACAACGACCTCTCCGCCACCTCTCAAAGCATTTTTACAGCAAATACAACAACATCACCGACACGTCCTGACAAAACAACAAAAATCTTCGGAATAACTACGATTTCGTGCAGCTCTAGGAGAATTTTTGCATTTCCTTCACAGGAAGACTTGAAAGTGAAACGATTAACCCGAACGACCACTAAAAAAAGGAGCTTTGACAATCGTTTCTCTAGAGAGTTCTGAGTGCAGAATATTGCTCATCACAGTCTTTTTTTCCTTTTCCTCTAAAATAATAGATGAGAAGGGACATTCCAAGTCAGCTACGAATGAAGAACGACTGCAGCTAAGTGCCTACGGGGTCCATAAAAAACGCTTCTGCATAAGGAAAATAAAGAAAAGCCCGGAAACTAATCGGAAGGAGCATGTTTCAGAGATAGGAAACAAGAGAGATGGGATCATGGTCATAAATGGCAGTCACAGATAACTATCATTCTATTCTGCAAGCCGTGCACGCTTCTATTGTGCCATTTTTCCTCTGATATGCAAATTTGAAGAATTTGTTATTGAGTGATACAATATGAACACAACAATATGAAAGATGTAGAAGTTCACACACGAATCAAATTTGAAACAAAACAAGATAATTGATTTATTAACTTAAACAATTTGGATTACAATCGTGAAGCAGACGAAGCATTTTGCTTTTTTTCATATTAATATAGTTAAACTGCTCATTCTTATCAAACAAACGATGAGATGAGAACAAGAAGTATTTGTGAAAACTTCAAGAAAATAAGAAGTTCGGAATATTTAAAATCCAAACGATATATTTCGAAATAGAAATAATCTATGGGATAAAGGAAAGCAGTCGAAATGTATTATGATTAGATAGCACAAAGCAAAGTTATCTCTGATTGGGTTTTCTGAGTATAAGCCAGCCAATAGTAGATAACAACACTAGGAGCTGCTCTACAAGCAGATATGGGTAAATTTATAAAACGTTTTTAACAAAAAAGGGGTTATACCACCAAATAAGGTAATTAGTATGATGAGTAGTTGTAGGTTGTGTAATACATTGCAAAGTACAAGCTCGGCAATGAGACATCACAAGCATCTGGAGAACTTGGGACGAATCTGAAAAAAAAATTCTTTAGAAAGACTTTCTTCTATTTACTCGAAGCCATAATTGGGTACTTTTTTCTCTTCCGCCAGATTTTTATCCCACACCCCAATGATCAGGCCCGGAAAATTAATGGGCGGCTGGCCAAAGATGAGTAGATTATCGATACAGGGCCAGAGGATCAAATTTCGTGGTCAATCTGTAACCTCGGGCTCACTAATCTCTTTTCTATCTGCGGTTAACAAATACCGCTCGTCTTTCATGAGAACCGAGAGCCATGAAAGGTCAAAGTAACGTGAGGATTTAGTAAGCCCGAGATTGAAGGATCAAACCGCTCTTGATTGTGAAGAACCCCAGATTAAGTCAGATCATCGGGTCAGTAAGAATCTCTAGCTTAAGCTGGCTAGTTTGCTTCTCTACCCCCACATCAACGTTGGCAGAAAGCTTAGTGCGCACAGAACGGCTCTGTTCCTTCTCTTTCTCCAACTGACCCTCTTACTACCCATTGCTCTCTGCTCCGAGTCAGACTGTGGCAAGAGATAACCATCTGGACAGATGGACGCCGACCTTGTGTGCCTACAAACTGATTCTTCAGCTCGTCTGAACATCTTCATCTCTCATTCTCTCTCAAACAGAGGACTCATTTGCATAAACGATAAACACCAGTCGTGTGGTCAGTCAGTCAAGTCAGTCTCTCTGTCACTAGAAGAGGGAAAGAGACGGAAAAATAAAGAGTATTCGAAGACAAAATATGGTTCCGAATCAAATGAACGGAAAGACAGCCCGATAGAATCTGATGTATCTTCATCATTTTCTTAAACCGCCATAGGAACACACTTCCAAACTGACAGTTGTGGATTTGCCTTGATCACCCTCACAACACCCTCTACAAGCCTAAACTAATATGGTAAATTGGGATCTAATTCATAACAAGAGATTTAGAATGAAGATTAGATAGCTAGGGAATTCCGGCTGTCATTTTCTAACAAATTAATCTACGAATCAAACTCATAGAGCTGGATATTCTCGTAACACACAGATTCACATCAGCCTCACTTGTCCTCAGTCAGGATTTTTTTCCAGCTTGAACAGGCAAAAAACAAGATCTCTTGGAGAAATAGGACCTCCATGGGTTCAAAAGAAATACATGATGATACCATTAAAGAGACACGATTGGCCATTGAATAGGCTGAGGAATTGTCAGCAGGAAGACCTTCTCAGCCATTTACCGTCAATTTTATAACCTCTGTTGTCAATGCTGGCACATTAACCAGACCATTGGGAATTTTGTATAGGTGCTACTACAAGGCTTCACTACTTTGAAAAAAAGGGGCCAGAATGGGAAAAGAGAAAGTAGAAAAAAAACTAACCAACGAAAAACAGGTTATAACAGAAGATGATGAATGCACAGAAAAAGCCGGCAAGGAAATGCCTCTAGGACGATTAATCATACTTAATTAGCAGCTACAGCAGGTGTGGAATTTGCTGTGGCATCAACCTATAAATGGATCAGGATCATAGAAGATGTGAGAGACTACGCATACCTTCTGACAAACTTCATCAACTTGTTCTCCTTCTGGTGCATTTGGAGCTACATCTCCGGCAGCTTGTTCTTCTGTCTTTTCTTCATCCTTCTTCTCAACTGAGGGACGGCGAGATCTTCGGAAGAAGGAGAGGATCATTCCGATGATATTGGTTCTAACAACAGCTCCGGCGGCAGCAACAACGGCATCAACATCGAGGCCGGCTTGTGAGAACTTCTCTTGAGCTTTAAGCCCGAGATTCCAGAGAGTTTCGAAAACAGCAGGGTATCCAGCTTTTCCTTTCTCGAGTAAATCAGAAGCAGTGAGAACCTATAAAATAAAAATGTTGAATATCTATCACGATAACTTTCAATTTATTATTCAATGAATAAATCTGGCAATAGAAATCTTTGCACAGAGAAAGAATTCCGCGCAATTCATCATCACAACACGCGTGCCCGATATTTCGCAACATCGTCGCTCTAACGATGATCATCACAATCATTCCTTTGTAAGAATGAAATAGTATAGGAACAACTAGCACACAAACAATGCAAAATGGATACTCATTTCGTAATCTTCTCTCGTTATGCCCAGAATAGCTGCAAATGAGTCACCACCATTGGACAACTGCCAGCTCACGGATGACTCTCCAGTCTCAAAAGAGAGCTCAATACGCTCTTGCGAAATAGGAAAGTTTGAGACTATTAAGTGAACTGGGCTCAACTGGCAAGTCCAAAGATCATATTAAAGAAATATTATTATTCTTTTTCCCTTTCAGTCAATTAAAGAGCAGAAATGGTAGTTGGAAGGCCGCCAGACGTCAGTTGCTAATTCTATTGCGGCCAGGAGACCAGCCGATAGGGTCACGTAGACAAAGGGTTGGTTTTGAGCTACCTTTTCTCACAAAATACGAACAAATCAAAACAAGAAATGACCCGTATGCCCTTTACATACTCTCTTATAATTACTTGTCACGAACTGACCTTGGATTCCTCAATGCCAAGATTGGTTTTAGCCCAGCTAGAGAAGGCTTCAATATTCTGGGTTTGAACTTCTTTCTGCTTTACCACGTCGGCTCCCTCTTCAGCGGTTGCGACTTCGACTGCTCCTGGCTGAAAAATACGTTGCCTTATTTGTACATATAACAGATTATATTAGATAAAGAGGATACAGAAGTATAAGAGGGATAGCACGAGAGACGCACGTACAAGCACTCAATCTCCAAACAATAGACCAGCTGGCCAAACAAGTTTACAGACTAAATGCCGCAGCATATCATCCCTTAATTGCAACATCCCCTTTATGTTGCTCAGGCGGACTTTATTAAAAGAAACAGAACAAACCTGAAGCTTGTTGGCCAATTTGGTTAGAATGTCACCATCACGTAAGAATGCCAAAAATTGATTACGAGTGACCTGGCCGTCCTTGCCAGGGATAGCTTGGCGTTCGGATTCTTCAGGAACAGCGAGCTGTTGAACCCATTGAAGTACAAGATGGTTGACCTTAAAACAATGAATTGAAACAAAATGGCAACAAAATAAGCACCTTGTGAGCAGCGGCTGGGATTTGTTGGTTGACCCATGCGAGAGCGTTCTCTCTGGGATCAGCTGGTTGTTCAGGCTCCTTTACTGGCTCAGCTTGGTCGCGATTCTTGCCCCACTTGAGCGTCAGACGCTTCCTAAGGCGAGAAGGTTTCTTCTCTTCTTTGTTTTCTTCGGCTGGAGCAGCGGCTTCTCCTTCAACAGCAGGGACAGCGGCTTCTCCTTCAACAGCGGGAGCAGCTGGGGCTTCCTAAAGAATGCGTTATGCAAAAGTTCAAATTCATAATTCCGATACCTCTGTCTTGGCTTCATCCTTTGGTGGTTCAGAAGTTGGAAGCTCTGGAGCCTTCTCTTCAACAGTTTCAGTTTCTGGCTTTTGTTCAGACATTATTTCTAGTAGAGCAGAGGCTTGGCCTTAGACACTGCAAATGAAGGAATAAAAATTTGAAAAGCTTTAAAATACAAAAAAGTGAGGTGGAAAAACAATAGAGAGTAGCAATTTATAGAATTGGGAAACGTTAGCCGAAAACAAAAAACACGATGATCGAACACACGAAAATAGAAAGTTGGTAAATGACTACAAGAAGAAAGTATTTAGATATGGAGCTAATCCATATGGGGTCAGTCAATAAGAGTTACTGAGCGTTATGGGTATATGGGAAAAAAGAAGGGGAAGGGAGGAGGGCAGTGTGTCGAAACGACCTCGCTACTCGAATCATCTAGGGTCACGATCTAGTAGAAAACATCATAGATAAAGAAGAGCGAACAGACAAATGTCACAGGAGAGACGAGCAGCCTCAATGAGAGGGCCCAAAAGAAATGAAAAGAGACACATACAGGGGTCAGTCAATAGGAGGGACTCCGCCGCGTTGCCTGTACACTAGAACGGACTGCCTTATGAGAAAACAGCATAGTCTAGACTCTGGACATGATCCACCGAGTTTAAACTTTTCTGCTCAAATCTCGCGCGCGCACTACATGAGGTCATATAGGTCACAAAATATTTGAAAATTAATAAATGTAACAGGTACACAAAATGGACTTTAAATTAGAAGCGGTTTGAACGCAACACGGACGAGAACTACGATTGAAGAGGGACATTTTTCGATGCAATTACTTACAGCGAGCTTGTCTACAAAAAACTGGAAAAACTAGAGACTCCGAAAATACAAAAGGCTGATCATTCGTAGTCATCAAGACTACTGCGGATAATTTGGACACTCTCAGAGGACTGACTGACTACATCCGGAATATGAAAGCGATGGGATCATCTCAAAACGCAAAAAAGACCTTCATAAACTTCCTTGAAGACAAAACTATGGCAAACCGCTGAGAAACAACATTGAGACATGAAGAAGAAAATTATAAAAAAACAGAAAAAACGAATGAACGATGTAGTAAATGCCCTCCTGCGTCCTACACAGCAAACGCTCACACTAACCCTCGATTGCTTCACAAGCTCCGCCCAATAGCTCCGCCTTCTGGTAAAAACCACGCCTATGTAGCTCTCTTCTTGTGAAATTAGGAAAGAAAGCCAGGGAGAATTTGATAATTTCACGAAAACGTCAAAAGACTTGAGAATAGGTAGTAAAAAGTTTTAAAGTGTTTAGGGTTGTGAATAGTCGCAAAGCCATTGCCGAAAAGGCTTTTCGGAAGACTCACAGAGTACTGTAAAGACGACAGACGGTGCACGAAATGACACATATGGTCAACGGGTAACTAGAAAGAACTATAAAATGAGATTATAGCGCAAGAGGAATAGCGGCTGAGAAGGCGAGAACTGTCTGGAATTGGGATGGCCTCAGTCAGCAGGGGATACAAATTAATCAGCGTTCATGAACAGATTATAGTTGATAATATGATGAACACTATATATCTGTGTCAGTGGTGCATATTCGGGACGACAGGTCTCGACGTTCTGATGACAAGAAAGGCGATGATTTCGACGACAGCTCTCCAACAGTGGGGGAGTTGAGGCGCCGCCACCGGCCCCCGGGGAGTGGTGAGTAGGCAATGTGGTTAGGTTCATGTGTCCTGAAGAGGATGTCGAACGATGGATCAACCGAAATTAGTCATCGGAGCGTGGGCATGATAAGTGTCAACGTATATTATATCCCTTGAAGAGATAATAATAGGTGTCATTACGTAGCAAGACTAGTAAAGTGCGCTGTGAGGATGTTGAAGCGAAAGTTGCCAAATTTGATTAATAATCACTACCAGCTTTCGCTCTATTACCAGTTTCTTCTTTCGAAACTTTTTTGTTCAGGAATTTTCTGGAATGTACAGAAATTGCAATTTCAAGGGCAACCGGGGTTTTGCGAAGTTTATCAGATCTACGCAAAGACCTCGGAAGAGAAAGCTGGCAAAAAGAAAGTTTGACGGTATTTTGTGAAGCTGTGGGTACCAAATGCAAACTACACATGAAATGAGATGGGAGAAGAGTGAAGACAAACGAGCGCGAAAAAAAGGAAGAAATCAATAGATTGCAGAGAAAATGAGCATGGCAAGGCTGAAACAGTTGCAAAACGAGCAGACAGGGCAAAGTGGAGGCAAGTCCTAGAAAACAATGAGCCGAGTGCAACAGGACATTTCCTAGAAAACAAGGTGAAGAGTTTTAAATGAAGTGATGCCATAAAAGTGGAAAAATCTTCAAGAGCGTGGAGGACTGAAGGTGTTGAGTGAATGCAGGTACAAGTCTTTGCGGTATCAAAAAACTGTTCCCGCTCGTTTTGTTATTATTTGTTGGACAACAGACGCTGGAAGCCCTTGGGTTACAACAATATTTGCTTATGAGACTATAATGATAATTGAGGGGTCATCTATTTATGAACAGCGGCTGAAAAAGGACCCTAGGTAAGGACTCATTAAGTACCTTGATAGAATCCTCAAAAAAAATTGTAACTCCGGCTGCTAGGGTCAAAAAAGAACTTTTGCGAACATTATCAAATAACTTTTAAAACGGCAGGTATGTGTGCACAAAGAAACAACATAGTTCCGGACCGGAAATTTCGAATATAAAGACACCGAAGACTGTGTGCCTACTTGCCACGAACATAATAAATCAGATTGTTTGAATTTCATCATGAATGAAAATGAGGAAACGAAACGACTGATGTCTTTTTGGAAACTATCTGCCAAGTATGAGATGATAGAGATCGACCGGATTAAAGACGTCCGAGGAATTCTTTTCCGCTCCGAGTGAGGTCTAGTCATGAAGGCGAAAAAAACGAAAAAAAACTGATGAATATTGAGATAACTCTGGATGTTTGAGTGACTCATGGTCCGATAGATTGATAACACCGAGTGCAATGGGTAAGGAAGGGACACATAGCCACCGTTTTCGATGAGTCATTCGGCGATCGAACAACAAGAATTACGAAGAGTTCAGAACGTCCTTGTTTGAGAACTTTTGACGGAAGCGGAAAACAACACTAGAGAACCTGGCACAATTTCAATGTGAACTTTGGACGTTCTGAAGCTCTGAAGGACAGAAGTCGATTTTCAAAAGAAGATGAAGAAGCTCGCTTGGCCGTATTTCAACATCGTTAAAACTACAGAAGGAATAAAAGAAAGAGGAATGAACGAGGACTAGGGAGAGGAGCCAATTTCACATTCATGATCTTTAGGACTGAGACATTCAATTAGTTTCTTTTGTGAATTCATGTCAAAAACTGAATGTGAAGATATAAAAGTGTGAAAGTGCGATACTCTCAAATACAACTCGCGACAGTTGACTGAAGCACAATACTGACTTGAAGAAGTTTAGGAAGGAACAAAAGAAGACGACGACAACGGCGTCACGGAGAAGAAAAGAGGAATCGGATTCGTACGGATGACTAATAGGCCAAGGAGTGCACACATGAACACAACTGAATTAATCATGTTCGTTGTCTTCCAGTTCTAACAGACATATATGGTGTGAGTGAACAGAACAACTCCATATTAGGTGTATTCTGTACAACCCCTACGCATAGTGTAGGGGTAGACACAAAAAAAAACAAGCAGAACTGGGCTCCGAGCGAATGACTAGAGAGCAAACTAAGAAAAAAAACTATTAATCAGCAGTTTGAATCATAACCAAGAACTTTCTTGGGGACCTCGGTGCCCAAACAGTTTCTCTCATCATTTTTTTTGATGTCTCATCAACCATTACGACCACCTACGCAAGTGTTACTGCTTTAGATAAGAGATAGCAAGCTAAAAAAGATATGAAGTAGGAATGAAAACAAAACAAAGCAACTGTTTCACGAATGACAGCAGCCCTTAACTGCACAGCTACTATCGTTATTGTTACGCAAGCACGTCAGAAGGAGATACAAAATATCAAATTACTTAATATGGTACAAAAGCATAACATAAACAAATAAATAAAAGGATATACCTATATCTAGCAGTATGCCCAAAAAATGGATTTCATAAATTACGAAAACTGCGCATCGAAATGAGCGCGAAACCTTTATTTGGCTTATGAGAAGCGCGAAATTTGAATATCAATTGATGAGCCACCAATTAAGGTATGCTTCATTTGATCATTATATTCAAATGCAATCAACCGTCATTTCATTTTTTGAATGAATTTGGTATGAGATAAGAAAAAACTTTTCTCTACTGCCCACGTTTGACGTGAGCAGGGAACACAGTAGTTTCATTTTTTATTTTGCAGTAGTTGTGAACGGTTGCATAAAGAAATAGAGACTGCTGAAAGTGGAAGAGGCCGATGTGATGACAGAGAACTTGCTTAGTCTCTTATTTATAGTATTTCTAATCAAATAACTAAGCGTTTACTCATCGCACCGGTCATTCGTTTTAATTTCCAACCCTAAAAACAAAGAAATTTAAAGTACGTTTAAGTAGTTTTTATCTAAAATCACTGAGTCATGGCTTTCTCTTTCTCACTTTTTTTTGGAGCAGAATGAGAATTGTGGGACAATAATTCACTCTTCGAAAAAAATTGTTTAGAAATTCGTTATTTTGGAAAAAAAAAGGTGAGAATACCTGCTCAGTATTTTGCTACCAAAATTCATAACAAACTTATGAAAGAACAAAAAGGAAGGAATAGTAAATCATTGCGATTGAATATTTGTAAAAATAGATTGAAAGAGAATTCAAAATGACCAAAAATAACTGTGTTATAGAGTTGAATATGGGAATTCTCCCATTCTTCTCATATTGGATTGTTCAAATGGAAACGAATGACCACAAATGGTCATGTCAACGACTCTTCTTCTATGGGTCTGCTCAAAATGGCTTTGCCTTTGACCGTCATTTGTGCTCATTTGATCTCTTTCTTTTTCATTTTCTCTATTTAATGACTAAAACGAATGGGAGGACGTTGTAGAACAAGCCGCCGTCTGCCATATCTCGTCTTTCTCTTTGAAATGCACAAAGTCGGAAAAACTAGTGTACAAGATAGCAAGAGCTATTGTGATGAATACAATGAAGGGTAAAGGTAAAAATTAGTCAGCGCATGTGGGAAAGGCTAATTTTTCTGTACTCCAAATGACAATAGTCAAAAATAGTGAAATTATGAAGAAAGCCGGAAATCGTAGGGCAATAAATGAGAACTCAATACTGATGCATATCAGATGTGACAGCTAACAATGGTGACCTTCAGATGATAACAAGGAAGGAACGTATTCTTTCTGATGTTATGATCTGTCTTTCCTCTAGTTCTTTCACTTATTCACTGACATACTCCTCTAGCAAGCCAGAGTAAAATGTGACGGATTCTTATGCGACAACGCTTTTGTCATTATCTCATCTATACAAGCGGTTTCGTTTGAAGGTGGATAAGAAATAATAGATTGACAAGGACACTTCTCTTTCACCTCAACTCATGTCCTCACTAACTCCGTCTGATGAAAATGATGATGCAGTTGTATTTCATCCGCCTTACATGATTATATATACCATTCACTCATACGCTCATCTCTAATTACCCTTTTAGTCCAATAATCTCTTCTTATTAGTATGTCTTTCACTAGATCTATCTACACAACTATCCCTTGAGGTTTCTTCTTTTGCAACTCCAAAGAGAACCCCAACTTGTACTTCTTCTATTCATACACAAAAAATAAATGCATTAGTTAGAATACTGGAAGGTCAAAGAACTGAAAATATGTGAAATTTCATTGTGAAAAAGAAAAGCTAAAGCTGCCTACCTCTTCATTCGGATACCACATGAAGCAATGAGAGGCTATTCAGTCAAAAGAACACGGGTGGTCAGGGACGTCTGCTTCCTGCTAAAGGAACAGATGCTGTGTTTTAGGTCTAAAAGCTTTTTAATGTGTGGTAGGAACATAATAAATCCCGGCTGGACACATTTCGGGAAATGATTACGATGCGGATCATCTTCTTATCTAGATTGGTAGGTTTTAACAAGGAGAAGATACAAGTAGAATTAGGAATATTGGTTAAGCAGCACAATTTCCCTGATTCGTTGTTCTTGGGAGAAGCAATGGCAACAATGGCAGCTTGTCTAAGGACAAGCTCATTGGAAATGAATCAGTCCTTCCCATACCCTTTCCCGATCTTTTTCTGTGCTCTCTCAAATTTGCCCTCCTCATCAATTCTTTCTTTCTTTCTGAAACCACCAAAATAGGCCTGAGCTAATCGGATAAAGCTTGTTCAACTACACCATTACGTCCACTATGCATAATGAATCTCTTTTCCTAGATGGACAAGCAAAATTTGAGGAAATCTAACCCTATTCCAGTCACGCTACGTTTCGAGAAAATGACCAATGAAACAATATGTTCCTTATTTAGCGTTATTGACACCTGTGCTTACATATGTATGAATGTATGTATACATTTTGAACAAAAACATTAAAGTATGTATATGAAACAAGAAAAATGATGAAAACACAAATATTGTTGAACAAACAAATTCAAAAACAAAATTCTTCAAACAATTTTCGAATGTTTTCGCATTGTATACAATTGGATAAGTGATTAGAGCTTAGCACTTGAGCTATTTCAAGCGCTCAAAATAAAATTTGAATATTAACGCTGTTCACGTATGCGTGTGTACCATGGATCATTTTAATTTATTCCAAAAACATAGAGCGGTTGCGAAATAAATAAAAAAAGAAGGAAAGGAATGTAAATAGATAAAGCATTCATCCTTACGGACAGTCATTCATTCTCGTATATATACTTGTACAATTAAATAATTGAACTCTGAATCACCTAAACAAGCTTCTATTTTCATAATTTTTTTCTTGAACACATTGAATTCCTACATATTTGTCTGACGGAATACATTGCGTCATTTGTGTTTATTGACTAATGAAATGACATAAATATAACAATCCAGGAATTTATAAATATCTTTTTTCATATTTCATACATTTCGAAACTAGGTTGAGGGGGGGAGCAACAAATTTTTTCCAATCTTGGAGGCGCAGATGCTCTACGATGTCTCATACATTCCAAATAAACTTCACCCTACAAAGCCAGAGGAATTCGGATTTGAAATAGGAAATTACTGACCATGCTGTTTTCTAGCTCATCCCTCCAACGAGCTAACCGCTTTTTCCTCTGATTTATTTCATGTGCCTTAGAAATAGTCACAACTGCTGCTATAGGCGGAAGATCTTCTTTTTTTTGAACCATTGTAATACAAACATCGCCTGGCTGGAAAAAAAGAAAGTCTCGAGGATAGGGGGAGCACTTGCTTTTAAAAGCCGAGCATCTAAACCATAAGTTTCTAATGTTCGCTCAGGTTCAACAGAACACCAGCCTTTTCCAACAACAAATAATGGATATTCAAGTTGCACTTCAATTGTTTTCTACAAAGCTCAATGAATACGGAATTGTGTACCAGATTTACCTCAGAATTGCTAGAAGTGACATGAAAAGTGATCTGTACATTATTATTCACTCTCGTGGACTTAATAAAATGTGCAGACTCAATGAGAAATTCATTAGTTTTAGCAGCAGCTGAGAGAAAGTCATCCGTACTCAAATCTTCCACCTAATTTGAATAATTAAAAATGGAAATCTGCTTTGAGCACACCTTTCTCAATGATCCATTAGCCAATCGAATCATAGAACCTCGCAGGAAATGTGTGGGATAGTAATTCTCAGTCGAAATCTCACCCATGACAAAATCGTCTTCTCTAGGTTTCGTTTTCCTGAATGTTTCCCTAGTCTGTTTAAGAAGAATAAGATTCTCACGATTTTGATCCTTCTTCAAAATCCGAAGAAGAAGCTGCTTGTGTTACCAAGTTAGGAACTGCAGAAGTTTGCTTAATCTTTAAAAGCAACGGGTTTGTATTACGGAACTCAGTATAAATTAACCACTGTTGTCTTTATTTTTTCATTGCCATTGTGGGTAGTCGATGCGGATGTTTCCCCAGATTCTGTGGAATCCTGGAATAATTTCGTTTAAGGTTGTCCAAAATATTCCGGTCTTTGTACTTTTCAATAATGACGTGAACAGATCAGGGTTGTTTGATAACAACATTTATCAGTTTCTGTTCGATAAACAACCATTTAAAACTTACACTTACTGGCACTTGCCGCACTGGCAGTGAACTTGGCTCGCTTTGCTCAGGCTCTCGCTGAGGTATCGAGGAAGAATCAGTGAAGGAAATGTTAGGGAACGTTGGATGCGTTAAAGTGCTCACATAATTGCGCTGGATGAAATCATTCAATTGGTTTGATTCTGTAAGGATTTTCGACATATGCTACTAATACAGATGATAAGATAATGTGTACCCGATGTGCACATGAGAAGCACATGCGAAAGCTTAGTTTTTGTCTCACGTTTGCATCATAATGGTGAAAATATTATTAGTTTTACCGTTACAAATATTCTCCAATGGTTGAGATGGCAATAGATTCAAACCAGAGAAAGGAGTTGATGAGGCAAGAAAGAGCGGAAGCTGATTGGTAAGCTGTAATTGATTCAACAAGAGATGATCCGATTGGGGCATGAATGGCCGAGAGTTAAAGGAACTTTGATTCGATATTGGCTGATTGAGGTATGTATTAATGGCTGTTTGGGAAGTTTGAATCTGTATAATGTTGCTTAAATATATTACAAGCCTTGCACTCACTGATTGATTAACAAGTTGAGCATTTCCACAGAGCTTCGGCACTGGCTGGAAATTATTTGGCAAATACGTCGGATGAACCAGCTGGTATGCAGTCGAAAAAGTGCTTGATGAAGGTTCCACGTGATATGGAGTTCTGAAGAAGTCCAAAAAAAATTTCTATTAGCTATTTATTCTTCTCAATCTACTACATCATCTCTCTGTCCAAATGTATTCAGAACTAAAAAAATTCTGAAAATTCAAATTTCCATTTTGCCCGCGAAATGAAGGTTTGCATCTTTTTTCTGTTCCACTCTAAACGATTCATCAGTGGGGACGGTTGTGTTTGTAAATTTATCTTCACGTTTCACAGTTTACACTTTTCGCAATAGTTTTCATTTTTCTGCTTTCTTTTCCTTTATTATTCCAAGTTCATATCTTTTTGATTTTATTTCACTAATTTGAAGTGTACGATACCTCAGTCCTAGCGAAATCGCAGGATGGGCCTGTTGTAATGGCGTCAGCCCTGTCGTGAGAGGTGGATTTGAAATCTGTAAAAAAAATCAGACTGAGGTACCACTGATCCAACAGTGATGATTTATGAAATTATACTTTACATACGATATTATTGATTTGTGATGGTTCCCATGGTGTGTTAGAGTTTAGAGTTGAAGGCGTGATCGATGGGCTCATATTTGCAAAAAAAAATACTTGTGATAGCTTGCTAATTTTATGCGAATAATAAAAACAAGAACGATATGAGAATCGAATGATTTGATATTTGTATTAGAAGCCTCGTCAGCTTGGTAGGAATACCTTTAATAATTTTATGAAGATGTTTCGAATGTATACCAAATAGGGTCTTCCAACGACAGCTTCAGTACTGTGATATTTGACATTAGACCGATGTGTCTTTCAAAAGTAGCTGATAAGCACCAGCTGATATGATAACGAGAAACAATAACATATGCAAAAAAATATTTTCGCTAAGGTCATTCTGACATACCACAATTCCCGCGGAACCTCTCTCCTGACAAACATCTTTAAATCAAAAACTCCCAAAGATTATGAATTCGTTTTGAAACCTTTTCAACAGACTGTTCAAACTTGAAGGCCCTAATGTTGCTGTTTTCATTCAAATATTTCGAAATGTTCTGCAAAGTCCTCTCGTTTATTTTAATAATCGGATTATTCATTTGGTCTTCTCTCACAAATCGCATTGCTTGATGGGGAGTATAGCCTCGCGAACGTTCTATCTGCAAGTTGAGCTGTAGAATCAGTTTAATTTTACAGGCAATTAGTATGTCAACTCTAATACTGTGTTGATGCATTGTTCGGACATGATTCTTTTTTATCTTCGAAATAAGCGCATGATCACAAATGAAAAAGAAAGACAAAGAGTTGTTATCATTACAACCATTCCGGATTTCAAAATTTCCCTTTCCATTTATAGTACAGGCGGTTTAACGCCTTACTACACAAGATTGTTGTCTCTTTCGCCATTACATGGAGATCATCTAATGTTTTAATGAAAAAAGGGATAGGAGAACGTACCAGCGTGCATGCTGTTTAACAACTACCGCGCCACTATTGCTTTGTACGCATTTCTCCTTATACCGACGAACATACGTAGAGAAGTGACAAGCAGACGCTATAGAACGGTCGCATTCTGTACTTTTTGCCAAAAAATGAAAACATCTTTGAGTCCTTCTTTACTTAGTTAGTTTTTTCTTTTAATGATTATCCATACTGGTTCTTCCTTCATTTTAACATCGAGTTCTCGAAAACGAAAGTTCAAATTCTAGACATCAGTAAGATGGAAGAAGACGTCACTCCTTCCTCCTCGTATTTGGATTTGGACGATCCATTCGACACTGTAAACTGTTCTGTTAAGACCAAAACTCCTACTGGCTCAAACGACGGGTATAATACGCAATCCATATTTTCTTCATTCCCTATTTGCTGTAGAAGTGAATCAGGCGAGCTGACTGATGAGTCGCGAGATGAGAAAGAAGAAAGTACATCGAAGGTGGTTGTGAAAGAAGAAGAAGAAGAAGAAGAAGAAGAAGGAGGAGAAGAAGAATGTCCTCGGTATGTTTCAGAATACATTTGCCGCTAATTCTCTCTTTTAAGTGAGAAAGAAGTATTCTCAGCTTGGTGTGGGGGTGCTGATCCACCGGAGGAGCAGATATCTAGAAGTATGCTCGATATGCCGTCACTCTGGAACTTTAGCCCCACAACTTGCAAACTAGAAGATATGTTTGGAAATGAGGAAAACTGTGTGTCTCCGCATATTTTGAAATCTTTTTCGGATGACATCTTATCTTCAGATGTATCTTTAGTAAGTTTCGAATTGATTCCCGTTTGAGTTTCAATTTTTTCTTAGATGCAGACCGTTCCGGATTGTCAGTTGGTGGATTTGGTAACCACAACTGCCCGTCTAGTTCATGAACATGAACGATTGATCAATAGTCGCGTCAAGTTGTTGGAGTATGTTGATTATTCGCTTCTAAGTTTATAATTCTGTGTTGAAGGTCTATGAAGGAAATGCACAAGCTAGAAAAAGAGGCTACAGTGAAAGCTATTTCTGAGGTCAATCAAGAACAAAGTAACGAGCATACCAAGCAGATAGTTGCTGAAATGACAGCAAAACTTGAAAGTCTTGGAGAAGACGATTTAGACGAAAAAGAAAAGTTTGCCTGTTCGACTTTTTCTTTTCTAATCTCTCATTCCAGCTTTGAACCTTTTCCTTCTCTTCTGGATGGATCATCACCTAGAGCCTTAATGCATCCTTATGCTGTCCCTCCACCGGATACAGCTCGTCCACCACCTTTAAGTCATCTAGTCGCACCTACCCTTCCACCTCTTATCCCGGACGTATCAAGGCCTCCACCTGCAATTCCAAAGGTTAGTTCTTGTTCTCTCCATTTCGTGTACATAATGGAAACATTTAGCGATTGGGTCCTGATTGTTCTTTCTCATACCCTCCACCCGCAGCTTTTATAAGATCTCCATCTTTGTTACCTGTACGGATATCTCCTCAAATCACGTAAGTGTTAAATATACAGATATTTGTAATATATATTTCTCGTGATGGGCGAATAATGAAAAATTTATTTTGTAGTGCTCAAGGACGTGCAGTTGCCCCTCCACCTTTCACACCAATGATGCCTCCACCGCCGTTCTTCATGCCACAATTCCCAGGAGGTCCAAACATTTGCGTCCCCCCTCCACAAGCTCAGTCTTTTGTGAACCCAACAACTGCTTTCATGGCGCCAAGTAAGATTTTCGAAGTTTCTTTACTTTTTGTTATGCTCTATTCAACTTTATGAGGGGGTTCTGTTGATAACGTTTATGACATATTTTGTCCAAGCACAATCTCCTTTTTTGGTTATAGAGAATTAAGTCTCCTAGGTTGCTTCTAAAATTGTTTTTTTTACAGGGAAACGAGTACTGGGCGCCAATGACGACAGATGGACTTCCTCAGATAGAAGTTATTACATGGGAAGAAGAGGACCATCGCCTACGGGAAGATCTGGGTATTCAGGGAACTCCTCCCCAGCTTCGCCTTCTGTTTTAAAAGAACCCTGTGTAAAGAAGGAGCGTGATCTCTGATTTTCTCATGGAGTTGGCGACAATTTACCGTTTTTGTCCGTCTCGTTGATCTATTCCTTATCTGGCAAATTCGTTTGTGTTGTTCCCACCCCATAGTCACCCCACGTCTCCTCCTATCTCCAGTGCATATGTGATAGATATTTCCGTTAAAAAGCAATTATAGCTTTGGAATCTCCTATAATAGTGTCTTTTCTGCCTCAGTCTTAGTGTTCTGAAAGCTGCTCTCCGGAGCGGTCGAAGACTCTTTTTCTAGTTTGGCTTTTCATATTCGGCTCAAATGTTTCCTTTCTCGGCTTGTGAATGAGGTACTGTAAACTATTCCTTACTAGAGAGTTTCTACTTGTTTATCTCCCCTTTAGTACTTGTTCATGTACATTATGTTCTCTGCTTTTCTTTGCTTAGCTTTACATTCTGCTCATTGGGTTAGTTCTTTTCAATTTTCCATATTTCCGCGATAGCTTGCCGTCCCATATTTTTTGAACTCTCACTTGTATCCCTCTTATATTCCGCATATCCTTTGTTGTTCATTTTTTCTGATATTAGTCAGTTACCGCATTCTTTCTCCGTTCCTGCTTTGTATTAGGCTCGGACGAAGAGGGAAGCTCTGTTTCTGCATGTTAATGTACTTATTTCTTGCTTCCTGATCAAACTCCGTTCTTTGTTTCTATAGATTTTTTCAATTTTTCATTGCATTTTACTGTTTACTTTCGACAGAATTGTTATCCGGTTTTACTTTTTCGGGGCGTTATTTTCATTTTGCTTGAGATAGTTAAAATGAAATTGTTTTTCTTTTACAACTTTATTCTCTTCACTCATCCGTCTCCAACGGTTTCATTTCTTAGGGAAAACCATGGCAATTTACCGAGCCCAGCAGACGGATCGTGATGTCTCATGGCGATTGAGACGCTGTAAGGTCCGACGATTTCATGCTATTAATAATTTAATTCTTCCACTCTTCTAACTTTCCCAACTCTGAGGTTTTCAGAACCGCCGTATCATGGATGAACTCTTGCTTGCGTCACACCTCAGGTTTTTCCAAATCTCTGCGTAGTTATAAGAGAATTGCGAATTGTAGGAGAGCGGATGATCCTGGACAAGGAGGTGTTGATAACAAACAGCCTATTTTGAAGGAAAAACCTAAAACTCCTTATATAATTCTGCCTAATGAACCTAGATTTAAGCATTTGCTTAATAAAAGTAAATTCGCCTGTGATATTGGTGAGCTATTCCGTCCACTATCAACCTCATTTATGCAACTTAGGTGGAACTTTGGTGAAACTTGTTTACACTACTGTTTGTGAATGCGAAAATGGATCTGTCACCCATGAAGTTCTTTTGAATTTCAAAAAATTTATGTCAATCGAAGAGTGTTTGGACTTTGTCTCGGAGGTACGAAATATTTAACTGCTAACATCAGTCAGTGCTCTAGAATTGGAAAGATAGAACTCCAGAAGACATAATCTACTGCACAGGTGGAGGCTCGTACAAACATGGCGAAGCCATCAAACAGAAGCTTAATGTTAGGTACGGTTTACTTCTCCGAAATGTTTTGATTATGAATTCTGTTCATATAGATAAATTTTTAGAGCCGTCAGAACTGATGAAATGGATGCTTTGATCTTTGGCTGCGACTTCCTTCTCCAAAATAATGAAGACGAATCTTTCACATACCATCATGAAGCTACTGGAATAGAAAGGTTTCTTAGTCTTAGCAGTGTTTATCTTATATTCTCTCAACTGTATAGGTATCGATACAAACCAATTAACGAAGACGCTATTCATCCATTCTTGCTTGTTAATATTGGCACAGGAATTTCTATTTTAAAAGTAATATTGAAGTTTACGACTTGTCATTGATCTTATGTATAGGTTGACTCCCCGACTTCTTTTAAACGTGTAGGTGGATCATCCATGGGAGGCGGATCTTTTATTGGTTTGGGAAAACTCTTGACCAAAGCGAAAAGTAAGACATTTTTTGAATAACAGAATGTCATGAGGACCTTTTAGCTTTTGATGAGCTTTTGTTACTTGCTGAAAAGGGTGATCATAGAAAGTCTGATACTCTCGTTAGCTTTTCATTTTTTTTATCATCTCGAACAATTTGTTCAGGTTAGCGATATTTATGGAGGAGGGTATGATAACTTAAACTTGGCTGCTGACCTCATCGCCGGTTCGTTCGGCAAATGTAATAGAACGGAAGGAGTGAGTGAGCAGAATCCTGAAGATTTAGCTAAAAGCTTATTGCTTATGATTAGCAATAACATAGGCCAGGTGAGATGTTGTGACTAGCAATGGTTTTGAACAATGATCATAGATGGCTATGTTGTACGGCCAGCACTATAAAATGAACAGGATATATTTTGGAGGATTTTTCATTCGGAAACATCCTATCACAATGAGGACGTTGACATATGCTATAGATTTCTGGAGTCAAGTGAGTTATTCGTGTCTTTACGGGTCTAATAACTTACTTCTAGGGAAAAGCCGAAGCTTTGTTCTTGAAACATGAAGGATATTTAGGAGCTATGGGAGCGTTCCTCGACGATTCCGGTTCAGATATTGAATAGTAAGCCTTATAGGCTCAAGATTTCTATTTTTCATTAATTTCTTTCAAACGGTGATTGTGTCTTATGTTTTTAAGCATTCCTTTGATATTTTTCCATTTTGCACAAATTTCCATTTTACTTTTTGTAAATCCTGTGAGGGTCGAATGTGCCTGAGAGTTCATAATTTACACTTTGATACGTAATTGCCAAAAATACGGATTTGATAATTTATACATGTAAAAGTATTAATAAAACAGTCTTCGACCTAGTATGCTCCATTTTATTTTCAATACAAAGAAGATCTAACCATTATAGAAAGAAATACCCCAATATTGTCTCGTGATCGTACTTATCTTGATGAAGTTAGCAACATCTTTTGGTTCCAATGGTACGAAAGATACCAGGTCGGCCAGCGACACTACAGCATCTTTCCATGAGCCCTCCCAACTTACAACCTCATCATCGGCTAGTTCTCTTAAAAACCTGAAGAGTTTCTGATTAAATGGTTGCAAAGGGGGAAAATACCTATTGATAGAAGTTGGCAAGTTCTTATTTTGCTCTTCAGCAAGTTGAATCACACGAGCAGCAGATATGCGTGATAAACGATAACCCAGCTCATCAGAAAGAACCGAACCTAATTCCAACTTTGCTCTTTCGTCTTCACCTATCCGGAGATAGTTAAGCAATTGCTGAGAAAAAAGATTGTTTCGGAACCATGCTTTTCGATACCATAAATGCTATGTTGTCATCGTTCAAGTTCCATTCAGCAGCCAGGTTTCTTGCTAACTCTCGTTCAGTATCTGTACCTTCTTCAGCAACCTTTAAATGATAAAAAATTGATAACTTGTTTTTCACTTTTCACAATTTTCTAATTTTTTTTTTCACAAAACCGGCGCTCCAATGATAATCACGCCAATCTTCACGTGAAATTCGTTCATTCAAAGAAGCAGACTTATTAACCGGTTGTCTTGTTCATATCAGTTTTTGCAGGAATTCATAATCATTTCCTTGCTATTAAAAAAGTTTTGATTCTTGATTAAAAAATTACCTTTGTAAGGAAATCATGACGGTTTTTCATATATTGATCATCAACTTCTTCCGGTATTAGTGGATGGGAATCGAGGGGATAATTGAATGCACGCGCCCCGTTATCACAGAATAGCAGCTTCTTGGGTACCACGTGAGCATTACCCAAAAGCTGAACAACTCCAGCTTAGAAAGAAGAGAAAATGATACAACCTGCAGCTGGTAGATGCGATATAACTGTATGTGATGCAATACCAAATGGTAGTTGACCAACGACTGTTTCAAAGCAGTGTGCGCTAATGAATCGACTGATGTTATTGTTTTATCTTTGCAGAAATCGGGAGGATGAGCACATGCTAACTGAAAAAAACCGTTCAATTCTTCTCTTTCAGTGAGTGAACCTGAAGAATATGATCAACTGGGAACTCTTCTCTTTCTGCACCGTCTTTAACGGTTTCGCTCATTATGGTCAATAAGGAAATGACTGTTTCTATGAAAGGCAGCTGAAATCACTTGAACAATCATATAATCGCTATCTCGAACATACCATGCATTCTCCAGAAATTTTTAAAGAACCACGTGCCTCAGAATCAGTCGGTGTTCTTCCATTCTTCTCAATTAAAGAAGATAAATTCCTCATATTTTCAACCAGAAATTTATCCCATACGAGCTTGCACAAACCGTGCTTCAACCTATTGTTCTCAATGGAATGAACGAAGGTTATCGATCTCTGAAATAAAAAGAAAACTACAATAAAATTTAAATTGTGTGATTGCAACCTCTAATGGCTCTAAATTTTCTCGATTTTTGAACCATAAGCTGGCCAATTCCCAAGCAATGTCGGTGCATAAGAGGTCGTGTGAGGTTGTTTTAGGTAGAAGATGTATGAGTTCTCTAATTTCTTCAGAAGCTTCAATTATATCATTCATATTATCAACTTGCAGTTCCTTCTCCACAGCCCATGTAGCTATCTGAAAGGAAACTATCCTTACCGAGTTAACGTGACTGTACCAAATACCTGCTCCCTCACGTAACCCGGACCCCTTTGCAGCATTTTTCTATATGATCCATCCTTTTTCAGTTTCGAAAGAATCCAACATACATGCATAGCTGCTAATGTAGAGTCAGCAAGTTCTTTCACAGGATCTAATGTATCCCACTCTAACGAAGAGTCTATAAAAACATTTTCTGAATCACATAAACTCATTTACCTGAAACATCAGGTCGATTTTCAGACGAAGCTCTATTCTTAATGATAAATAATGCTACATACACAATCAGACATCGATTAATATTTCGGCTGAAGAATATATTTTCAAAAGTCGGAAAGAGGAAATTTGGGAAAAAAAACCTTTCTAAACCCATCTTTTCCCAAGAATTGAATTCTTCGGGTATTCTCCTGGAAAACTCTTCTAAAAGCTCGAGGAAGTTTCCAAAGTAATTTTGGAACGGAAAACTCGTGTTCAGTACTACCATAAGAAGCAATTCGGCATATTTTTCCTATAACGATATGCCAGAATCAGTTTTCGGAAAAAAAAGGCTCAACTAAGGAAAGCTCAAGTTTTGGCAAGTATGTTTCGAAGAAGTAACTGGGAGGCTTCGCTCCTTTCAAAAATGGCAAGAACAGCAAACGAGCAAATGGAAGAGCATCGTTACAGTCCAAGTCCCTGAAAGAATGAATGTTCATCTTTATATGTGTTCTGCTAACTGTTTTATAACTGTTGGAGGAAATCCGTTGAAGTCGATGAGCGAGAAAAGGCTTTGCAAGTTGAATTCATCATGCTGTGTGCTGAACAAAAAAGAATATTCTACTTCTTTTGGCGCTGTATACTTTGAACCAATCTTCAGATGTAATTCAAAGAGTTTCTCTGATTCAGTGGCCAGTGGGAAATCATAACTACTCTCAGCTTCTTCAGCACTCGAATAGAGCGCCAACAACTCTTTGTAAAGTTCGAAAAGTCTAGAAATCTCTGCAGTGACCTCCTGCACGGCCTCCGTACTAGGTATCTATAATGGTACAAGTTGCTATAATTATTCGATAATTCTTGAGATCCTACTTCTCTGATTTCTCTCAGAGTTTTCTCGAAACTATCATCGTTGTTGGCAGTGACAACTAAGTTAAGAACAGTGTCGATTCTGGCTTCATCTGTGTTCAGAGACGAGAATGCCTTGACAAGCTTTTCTACTCTGTCATCTTTCGAAGAAATCTAAAAGAAACAAACTATAATAAGGCTAAACAGAATGAAAGACTCACATCTTCTAGAAGAATTTGATCATGTGCTTCGCCTTCATTGTTTTGTTTCAAGGCACACAAGAAAGGAACCACGACTTCATTCACGTTTCCCTAAAGTACGAGTTGGAAGAGGATCATTACAGTACAATAACCTTAGAATCCATGAAATATACTCTTCCATTCTCATTACTTTCCTGAGGTTCAGAAACGAGTACAGCGTAACCATTATCTTCTAACAAAACACCGCGAGGGTCTACCCGTTGAGCAGCTACCCTATCCCCATACTGAAGCAGGAAATATAGAACTTCTCCAATGTTTTAACACTTACAGGTAACCAAACTTCTAACAATGACAAACGAGGAGCAAAAATGACTAGAAATGCAACCCTTCTGGAGTTCCTGGTTGAAGTTATCCACGCAGTTGTGGCATCGCGATATCCTTTCCATTTTCTGGTAATCATCCCCAGCTTTATCTGTTATTCAAAAAAAATGAAAGGAATCAAAAATCTCAACTAACATCAATCAACAAAACTCTGGCTAAGTTGTCTGATGCTGCTATCAAGTAACGAGCTAATGGGGATCGTGATAGTTTTGTGAGAACTCTTTCATCATCAAATGATGAACGTACAAGACCATAACCTTTCGATGCTGATAACACCGTTTTCTTGTCTGAACCCGATGAAATTCCCAGGAACTTTCGGAACCCAAAATGAGGTATAAACTAAAATTTCAACTAGTTCATCAGTCCTAATGAGTTCATTACCGTAGAAGCAATCTTAGACACAGCTTCTGTCCATACATTCCCACTCGAACCTTCAGGACACCAAACAAAACATCCCAAGCTTTCACTTGTGCTAGCAAACACTGTGAAGTAGTTGGGTGAAATTGAGGTTTCGACTCGTGCCTGAATACAATCAGAAAGTTTTGACAACTCAACACAAGCCTTACATCGACACCATCACAGGAAGCATCGATATATCTTTCTAAGGCAGTCGTTCGTCGAATTCCAGTGAAAAGTAGATGATTGATTTCATGTCTAGTATTATCAGATTACGTTTGAAACTATCATTGTACACACTTTCCCTCGATTACGAAACGTTCACATGACAATTCCAGAACTTCTGATAACTCCTCAGCAGTTTTTTCTTTTCGGGCAATCTGTTTTGAAAGCAAAAGTAATCAAAGTTATGTAATGTCAATAAACCGCTGATTTGGCTCGGGAAAGAACTGACAGGAGAGACACTCCGTTTACGAAGAAAATCTCTTCGGTAGATGCGATTGTTAATTGTTGTCCCACCTCAAAAACTTTCTTAAAATTCTTATCTCGCTAGAGATTTACCGTATAATGATCAAATGAGATTGTTATAATGGGCTTTGATACGGAAAAGTTCTCGTGATACAGCAAAGTTCCTTTGTCGGTGTAAAATTCTACATGTCCATTAGAATATCCAAGTGCAATTATCAAGCAGTCCATAGTTTCAGATGTTCTCGAGCTTCCCAAGCCAAAAACATCGCAACAACTGATGTATTCCTGATACAACAACGTTTTCAGTAAGTGTTCGTATACTTACGCCTGGTTTTTCACTCGAATATTGAGCAGTTTGCATAGAAATAATTTCCACAGCACAATCTTCGGTTGGCCTTCTACCTAGTACAGCAAATTGTCGATTCCCCACTAGTACTATATAATCCATAGACCCAAAAGGAAAGATCAATGTCCCATTTATCCAGTAAGAGGGGTTCTTCGACTCTTCGTCGACCTACCAAAACTTTTCACAATTTATCAAAAATCTTAGTTTCACCTCGGTAGGTGCTAAAGCTTGCCATTCTTCAACACCTGCTTGTTCTTCTGCATCTAAACTTTCAGCGGAGGCATTACTACTACCACGTGATAGAGCACCTACAGTTCAAGTGAAAAGAATATTCATACTGTTTCACTTACCTGCTTCTGGATTGCCTTGTAAAAATTTGTTAATTTTATTTAGTATTTCATCACCAATCGTCAAAGTTGAACGAAATTCATATCCAACAGTCATATCAAGAAAATTTCATTTGAAAATATCAAGCACTATCAATAAAGTAAGCCTGAGGGAACTAAATTGGTGCGACTGCCGTGGGAAGAAAAATGTGAGTGCAAAGCGTACCATGCTTTGAAGAAAAGACATTACATAGCTGAATTTTATTCAAGACAAGACAATATATTATTAAATTTCATATCTGTGATATTACTCTTTTGGTTTCGCCTGTTCATGTTTAGCTGCGATAATGTGAACGTTGAAGAAGAGACGATTATTACATTCCATTCCACATAAGGAACATGTCCAAGCGTTCAGTGGGTGATGTAAGGCAGCATGCATCTTATACATAGCCTCGTCCCGGAAAAATAAGAGGCAATATGAACATGTCTGAAAAACTCAGGAAGTTGAACATGCTAAACTTATTTACTCACATGGATCTTCTCATTGTTAGCTTGCTTCATGCGGAGCATTGTCTGATATCGTTCTGACGCTTCATCGTTCGCCTTATTTTTTTCCAGCAATTGTTTTTGGAAGAATGCCGCTGTTTCAGCATGCTCTACAGTTAGATTATCAGATTTTTTTCGGGCGGGGATGGCAGAAGAGGTAGAGGGCTGAGAAAAATGGTTAAATTGAGATAATGCGGTGATGTTTCCGGGTAAATTTGTTGACAAATAGTTTGGGGTAAACAATTGAGATCCAAATGTGCTTAGGTCAGGTGTAGCTTGTACTGCTGCGGAGCCGCTCAACAGAGAGTTCAACTGGGCTAAATAATTTTGAGTGTTCAATGGAAAGTTGGGAAGAGATTGGAAAAGACGTAGCGAAGGATGCGTAGAAAAATTCGAAGCAGCCGCATTCTGAGCGTTTGGAACAGAAAAAGGAAGTAATGGAACTTGAGGCAGAGTATCAGTAGAGGAAGAGGGCGAAGATTGTTGGAAAAAAATATTATTGGGTTCCTCTAAAGATTCTGATGTTGGGTTAGTTTCGGCAGGGGCAGAATAATATGGATAGCCCGATGTTACGGAGTTTGGAATTGAAGAAGTAGATGGCAAGGAAGCAGAGGAAGCCAGAGCCGATAGCAATTGAGTCGGATCAGATGAGAAATTTTGTGAATTCCAATTAGATGATGACAACGAACCTCCCAAAAAATTAGCTAAGAAATTGGGAGGTAAGTTTGGAAATAAATTAGAAGATGTATCATTTGTTGTTTCCGTTGCTTCATCAGAGGATGGACGACGTTTTCTCAGCGGCTCAGGAGTTAATGGTCGTTTAAAAATAATCTGAAAAGGATAACATGAGCAAATTACTATTTTTCTGAACAGTTTCTGCAAACAGATCGCCATAGCAACTCGGTATTAATTAAGTATTAATGGAATTATTAATTTAGATATAAACAATGTTTGTATCATACACCATCCTTGAAGAAAGGTCAGTTATCAATATGTGACGGAGTCAATGAAGCACTCCACTATGATGCAAATGAATGATTGGTGGTGTAGCCAACTGAGAAGAATAGTAAACTCAGAAAAACAAGTGAGATCAAAAGAGGATATATGTGAATGATATGTGCCATGAGCTGGCATTGCAGAAATGACCCACAGCCATTTGATATATACAGCCGTATGCAAAAACGATCTTACATTATCAGGTAACGTCTGTTGGTAATCCTCTATTTCTCTGAGCCGCAAAGCTGAGCAATCTTTGGATACTGAAGAATAATTAAGAGGGACATGCAAAAGATTGACAACAGGCTAAAACAATTAAAGTATTAGTATATCTATGAGGTTCAAAGATTACCTTGAAAAAATCATTGTATTCATCCCGCTTATTCTTCAAAGATATAAATGAATCTGTTGGAAAATTGGTAGAACTATCTTCTTGAAGTTTTCGTAATCGTCGTCTAGGTCGTTTGGGGTTTTCTTCTGCTGCTGGAGGCGAAGTATCCTCACGATACTCTTCTGATGAGACAGAAGGTGCAAATACATCTTTATCCATTCCTAGCTGTGGCATGTCTTCATTTGTAAACTGTAAATGATATTTGTTCTGTTGAACTATGTTCATCTGAACCTGATTCATAGCTAGAACATTCAGGAGAGTTGAGGAAGAAGGGCCAACAGTTGAGAATGAGTTTTCTCTTACGTTACTCATAACGGACATCCTAAATAGCACATGACAGCTGATTGCTCAGAGAGAAAGTGAATTTGAATCTTCAGAAAAAAGAACAGATTGGAAAAAATAACTTTGAAGAGATGATTAAATGGTGGGGGGGGGCTGTCCACAGACTTATTACGCCTGGAATCACCAAGTGAATTCTGCATACGCTTGACTAGCTTCATATCTTATTAAACGAAAAATTAAAAACTGACTACTTTTTGAGATAAATAGATAGAATTTTGATGGAAGATGAAAATTATCTTGTTTGAAAGTTCATCAGGCGGGAAATTATGAAAGGATGATATAATATGGATTAGGATGAAAGAAGATATGATAAGGTAGAAGATGATGTTCATGAATTCTCTTATGAGTTTCTCCATATACAGATATATTGGAAGAAAAACTTGAGAACTATGAAATAGCTGTTCCGTATATTATGTTGAGCAGGATAATAAGTCCTTGAAAACAAGTCAATAGATAATAAGCAGGTGCTTTGGAGAGCGAAGATATTCTCGTTAATTACCATTTATAACAGCTTGTGCTCCCCAGAGATAACGTTTTCTTAATAAAAATGAGAATAGAGAACAAGGAATTGAAATCTGCATGTACATATAAAGAGAGGTATGAGTAAATAATTAAAAAAAAACTACTTTAAGGGATCAGCGAACAGTCAGTCTAGTCCATTCGAATATCTCGCAAAACTGTCTGAAACAGTAGAATACATAAAGAGAGAGAGAGAGAGAGAGAGAGAGAGAGAGAGAGAGAGAGAGAATAAGATATTGGAAGATCTTCAGAA